ACTTTCTCAAATCCTAGTAGGCGGGAACTGCGTGGCAGTAACCTCTCCGACCGCCACTACCACTCCGACCACCACTACCACTCTGATCACCACTACCACTCCGACCACCACTACCACTCCGACCACTACCACCACTCCGACCACCACTACCACTCCGACCACCATTACTGCCGTCTCCACTCTGGCCACTACTACCACAGTAAGTAAAGAATAGCTTCATCTTTTATACACGCTAACCCATCTCCGACTGTTACGTCCACGGTAACCAACCCTGCCAGCACGACAACCGTTACCATAACACAGGTTTCCACCATAACCGTTACTCAAACCGTTGCGACTTCTACCACCAGTGTTACGTCAACTACCACAAAGATATCTACCATTTCTGCATCCACGACTGCGAAAGCGACGGCATGCCCAAAGTCGAGACGCGCCTTAGAAGAAAGAGCAAATCACACTTCTACCAAGACCAAGACTGTTGTAACGACTTGCGCTGGTCATACGTCTACCCACGTCCATGGTACACCAACTACGAAAACGGCGAAAGCTACCTGGTGGTCCACTAAGACAGTTTGGCACACACGGACGGGAACCACAACTCACACCTCGACCAAGACGCCCGCCTGCACGGCCAAGGCTAAGAGGGACTACCAGAGACTTTTTGAGTAACGTCGGATCGTTTCTTTCGGATGGAGAATTTTGGGTGGTGAAGGAAATAGGACGTTGTCCAGATTCCAGAGTGCTATGTGTTCAAAATATCGTAGATTCCTGGTTTTTTGTTAGTCTCGTATGATAATGTCTTCTTATAGGTGTACTGTATGAACTGGTGTTGCACCAAATGATCTCCTTTTTGAACCCTTCTACGTAAGTCGTGACCACTCTTCCCGCGACCAGCTTTTGAGATGGAACAGCAAGAAGTTGATGACTAGATCAGATTAGCACAGCAACTAAACCGCGTGTTCTCAGGCGGCGGAAGCTTGCCTCTGATGGCTGAGATGAGGTGGATGTCAAAGAGAATGTATTGCTCAGTTCGCGTCCCAAGTAGGAGCTTCATATTCGCGTTCAGAACATCCAGCATAGAGTTTGGGTGCACGGACGCATTATGACGTACGACGTGGATGACACGTGCATGTCTTGATGAGGCAGGTCGTTAATACTGCCTAAACAAATTGTTGGAGCTCAATGGCTGATCGACGAGAGATGGTGGAGGTACATAAGCAGAAATATTTCAGTAGCTAAGCTGGCCAAGTTCCATGCTCTCACATTTACTTAAACCAGCCTCCGTGAAGAACACCATATCAATTACCAGACGAAATCTTACCATGTCATCTGGCGGCAAGCGTATCGTATTCACTGGCGGCAGTGGCAAGGCTGGACGCCATGTCATCCCAGAACTGCTGAAGAAAGGCCACAAGGTATTACCGACTATTGAATACATGAGACATCCACTAACGACATCTTGTCCAGATCCTCAATCTTGATCTCGTCGACTTCCCAGACCCCAAGGCTGGCGTCTTCACTCTCAAAGCCGACCTGACCGAATCTGGACAAGTCTTCAATGCTCTGACAACCCACTATAACTTCGAAGGCTACGAGCATGGCCACTCCGAAGCACCACCGGACGTCGTCATCCATTTCGCGGCATTCGCCCGCAACATGATTGTCCCAGACAATGAGACTTTCAAGGCAAATGTGACGAGCACATATAATGTTATTGAAGCAGCGGCGAAGCTTGGAGTGAAGAAGATCGTCATTGCTAGTTCCGAGACGACATATGGTGTATGCTTTAGCGAAGGTGTGACTGACTACCATACCTTCCCGCTCGAGGAGGACTACGATGTCGATCCGATGGACTCCTACGCACTGTCAAAACTGTGTGGTGAACGCACAGCGCGCACCTTCGCTCGCCGCTTCGGAATCGACATCTACGTCCTGCGCGTCGGCAATGTGATTGAACCGCATGAGTACGAGCGCGACTTCCCACAGCATGTGGGCAAGCCCGAGACCAGACGCCGCAATGCTTGGTCATACATCGATGCTCGGGATCTCGGACAGATCTGCGATCGTTGCATTGATAAGAGCGGCCTCGGCTTCCAGATTTTCAATGCCACAAACGACACTATCACGACGACGATCCCGACGAAGGAGTTCTTGCAGAAGTATGAGCCGAACACGAAGATCACACGAGAGATGGGCGAGTGGGAGGCACCGTTGAGCAATAAGAAGATCCGTGATGTGCTTGGCTTCAAGGAGGAGCACAACTGGAGACAGTACTACAAGCCGTGAAGTGGCTACGACAGCGGACCGACCATGGAATGTACATCATATAACAATGCTCCGATATGTGCAGCCGAAGACATGATCAACTGTTCAACGCATCCATCACCTTCTGGTTCGCCGGATTCTCATTACTGTTGAAGCCCGGCCTTGTATTCACTTTCTCGTTCAAACCCCAAGCAGTACTACTCCCATCATGCACCGTCGTCCGCCGCAAGTCGCGGACATACTTACCTTCGTAGCTTCCGCCAGCCGCACGATGCAAGACAGCAGTATTGTCCCAAATAATCAGATCTCCTTCGTTCTTCCATTCCACGCTAACCATGTTCTCAGGTCTGGTGGCCCAGCCCGTCAGGCTCCAGGTGAGCTGCCAGCTTTCCAGTTCAGAGAGTCCTTCAATGTGGTGGAGGTGTGCGCCGATGTAGAGATTCATTCTTCCGCTTGTTTCGTGCTTTTGGGCGATGTGGTGGCGATGCATCGCGAAGTCCTCCGGATGCAGGTCTTTGAAGAAATCCGGTGATCCGCGCTTGCGACTGGAATGAAGCGAATGGCACCCAACATATCTGCCATCGATCAATTTCTGCTTCATAGCGTCTGGCAGGGTATCGAAAGCAGCCCTGGAATCCGCAAACTCAGTATTACCACCATGACCAGGCGGCGGCAACTTCTGGGCTCGAAGTAGCGAGTATGATGCTCTTCGAGGATTAAACGAGCTATCGACGTGGAAGAAACCATTACCTTTGCCGTAGTGAGCTCGTGGACTGCCTGGATCCAGAATCTGGCCTTTGTCGTCAACATTACCGGCGTCGAAGAGTTCGTAGTGTGCGCATCGAGCTTTGCGTCCGCCAGTCAAGTAAGGACGGATGTCGTCGAGATCGCCAAAACGGCGGGAGAAGTCAACGTGGGAGGTGTCTTCCAGACCGGCGTTGCGGATGACCAAGAAGCCGTACTGTTATCGAGGTCAGTAAGTGAGACACGTCTAGGCGAGATTATTGCATTAAAGGATACTTTCGACATGAGGTCAAGAATGGTAGTAAAGTCTTCATCGCTGATCGTGGCTAGGTTGAGGTCTTCGATCTCTGCGCCAAAAGTTTGATGCAGTTCTTTGACCTGCCATCTGGTAGTGTTCGAAGAGCTTGTCTGTAGTATGCCAGGCATTGAGAAATCTATGTATACTCCAGTCTTATATGACTGGGATAAAAGTCTTGCTAGGCACTGATGGAGGGCAGATGTGATGTAAGAGCTACGGGAGCCTTTAAGGTCAACGTACGGCATCGCATATTACTTCGATCTTATAGACGTTTCCATCCCTCGCTTCATTTTACCCGAGTGCTGATCTGCCGCGTGTGGAGGGATCGTGGAGAGAGAGCTGGAGACAACATTTGCGGGGCGAGGTCCATGACCTCCTTCGGCACTTGTGTTTGCATGTCTTGTCAGCGACCCAGGATGCCGTCTTGCCGGCCGCAACACTAGTATCCACACAAAGGGCTCGGTGTAGTGTAGATAGCAGAAGACATGGACACAATCTCCACGATATCCAGAACGTCAAAGCATATATATCGTGTACCTTGAAAAGAAGTCTGTAGGATAACCTCTGGCCTACCTGACTTCACAACATACCAGCATGACTGTCATAGTAGTCGGTGCAGGTCCTGTTGGCTTACTCGCCACCCTTCGCCTTGCACAAGCGGGCATCGATGTAACATGTCTGGAAGCACTGGACGCCGTCAATGACTCGCCGCGAGCAATGGCATATCATCCTGTCGCCACGCGAGAGCTCGATCGCGCAGGCGTGCTGACAGACATTCGAAAACGAGGAGGCAGCTCGGGATCTGGAATCTGCTGGCGACAGACGAAGACAGGCGAAGTCATTGCTAAGCTGGAAAGGGGTGCGAATAAGGATTTCCCTTACGAGAACCTCGTGATTGGGCAGCATGAGCTGGCGGCCATTATCATCGAGCATTTGCAACGCTGCGACAACGCTGAACTCCTGTTTGGCCGAAAAGTGACTGCTTTGGACCAGACAAGCGGCAGTGAGGTCAGATTGACAGTGACCAATACCAAGACCAACCAAGAAGAAGAACATTGTGCATCGTATCTTGTGGCAGCTGACGGCGGCCGGTCTACTGTTCGGCATCTGCTCAATATCTCCTTTGAAGGTTTCACTTACTCGGAACAACTCGTCTCGACGAATGTCTATTATCCTTTCGATGACTACGGCTGGATGGACGGCAACTTCTGTATCGATCCCGAACACTGGGCACTGATAGCTCGCATTAACGACAAGGGCCTGTGGCGTGTATCGTATGGGGAGTTAGATGGCCTGACGGTTGAGCAAATCATGCAGAGGCAGCCGTGGAAGTTCGCACAGCTCTTTCCTGGACCGAAGCCACCGCAGTATAAGCTTGACCAAGCTTCACCCTATAGACTCAATCAACGATGCGCAGATAGGTTCAAGGAAGGACGAGTGATGCTGGTAGGCGATGCCGCACATCTTTGTAATCCTTTCGGCGGTCTCGGCCTGACAGGTGGTATCCTCGACGCAGCCGCCGCGGCAGATGCTCTGATCGGCATTCATGAAGGCAAAACCAGTGATGCTATCCTCGAGAAGTATGCGGAAGTCCGGAAAGAGATCTTCGAGGAGACAGTGAACCCGCAAAGCCAGAGTAACAAGCAGCGCATGCACGACGGGGATCCAGGCACGATCGGCGAGAGAGACCCATTACTCAAGACCCTGAGGAATGCCTCGGCGGACCAGAAGCAGCAGATCCGGGCGCATGCCACGCTAGCGGTGGATATGGACGAGTTCTTCGATGGCATAGATAGTAGAGCGGATGCTTTGTCGATATCTGCCCCATAGTCTAAGCTTCATTGGCAGGTGCTCCAAACAGATGAGATCAGACCAGCAGACCAACCTGCCCGATGCCCTAGCGCCGTGGGGGCTTCCTACCAACCGATAAGTCCCGACTTTTGTTTTTTTGAGGCCTCCATGGTGAACGCGAGCTCTCGGTAGGCTTATCAGCAATGGTACAGCCAGAGTCCATCAACCAATGCGACTCTGATGTCACGTGATGGAGATGTCATTGGTGACAGAATTTCTCAATCACCCCCTCCAGCACCATGATGCGTCCACAACGTAGGGCATGTGCGTACGCAAGAGAAAGAGCACGCTTCACAGATCATCGTCAAAATTCAAGATAGAAAAGAAAACGCTGTGGAAGGAGTTATGGGCCAAAGAGGACGATTTCTGAGGATTTTTGGAAAAGGAGGTGCCAAGACGGGGACGACCTCTAGCGCTATGTGTATCGCCGCCAGTAGTGGTGAGAGGAGCTAAGGACCTCCTTCGTACGAGGCAGTAGATATTCCTGGAAGATCCTAAAGTGTTATTACACCACCGCTATATGCACTATATACATGCCAGCACTACATTACACCACCTACACTCCATCAAGCTAGAGCCTCCGGCTCTAGCTCGCTGACAGATGTTCGACCGCCTGCAGATTCATATTAGCATTACTTTGTGGCATTCACACACGACTCGACGCCTACTTACCTTGTTGATATCGTAGTCATACATCTCCAGCGCATTCAGCGCTTGCGTCCGCGGGTATCCCATGCCAGTCAGTTGCTTCAGGAAAGGATCGTCATGCTCGGTACCGGGCGTAAGCGCACGACCAATTTCTGCAGCTTTGTCCTTAGGTTTCGCACTTAGGGTGGGTAGCGAGGTGGGTGCTGGCGTAGACGTTACGACAGAAGCCGCACCTGTACCGTTAGTAGAAGGACCTGTACTCCATGGGTCTTCTGCTGGAGCCACGCTGGTCGAAGCACCAGGTAACGACGTGTCGATGTTCTTGTTGTCGTCCAGTCCAGAGAAGATAGCGTCCCAGTCATGCTGCACGTTCTGCGGAGTGTTCTGGATACTGCTTGTCTGACCAAGACCATTTGTAGAGCTGTGCGCCACACCATCGAACGGCCCAGCACCACTGCCACTAGTGCTCTGGAAGCCAGAGTACCCATCAGCTCGTGGTGTCTGCTGGGATGAAGTCATAGTGTTCGTCATGCTTGCGGCCGGCGAGTCGAAAGCAGGGTTGAACTCATCCACACTACCTCTTGTGTTGCCACCGAAGCCACCGAAGTCAAAGTCAGAGCCGGGTTTGTCTTCTTTAGCCTCGGCGAGATCATCGAAGTCATCGAAATCATCGAATGCATTTCGTGGTGCCTGATGAGTTGTGGCGAGTCCGGCATCAGTGACACTGCTCATGGGACGACTACTCGCATCGACAAAGACATCGGTGCTCGATGGTGTCTGTGGGATGGTGCTAGGGTAAAGACTGCTGGAACCTGTAGCAGACCGCTCTGGCGCTGCGTAGTCTGCATAAGCAGGTCGTGAGTTCTCCTTTTCGTGTGCGACGGCAGGCATGATCTGGTCGGAGGCCGGAGGTGGACTAGTTGGGTCCTCTCTGGAAGGCAGAAGTCCACCGAATTCTCGAGGAAACGAGCCAGACCCAGCTCTCTCACCTGGACCGCCATGAGCAGGCTCATCACTCTGCTCATAGGTCGGCGGAGAAGCCTGTGCTCCTGGTGTTGGTAGGACACTAGCAGCAGACTTTAAAGACTGGATCACAGGCCTTGGCTCAGAAACATCAGTCACAGTAGTGGCGGGAGGATCCAGCACACCAGGCTCACGAGTCACTGTCGGTGATAGCTCGGCGGCTCCATGTCCGGGAGGTGGCGACGATAGTGCAGCACCAGAGAAGCTCTCGTTGAAACCTCTGTGCGCAGCTTGTGGGCCGTCTTCATCATCACTGCTCTCTTCATCCTCGGGCTCGAAATTCTGGATGGGTGGGAATTCGCTTGGGCGCCCGGCTGGAGGGCCTGCCACGGAGGTTCCACCTACGGCATGTTCACTCGGCGCAAAAGGATCATGATGCTGACCGGGTCCTTCACGGCTCTTCTCACCTCCACCAAATCCCGCAAAGGCGTCGTCAAAGTCGTGCTGGCTAGGACCCTGCTGCGCAGTTGCTGGCATGACTTGTTCTCTTGGCGCGTTATGAGCTTCTTCAGCAACTTCACTTTCATCTGGGAATGCCCCTGGTAAATGTTCGGCCTGCTGCATTGCACTCTCGGTCGCATTGAATTGCGGCTCCGCCGGCTCGAGCTCTCTGGGTGTCTCGAAACCACCCGCTCGGCTAGCTGGTGGCATGACGCGGGTCGAACTTGCTTCGCTTGCAGCCTTTGGCCGATCAGGCAGACCTACGACGGGCAATTGTGAAGGAGTGAATTGCCTGTTCTCTGGCGGTGGAGGGGGGATGCTGTCCAAGCCAGCGATCGGGCTGTCCTTCGCCTGCTCACTCAATGGTGGAGTTGCAGAAGGTGTAGGCTCGCCACGAGATGAGACTGACTGCACACTGCCAGTCATGTTCGCGGCTGCGGGCTCGCTGACCAAGTTCGAAGCGGGTATACTGCGACCAACGAAGCTGGTGGCAGGTGGTGTCCCAGTCCTGCTTGCTGCTTGACCGCTAGGCGAGAAAGCTGCGGATGGCCCGAAGAGCGCGTCGAAAGCACTGGGCGTTGGTCCGCCTCCACTTGGGGAGGCCACAGCAGGTGGGCTCACCAGTCCTTCACTTGCCTTGCGGAAGAACGGGTTCGTCGAGCTCAACGTGCTGGAAGCAGAAGGACTCTTGACGTTCTCGCCACCAGGTAGACGATCCTTGACAGTCTCGTAAGCACCGAATGCTGCAGCGCCTGCAGCGCCCACCCCAGCAGCACCGAATGCTGCATCCTGACCATGATGTGTCTCGGGTTCCTGCGGTGCATTCCTTGCTGCCTCCTTTTGCTCAGCAGCTTCTCGTTCCAGATCTCCTCTCTCACTCTGCAGTCGATCGCGCTCACCTTCATTGGTGGTCATTTGCTTCTTGTTAATGCTCACCAATCCCTTCTGCTGCCTCGCGTCCAGCTTCATCTTCTCGATTTCCGGCTTCAGCCGTGCCACCTCGGCGTTGAGCTCACCGATGCGCTGCTTCAGACTCGCATTTTCGCTCTGATCGGCCTGGAGCTGTTGCGACACCGTGTTATGTTGTGTCTGCAGGTCCTGGTACGTACCTTCCAGCATGGCGATCTCTTGTCCGAGCTTCTTCGTGCTATCTCGGCTAGCCATAAGCTGAGTCTCAAGCTCCTTTACAGTGCGGACTTCAGTCTCGTATTGAGCTCGGAACTGCTGCAGCCGAAGCTCGAGATCCCGTTTTTGGTTTTGTGTCGCAGTCAGGTCGGCTTGGGTAGTTGTCTTCTTGGTCTGTGTAGTCTCCATCTGCGATCTTAGGTTGCCGATCTGACTGCTCATGTTCGCCAGCTCTGTCGTGTCGTTGCTGATCTTGCTGGACTCCTCAGCATGAGTATCATTGTCACCCAGTAGATCGTCCTCTGCAGCGGTCGTAGTGTGGAGCTGGGATGGTTGCGCGGGCTGCTGTGGTTGAAAACCTCGCTGGCTAGATGAGACAGAGCCTCCCGTATGCTGCTGCGTCAGGCTTGCGCCAAATGCAGAAGTTGGTGTGAAAGGCTTGAACATAGAGTTGGCTTGTGGAGGTTGAGGCTGGAAGTGTTGCTGCGGACTGCTTGGACTGCTTGGCACACTTCCTCCGAAAGGATCGCGTGAAGTTGAGGCTCCAGTACCTTGTGACTGTAATGCTGGTTGAGCTTGAAATGCTGCAGCCTGCAGTGGCTGCGTCTGCTGAGGAGGTGATGGCTCGTCAAGGCCGAACAGATCGTCTGCAGCAGACTTCGGCATGGTAGTATTGTTCGCATTGTCAAAGGCTGGTGCGGTAGATTGCGCTTGTTGTGTTTGTTGCCTCATGCTCGGCGGCACCAGTGCCGGAGGTAGAAATGCTGGCAAAGGAGGCGGGTTGGGCGCACGCTGCTGCTTGATCAAGTACATCGCTACCGCGAACTCATCCTTGTTCAGCTGCCCTTCGCTGTTGATGTCGGCAAGATCCCATATTGTAGCGAGCGTATCTTCAGGTAGTCGACTGTCGGAGAAGAATGAAACAGCTTGCTCGCCAGTGAGTATGCCGCGTCCAGCTTTGTCTATATTATTGAAGAATTGATCGTACTTGGCCTTTTCTTGTCCCGCGACGAGCCATGGGGCGCCAGTAGCTTGCGCGGATACTGTTGGCGGAGTGCTAAAAGCTACAGGAGATCGAGCGAGCGGACTTTGGGTCCTCGGGGGCACACCAGCAGGACCACCCGTGAACTGTCTAGGCACTCCTCCAGACGCAAAGCTACCACGGTTGGCTGGTGGTGCAGGGCCTCGTCTCGCTGCCGCATCGTAGAGGCCAGCCGGAAGCGTGTTTGGCAGAGCCGTCATAGCCCTAGTCTTCATGCTCGTAAGCAAATGCATCGCGACGATGAACTCCGTCTGGTCCAGAGCACCTCTCTGCTGCCGATCTGATAGATTCCAGATCTTGCCAAGAGCCTCGTTTGGCAAGCCAGCTCGCTCGAAGATCGTCTTTGCCGCACCGCCATCAAGCACTCCGTTTTGTGCTCCTGCGCGATCGAATAAGCTGGAGTATTGCTGCACCTTCTGGGCATCGAGCAATGGCACTCTGGTTGGTCCTTGGCCGGACAGCTGCGGTTGCAGAGCATTGGCAGGAAACCCGCCAGATGTTGGACTAGCCGGTCCTGCAGCAGGGCCGACGCCTGGTATTTGTAACCCTTCGAACTTCGGTATCGGGCCTGACTTAAATGCCATTTCTGTACTCGGCTCCTTTCCTGCCTGGTAATGTCCGATCAACCTCAGCACCATGCAAAAGCCAGGCTTGGTGAGCAAGCCACGGTTCTCCGTGTCCGCGATCTGCCATATCGCTCCGAGCACATCCGGACTGACTTTGGTACGTTCGAAGAATGCCACTGCGCGCTCTCCCGTGACCACCCCTAGCGAATCGCTGTCGGCTTGTGCGAAGAGGAAGGAGAAAGCACGCTTTTCCTGGTCGGTGAGGTTGAGGATCGCATGATCTAGTAATCTATCAGCACCCGAGCGGCGCCTACATCATACAGACATCCACATCATACTCTGATCGTCCGCTGACATGGTGCCTAAGACTGCATGCAGCTGTGCCTTTGGATCCTGCTTCTTCTCTCCAGGCTCAGTCGTGGACCTTCTCCGGTCCTCGATTACCGCGATTTCGTCGTGTGTATTGTACAGGGTCAGATGGTGAGGTATGCTAACGCATGTACTGATGGAAGTGGCCGGCCAATCTCAATGTCCTTGGACTTCGCGTGGTTTGGGAGCTTGGACCTTGCGCATGACGAATGAATCGCGCTAGCTAGCCGTTTCGGTGAAATGAGACACCTTTCGACTTTGCCCTTCTCTTCGCACCAACTAGTACACAGCGATGACTTTGTGAGCTCGTGAGTTATTGTGCTGCGTGGTCCAACGGGATGGGTGCGGCAGTCTCCAAGAAATCATATTCATAACTAGCCTGCACGCGACCGTCAAGGACCTACTCGAGCGATCACTCTGGGTTGTTCTAAGCATACGAGCACGATGACACAAGGCATTAATTATCTCGACTTCGCGCAAGCTTTTCGAGCCAGTAGTGTTGATGGATTTCCAACGCAGACGCAGCTCTCAACACGACTTATATCATCGAAGCACGTGAAAGGCGACGCAGGTTACAGCATCGCTGTGGAAGGACGACCGACCAAGCCTTGCCCTCGCCCACGTCAAGCTGGCCACAATGGACCACCTGTCTCGATCATGAGCTTCGTCGTCTCATCAAGCTTTTATACCCGCAAGGCACCAACCGTGGCTTCTAGAGATCCTTGCGGGTGCTAGGCAGTAATGCAACGTAGCACGCACCGTGATACTCATTCTTGAATCACAACTAGTGTCCCATGAGAGCAACCTCTGCACGACCTGAGGACCCCTCTATAACGAATGGAATTTGTATATTGGGCGTAGCTGCATTGCAATGCTTCGTGGCATCCCGTTCCAAGTCGGACGACCACCCAACCTCTCTCCCGTGTGGAGAGAAGATCGTCTACGGCATGTAGTAATGAAGGGTCCGATCCTAATGGCTCATGTTGCCGGCTACCAGGCACTCAACGGCTCAGCAGCTTGCATTCATGAATGAAATGTACGTTTGCCAATGCATCACAGTCTCTTGCCGTACAGCAGCTGGAAATCTATGTTGTGACGATCTTCTATGTACAGTTCATCAAGACCTGCCTAGCCTCATGTAGAGCGTATGCTTATGTTAGACCGAAAGATTAGTAGCAGATTGTCCATCGTCCTGACGAAGACTGTCATGAGTCGTGTTGGACGCTCTCAATCTCTTTCATAACTGTCAGCTGACCTCTGCTATTCTTTTCAACATGAGGCGGACAGTATTCGTGCGGCTTGCATGCCATAACTAGAAAGCAGGCCTCGCTTACACACGTACAGACACTGCTGTAGGGAAATCGAAACATCGCAGTCGTAATGGCAGGGGAAGCTCTTGTCGCCGAGTTTTGTACGACCGTACCACCGGGACCGAGCTTCCTACAGGGTCGCGATTCGATGCTTCGCCCTAGAATTAGGCGATGGATCCAGAAGAGGGTTGACTGCGGGTCGCAGGTCTAGCTGCGGCTACGCGACCGCGAATGCGCTTACTCAGTCGGCATTATATATGGAATCGTGGACCCCAGAACAATGCACGGCAACCTGTTCCCATCTACTACGGGGACCAAGACGGCGCTGAGCGACGCTCATACCTCTCTCTCCCTTAGTCCGTGGTTGCCACGGCTGTACTACTGACTGCTTCTTCTGGACACTGGTGACTTGAGCTGATCTATACTAAAGCGACCTTCCAGACACTCATTGCCTGTGTTGGTAAAGCTGCTTGATTCCACCTAGGCGTCAAGATGTCGCTCGCTGCTGCCGCTGCCGCCCTGCTGGGTGTTGCCAGTCACGTTCTTTACTTCCGACATGGCGAGCACCATATGCTCTTTATGCGATATGCCCAGATCTTTATCGGCACCGTCATCCTCTCGGTCCTTGCACTTACCAGGCTGGCAAACGAGACGATCTCGACCGCGGTTGCGACCACTGGACTGCTCACAAGCTCGTACGTACTAGGACTTCTGGTCAGCCTCTTTACGTACAGACTGTTCCTCAATCCATCCTCCAAGTTCCCTGGACCATGGCAGATGAAGCTCAGTAGCTTGTACTTCATGTTCACCACCGACATCTACTCATGCTATACGAAGATGGATGCACTCCACCAGAAGTACGGTCCTTTCGTTCGCATCGGATCCAACGACATCTCCATCATTGATCCAAATGTCATGGACGTAGCGTTCGGCCAACATGCAAAGGCGTCGAAGGCGGAGTGGTATGATGGGCCAAAGCCACTTGATAGCCTACACACTGTCCGTGATAGAGCAATGCACGATCGACGTCGCCGAATATGGGCTCCTGGCTTCAGTGATAAGGCACTTCGTGGCTACGAAGAGAAGGTGCAAGTTTTCAATGACAAGCTCGTACAGAGAGTGCGAGAACACCTCGGTGGCCCTACGAACATGACCAAATGGTTCAATCTCTACTCTTTCGATGTCATGGGTCAGCTCTCTTTTGGCAAGAATTATGGCATGCTGGACAGTGGTGAGCGTCATTGGGCACTAGACCTCCTCGTGGAGGGCATGAGTGCCTCACCACCTAAACCACCGGTCTGGTTCTTTCGGCTAATGCTGGCTATTCCGGGACTTGCAGCAGGTTATCACAAGTTCGTGGCGTTCTGCAAAAGCGAATTAAAATCTCGAGTCGATGACAAGCATGATGATAAGGACGTGACAGGCTGGCTTCTGCGCGACCATGAGGGCAGGCCGCATCCGGAGGAGAACGATGAGCTGCAAGCTGATGTGAGATTGATCATTGTTGCTGGGTCGGATACTACATCTGCGTGTTTGACATTTCTCTTCGTAAGTGCGATAGGCTGAACCCACCTCGGAGACCTTCATGGATACAAACTGACGCCTCTTGCAGTACCATCTTGCACAGCACCCAGAGGAAGTCCAGAAGATCCGCGATGAACTTCGGCGGCTTACCCGTGGTGAGTGGTCCGATGTCGATATCAAGAACGCTCAACATCTCAACGGCGCAATCAACGAATCGCTGCGGATGCATCCACCGGTTCCTTCTGGCCTTGAACGAGTTACGAACAAAGAGGGCATGCAAGTTGGTGACACCTATGTGCCTCCCGGAGTCCACTTCTGGGTACCAATGTATTCGATGGGTCGCCGTAAGTCCCGCCAACCATCATCCGAAGGACGATTTCTAACAAAGATGCAGAGGAAAGGGTGTACGAGAGATCTCTCGACTTCGTGCCCGAGCGATGGTACTCGAAGCCCGAGATGGTCAAATATAAGGATGCCTTCGCGCCGTTTTCGATGGGACCATACAACTGTATCGGCAAGAACTGTGAGTGTATGCAATACTGGAAGACTCGCTACGCCTTACTGATGTCTCGCAATAGTGGCTTATGTCGAGATGCGCACACTGACAGCACAGCTGGTGCTGAACTTCGACGTCAAGCTTGCGCCTGGTGAAGATGGTACGAGGCTGCTCACCAAGACAAAGGACCATTTCACGGTCAGTCCTGGACAACTCGATTTGGTATTTTCTCCTGCAAGCTCGTAGTAGAATCATATGAGCCACTTTAGTATGGTAGCAGGGGATGTTGTATACATCTTGCAGGTGCTATGTAGTCATATTTGCACTTCCTACCCTGGATCCTAGTGCTCTATGTTAGTCGCGAAGCTCATACCTGTGAAGACTTGAGAAGTGGTGCTTGGTGCCAGGATTTTCTGGCCCCATCGAAGTGATTGGTGAGAGCGAAGTTGGCACTGCCACGCCTCCACCTTGATCTATCACTGCGACTGGTGAGGCCGTCTTCAGCACATCAAAAGACATACGCCTCTTGCGAAGGGCTGTTGACAGTGTAGTTCCCAACAGAAGTGCTACTAACATCTTTCATTCTCGTACTTTGCTGCTGTCTAGAGAGTGTGGTCTGCATCGGACAGCGGGAGCAATGTCGTCGGACCAAAGAGACTCTACCTTGAACGAGGAGCCACCACAATATACCGCCCCACCTGTCGAGGCCAAAGACGAGATCGAAAAGCCAAAGCCAATTCCTATCTTGCTATCTCTGAACAGCCGAAAAGGCGGCAAGAAAACGCACGGAGATGGCAGGACATATATGTCGTACTCACTTGACGACAAGTCGCTAGTACGAATCATTCACGAGCCCATCATAGTAAACCTGGACTGTACTTTCGACGAGCTGAAGACGCAGGTGCAGAAACGCATGCGACACCACTTCGCCAAGGACAAAGCCAGCGACGACAGCGTATGGCATTTCGCGACTCTGAGCGTCATGATCCATAGCAAACGGGCCACGCTTTCAGATGATAGTTCGTGGGATGCTGCGAAGGGGTTGTTGAAGGAGGATAGCGAGATGAGATATGACTTTGTGCTGGATCCTGAGTATAAGGTCCTCACCAAGACTGAAAGTCCGGCAGCTACGGCCGGAACCAAGAAGAAAAAGGATGGGCGTTGTGTCGTACAGTGATCTCTATTTAAAAGTATTCAGTGGTTTTGCGATATCAGTGTACCAGTGGCCCGGCGGGGAGAATATGTGAATGGTCATGAAATCCGTTCGAGTGTTCAGCAGCAAACACGGTGATCATGTGTGGACTCGTCAATCATGTGTTCTCTCGAATGTCTCATGTTATCGTTGTACCTTATGGTGCTCGTGGTTGCCGGTGTCGTACTTGACTGCCTCCCTCACGTGAACATTCATCAGAGCAGCAAGAACGAATGACCTTGGCGATCACTTCGTGTTGCTGTGATCAACCAGCCTCCCTTCGTCACTCGTCCCTGCAGGAGATCGTCAGGGCAAAGGTCAAGCGCGGAGAGAGCTGCCGCCGAGTTCTGCCAACAGATATCGGATTCATCTTCGTTTTTCTTTTGCTTCTATCGAGATAACGTCAACTCGATCCAAATTTGATCTAGTGAGAAGCCTGATGGCGACCCAGACTTGCCATCTCCTCCGACTTCCGATAGAACTTCGGCTCCAGATCTACGGCTACGCGCTGCAAGACAACACGAGACTCACCATCGGAAGTGCCGAACTCGTTGGATCTCACCCAGACATTGTCCATCGTCTATACGGGAGCAACAGATCCCCATATCCTGGTCTACCAGTGCATCACGAGCCAGTGACCGAAGCCGGCTTTAATCCTTCACTCTTGTCGACTACGAATCCGGCCGTGATTCCTCTTACCTCTGGAACACATCTACCACATGGCGGTTATGGCCATTGCTTTACCGCTCACACGGCACTACCGCTTGTGAACAAGCGGATAAATGCTGAGCTGAGACGGTACATCAAATGCGTAACCAAGCGGACCACTAGCTTGTTCATCTCTTATCCACATGGTCTACATGTCCTCCGCACATTGACGCCACACCTGTTGCGACAGACGCGGAGCATACACATTGCTGGCAACTACGTGAGTCGAACGTTCTGCCCGGCCAGAGCAGCATGCATGGGACCTCGTGGGCGGCTGCCCGAGCTGGACGTAAAGTACAACGCCAACGTCTTACCACAATCCGCGGAGCAATTGAACGACTTGATCCAGTCATGCTTTGGTCCCAAACCCAAGCATCCTGTCACCAAACTCGAGCTTCGCATATTCTACCCTGGAGACGACAGCTATAGCACTGTCTGGGGAGACGACAACTCACCGATCGTGGTAGCACTACGTAATATCCACTGCGCACAGGTTGGGATCGAAGTGTGGCGAGGGCGCGACTCTGGTACTGGCGTCTATCTCACTGCTCGAGCCCCGCAGGCTGGCGACAAGAGACGGACTGTGAGCACGGTGTGGCGGAGACTAGAGGAAGGTCGACGAGGTGAGCCGAAGTGCGGGAGCTGGATTGTCGATCCGAATTGGCCTGCATGGGAGGATGATCTTGCGGCCAGTGATCTGGCCGACGCTACAGTCGTGGACTATCCGGTCAATTGACTTGACTCGTCAGAACTTCGGCGGAGCGAACGACGTGTGCGTCAAGTGGCCTGTCGGTACTACTTCTCCATCATCCCCTGGACTTCATCTATCCACGAAGTCGACGTTAGTACACCAGCGGGATGGGAGACTTCTACTGGTTGGCATCATTTGGTTTGGTTTTGAGACTTCTTTTGTGGTCACATATACTGCTCGCAGACATGTGGCGTAGCTTTGATGTGCGCCAGCTCCTCGTCACGACGTGTGACCTGATCGCAAGTCTTCGCGTGGTAGCAAGACTTTTTGTTGCCATGGTCTGTGTTAGATGAAGATATGTGGTTGATCAATCACGGAGCTCTGGACAGCTGGGTTTCACCATAACATTCGATTCTCAGCTAATATACATAATATTCTCAGAACCATTGAAGAAGCCTCCAGCATCAGTAGATCATGACGTCCTTCGGTATCTCTCGTATCATACAGTCAATCACTATTCCTGTTTTCGTAAAGTCGTTCCCGTCGTCTCTGTCCTCGGAAGTCGTCCCGTCCCAATTCTCATCCTCACTATCAACGACGCTCCTTCTCGTATGTCCTCACATACACCTTCTCGCCACTTCGACTCGACCGGGATTCCCTGTCTTCATACCGCCTCTCATCGCTATATGACTTGCTGCTCCACGAGCTTCCAGAGCCAGAGCCGCTGTGATCGGAGCGATGATGCCTGTGCTTGCGATGTCGTTCTCGAGGCACTTCTTCGATCTTGGTGTCGTATGTTCGAAACATGTTGCCGTGCCCTCGTCGGTCGCGATCCAAGGGCAGAAATGGGATCAACGATAGTGCGAGGAAGGGGTTCAAGGCCGAGAAACCAGAGACGCCTGGTCGCTGTTCAGATCGTTGTTCTTTGCGACTAGGCATTTTCTGTGGGGCGGCGTTTGATCGATGGGTTTTGTATCAGTTGCGATGGGAGCATAGGTGTTTCATGATCCCTTTGATCTTGAAAAAGCTGGCCAAGCCTTATATACGGCTGCCTACGAATGAGGTCTCAGTCATAGTGTGGTAACACAGTCGCTGATCAATGCCGTAAGCGTCATCCTGTTGTAAAGCTCCACCGAGCTACATCATTGGTCAACCTTGTCCAGCAGGGGTAAGACAGGAATGAGCTGAGGCAGCCACGTTGCAGACTGTAGCAACCGTGTGACAGACAGGTCCAGAAGCATAGTAAACACTTGTTTGACGAAGCTCACCTCGCGAATAGGGCTGAGGCTGAGCATGTGTAGAGCTGCGATACTGTATGCACGAAGGTCGTGTTTGCAGGGCAGAGATCGGCAAAAGCCTGTTCTGGCGGCTACCGCAACGTGAAGTCTCTGCGAGGTGTGTTGCAAGGTGATATGATTCAAATTATTCTTTGTTGGATGCGTGTCAGGTTGTGGCGATTTCGTGCGCCACGTCGTGCGTCTCGTAGAGCCGCGCGCCAACTTCGAAACCAGCGATAAGGCTGTTTGCGGTTCAAGTAAGGATGCATCACGGAAGGAACACAATCACTTGTAGAGGATGAGAGAGCATTGACAAATCTAAACGTTGAAACAGCTTCATACTATTCTCAAAACTACTACAGCCGCCAAAATTACCACAACCCAAGCACTAGCGAGAACAAGGCTTGACTCCATGGCCTGTTGTCCTCCTGTGCTACACTTCCTCTCTACGTCTAATGGACCGTGGTCCGTTTGCAATGTATCGTATCCGTAAGGATCTGATGTCAGGTGATACCTTAGAAGGCAGCAGCGAGGCCAAGGAAGCCAGCAGCCAGGCCGCCGTAGATCAACTTTCCCGTCTCGATGGCAGCCATGGCGCCAGCGGCAGAGGAAGCCGAGCCAGAAGCAGCGCCTGCAACGCCGGTGGTGCTTGAGACAACAACGACTACGAAGGTAGGTCAGTATAGCTCGTAATTTGTTCATGATAAATGATAGGACATACCTGAGGTAGCCTGCTCGGGGGTCTCAGAGGTAGTGCGGGTAGTGGTGAATGTTCGGGCGGGGCCGGATGCGCTGGTGACATCAGTGCCGTTAATGGTGTTAGTCACGTAGACGTCGGCCGATGTGTAGACGAATGTCTGGACGACGGCGGTGGTGACGGTTTGACTGAAGTTAGGATTTAGCAACAGTCTAGGTGCAAAGCTGGAAGTGGATCAACGTACAGGGACTTGGGGAGGGAGGTGGTCATGACATTGGTGTCGATGACGGTGGAGACAATGAGAGCAGTGTTGAACTCAGTGTTGACGTTGGTGACCAGACTTATGCGAGGGTTGGTGGTTGTAGCGGTGTTGGAGCCAGTGACAGTCTGTGTGGAAGTGGCGACGGTGTTGGTGTCGGTGCTCGCGGCTCCCGAGGAGGTCGAGAGTACGGAGGTGTTCTCGTTCTGAGTGTTGGAGGTGTCTTGGGCGACAGCATAGCCAGCCGCGGCCGCGACAAGGCAGATAGACTTGGTGAAAAGCATCTTGACGGTTGATGTGTGGATGTTGAGCGATTGACGAATTAGGTAAATGAAGATTATGTGATGTAGCGAGTGCCTATGGTGAGTATGATGGAGGAAAGGATGAAGATTGCAGCCTGGGATGACAAGATATATACACCTTCAGCACTCTTTGGTTCTTTCACCCATGGCAAAGTCAAAGGGCAGGCTCTGCTCGGTCCACAAACCTACCTATCTCACCCGATACAAGGCTGGTCTTGTATCGCCGAAAACGTGGGCGCGTCCAGTTACCGTGACCACTCAGAGCATTGCTCGCCATTTCCCATGATCAGGCCGAGAAGTGTATATAGATGTTGATCGTCATCATGCGCAAATGTCTCCTGGTTGGAGATGTGATAGGGCCGTAGGGACCGAACGAGACTTTCGTAAAGGAGTTCTGACTTTTGATATCCTTGGCGTGACTGTAAGCCGCGGCGAGACTAGCATACAATCCTTCAGAAGGATGCTTGGCAAGATGCCTTCGTCTCGAGCATATCTCGGCAGCTCGACTCGATGTTGAGGCTCTTGAGACCGTTGTTAGATGCAGAAGTGATCGGTATTAGTCGTTGGGACTTGGGTATGTGAATCGAGCATCTACGTAACATGGCAGTACCTGCCATTCGGCGTACACTGTGAGCCCTGTTATCAAGTACTTTAGAGGAGGTGTGGGGATTATTCGCCACGAGTATCCTGCATTACTGTAGGCTATGATGTTGCCAAGAGATGGAGCGCATGGCACGCCCGTGCAGCATCCGCTACCTCCGTTCCTCTCCTTCTGGAAACATAAAAATGTGTATTATGGAGGAGGTAATGCACTTACGTCTCGACCGTCCGGTGCCTTGCACAGCGATACTTGGCGCTGGTCTGTCTGTAGCGTAGACAGCGTTCTGGAAGCATGCGTCGGACTCCAGTCACAATCATAGCGTAGATTGCTTAGGTCTTAACGGCAGGGGTCTTTCACAATGTTTAGTGCCCTGTGGTGACTGTTTGCTAAAGGGACATATCGCGGAAACTGAGGTGGCGTGCTTCACTCCCAGGTCCCGGTCTATTATTGCTGGGCATTCTGGTCGCTCGCAGTACGCTCCAAACCCATGTTTATGCTGGATGACCTTTGGGTATTAGCGGGCGGCAAGGTGCACCATTGAACATCGCTGTAGCAGGAGAGGTAGTCCGGGAAGAGCAAGCGCAAGTGCGTTATGCCCCGCTGTAATCTTCCTCGTAGTCCGGTCGCGTGCTGTAAGATCTCTTATTCATACTTAAAGTGCAATCCGTAGCGACGTGATGTTGTGTGCTGTCATGAGGCTGAAGTTTGGTCAACGTCCGACGATGATCCGGCTCCAATGCCGGCTGGGACGCCCCGGCTCCGCCAGCGATCACCTTCCGCGGACAGCCTCCGCCAAGTCTTTCTGCTCCGCGGCGTGTCTGAAGATCAATGTCTTTGTCATATGTGAAGAAATCTCTCGCAGGGGATAGTGGACAGTCGCAGTAGAATCGAGCCTCGAGCCACAAGCTGGTTTGCAGCTTGCGTCATTCTCAAGATTATGGATGGGACACGCTCCAGAAAAGTCCTTTGTGGCGATACACTTTGCTCTTTGTGAGTACTTTCCAGAGTCATAAGGTTAATGACCCACAGTTAGGGTACCGGTATAGGGAGGAGGAGCAGGAGTCCGGAGGCAGCGGCACGGAGCTCCAGAAAACTAGCGCCGGCTTGGTCCGCATTCGACTTCCGAAAACTACCATCCAAACGTTTTCTATTGCCTGCTAATCGTCGTGATGGCTTCGAGGTACGTGCTATGGCCCTTCTGGTATAGCGATCAAGAGCATTGACAAGACCGACGGTAGGTTTCAGCGCGACTCGCGCAATGCTCTTTTCTCTTCCTATGACGCCCAGACTCGATCTCGGCCTTCCTCTGCTGCTCCAGGGTCTGCTCCTCGGCCTACTTCGCGCAACCAGCCATACTCTACAAGTCATGCCAACAACAGTTCTCCATACTCACCAGGGGGTTATGGCGATGATTCAGGGCAGCTGAACGCTCAATCTTCTTCGGGTCCGGGCTTCAGTGCATATCCAGGCAGCAATGGTGATGTAGCGGGTAGGAGGAGCGGCGACGGCGGTTTCAGACCGGCTACACCGAACAAGAAGGGCCAATATAGCGATGCTGTCATTGACGAGCTAGAGAGCCAGAATGACGATCAGGTCGGCGAGATGAGCAAGAAGGTGCGGATGTTGAAGGATGTGAGTACTGATCACGCCGTTATGCTAGCGAGCCACATACTGATTGCATCTCCATAGCTTACAGTAGCAATCGGCGACGAGATACGAGACAGCACAGCATTTGCGGAGAAGATGAATGATGGCTTTGAGAGTACACGAAACCGATTACGAGGGACGATGAACAGAATGTTACGCATGGCTGAGCGCACGGGTGTGGGCTGGAGAATATGGCTCGGCTTTTTCGTTTTTATCTTTGTGTTGTTCGCATACGTGTGGCTCTTCTAGGCATGGAGCTTTGTCGCGCGTTCGGCGAGGAGTCTGGTGCATGCACATATCTGGCCTGTCTGAGTTGCTATGCATTTGGTCTCGAGCCACATATTGCAATGCGAGCAGGAACAGCGGTAGTCGTCTGCAGGACGTCCCACATCCTTCACGCTTTCACGCTCCAAAAGATCATGGACGCACGCATACCTAAGGTGTGTATAGCTGGTGGAATCGATGTTGGAGGCCACAATGCAAACCCGGACCAGGTCACAGACCGTAGACTCTATAATGAGCTTGGAATTTGGTCGATTTTGTCGATTGCAGTGACAGTCACTTTCACTCCAATTACAGATGGCCAGACCGGAATCGCGTGGGCCTACCTTGAGAACGTTCGCTAAGTTGTCTCGAGTCGCTTGATGAGAAGGGAAAGACTTGAGCCAGTAAGATGAGCTTTGAGCTATTCGCGACCCTAAGAATATTTTGGGCATTGACACCTGGAACAGCGCTGTGGGCCTAGTAGAGCGTCTCCTGTTCCGTAGCAGAGATCCGAGAGCGAACTGCTCAAGACACAATCCAAAACTTTCATGATTAGCCCATGTGCAGCCATATCATTTAATGAAAGTTGCTTGGTGAGGATGTAGGTCAGCCTGGCGTTCTCTGATTGGCCCCCGAAGCCTCGCTCTCGACCGCTGCACGAATTCACGCTAGTGAAGCACGCCTTATCGCCTTCAAGCACGAATGAGTCTAAAAGTGCCACCTTCACCTATCGGAACAAGCACATTCGCGGACCTGGCCGCATCACATAGGCTGCCATCCAAGCCGAGTCAAGACGACACATGGTTGGACGCATGCCATGCCCAGCGCTGCCAAAGAACAAGCTGCTCAGCAAATCTTGCGTCTGGAACATCCAATCTGGCCTCACGTCTCTCGTCGCCTATGCTTTTTATGCTGAATGTAGGGTCCTTGCGGTAGAGGGTGCGGGTAGAGCCTCAAGCTCTTACCTCGAGCATACGGTGGCTGACTGTAGGTGGTCTCACTGGGGCACGCACGGCCGCTCCGGTTTCTAGAACGTGGTAGCTTTGCAACATACCCTGGATGCCATGTTGTGGCTAGCTCATGCGGTGCGGTATGGCTGGCCACCATCTCGCGTATAAGTGGAGGTTTGGGTACGTTGATACTGGGCACGCGCTTCTCTTGACTTCACTTCCCGATCTTCCACCCTCACTCATTCGCCTTCCACCCTGCTCGACCCAGAGTGCTGTACAGCACAGTTTGGTGATCTCACTCCCGGCAACCTCTACCTCGAACATTACCGGCCAACAAGCTCAGTAATGGCCCACTTGTACGACGACGAGAAGAAGATCGGCTATGTGGCCTCCGACGAAGTCAATGCACCTCAGCATGATGGCATGAGCATTGATACCATAAGTGCTCTTGTGGCAGAAGGTGTGAACAACCAAATAGGCTATGCGTGATAAGATATCCCAAGCTGACTTCTCCATCTCCAGACCACGGACATGAAATCCAATTGCGAACAATGTCGTGGCAAAAGGCCGCCTGGCTCCTCGCGGGTGACCAGGTATGTCTCGCTATTATGGCTCAGACATGGTCCCTCAGTGTCCTAGGCTGGGTCCCTGGCATTATCACCATGGTTCTCGCCGGCATCCTCTTCTGGATCACGTCAATGACCATGTGGCGATTCATCATGAAGTATCCCCAGATCAAGGACATTTGCGACTTTGGCTACTACGCCTTTGGAAGGAGCAGGCTCGCGTACGAGTTCACTGGATTCATGCTTCTTGCGAACAATATCATGCTCATCGGCTTTCACGTCCTCACTGGCGCCAAGGTCCTCAATACTCTGACCGACCACTCCTTGTGCACGGTGACCTTTTCTGTCATTGTGTCCATCATGGGTGTGATTATGTCCTTGCCGCGAACGCTGAAGCACGTCAGCTTCATGTCAATGTTCTCCGCTTCCGCCATGGGTCTTGCTATTTTGCTTTTCCTCGTCTTCAGTGGGATTGAGGCACATCCCGGCTTAGGCTACAGTGGCGAGTGGACCGCCTCCGACCCTGTCAGGACATATGCCTTCCCACTGGCCGGCACAGACTTCGTCGCTGCCATGGGCGCAGTACTCAACATCAGCTTCCTTTGGGTGCCTCAAATTCTGTTCCCAACATTCATCTCCGAAATGGAGAAGCCGCAAGACTTCCCGAAGGCTCTAGCCGTCTTGGCTGGTATCTCTGGCTTCTTGTTCATCGTGCCGCCAGCCATTGGCTTCCATTATCTCGGTCAATACTCCACTGCACCAGCCTTTGGCAGTCTTGGGACGGACGTCTATAAGAAGGCATCGTTCGGGTTCGTCATTGTTCCAACCCTAGTCATTGGTGTGATCTACGCCAATGTCAGTGCCAAGTTCATCTACTTCCGCATCATGGGCAACTCACGACATGCTCACAGCAATACCGTTATCGGCTGGGGTGTGTGGGCTGCCGTTATGGCAGTCATCTGGGTCATTGCCTTCATCTTCGCCGAGGTCATCCCGTCTATGGGTGACTTTTTGTCGCTTCTCGGTGCCGCTTTTGACAGCTTCTTCGGGTACATATTCTTTGCCGTGGCATACTACTTCCTTTACCAGGGCAAGTTTTTCGCGGGCATCGGCAGGAGTATTATGACCGTTATCCATATCTTCGTCATGGTAAGAATGATACCACTACAAGCGTTGAGGCACCTGCTAACCTTGATTGTAGATCGTTGGCCTATTCCTCCTTGGCCCTGGTCTTTACGCCGCAGTCAAGGCTATCATGGTCGATTACTCCGGCAGCACAAGGCCGGCATTCACTTGCAAGAATTTGTCTATCTAGACCTTGACGCTTGGACTAGGAAGCACGCTCTGCTCAAGATCGTGCGATGGAGGCCGTTCCACGATTGTGTGTTTGAGGTACCCGTAATGCTTTAGCTCATCTCTCGATGATCCATGCTACGAATACGCTATGTATATAGCAATATGACCCATTTCTGTCAAGTCTCATTATACACCCGCAGTAACGCGTGCTCGATGCATGCGCCATGCCATGGCACCGTGGATCTTGAGACAGACATGTCCTGGCAGCAGAAGCATGTCAACAAAACGCATCGTCCGCTGTCTATGATCACAGGATCCAAATATTTGAGCAGCCACAATATATTAATCGCCTGGCTTCTCTCGCTTGGTGGATCTGCTTCGTACGGCATGACTTCACTAGATCCCGCGTCTAAGAGTGAGCCGCGCGATGGTAAGAAGCATCTCGCCGTGATATGCAAGACACGTGTAATCTCCCGAGTGCAAACATGTTTGCTACACCTATTTGAGCCATTCAGCTACGCGAAGACCGTTCCCCTCAATCAGCACAGTCTACGCATCTCCACCCTGCCACTCGCTGCTCAAGATCAAGGCAAGCCAGATGGAAGTCACCACGAGCGCAGTGAGGATTGTCACAGACGATGGTCCTCCTCATAGTGGTGACAGGCTCACCACACGCGCACACTCGTCGACGCTTGATAGGCTTCTCGTCGTCCCGGATCCTGGCCGAAGGACCACCGTTGGATGTTGCGATCCCTCGTGCCACGGCTGTGTCGTCGTCGTCGTCTACATCAGCCATGATAGTATCATCGTCCAGGTCACCAGATCCATTGCGCACATCAGCTCTAGCAGCGTCGTACAGAGCACCTGAGCTCTTCTTCGTTGCGCAAGACGAGTGCAAAGTGCCAACACCGCTCTGAATAATGTCCTTGTCAGCTCCGCCGCCACTCCATCTATGAGGCTTCTTTTTTGCGCTGCCTTGAGACGCCGAGGCAAATCTTCCGTTCGAGCGCGCTTGACCATTGCCAGGTAGAGACTCATCCCGCTTCGGCGTACCATTCGAATGGTCGGCCTCGGCCTTTGCAGATCCACGTGTCGACATGATGCCCAGACAATACTTCACAGCATCCGAGTCCAGCAGACCATGATCACGCAGATGAATAAGCTTCGCCTGGAGCTCGTCGAGCCACCCACCACTGTGGTGCGCATCACGATACTTGCGCACGAAGCGAACGGAAGTGTCTCTGATCGAGGCTCTCCCAATGGGTTGCTCGATATCCAGATGCTTGTTGAACGCCTTGTGAAACGCTCGGGCTTCGAAAGATAGGCCAGCATCAAGCAAGTCGCGTCGCTGACTGTGTAGTAGTCTGTTGTCATCGCCATCAGCCTCACCATGCCGTAATGTCTCGCCTGCTTTTATCGGCAGTTTCGAGCTGCTGTGGTAGAAAGTAACGTCCATGATGTCCGGCACGACACTATGCCGCGGTTGAGACACCGGTAGATTTGGTACGTCCTCGACCGCCAGTACCTGTCTGAGCCGAGGAGGCACTGTGTGTATGACCTCCTCGGGCCTCGTTGCCCCCTGGCGCGCAAATCGGCCTTTGCGCCTGCTCTGCTCGCTGACGCGCTGGCCGCCACCGATCCACCTTTCGTCACCAGCAGCAAATGCTTTCAGGTCGAACGGTCGTGAAGGAGCAATCCACGAGTAGCCCTCGTGTGTGTTTTCCTGTGCCCGGGCGTCCGCGTCAACACCTTTCTCCTTATCGCTGATGTTCACACAAACAATCTCAGCGCCGTCATCTGATTCGAGACGCTCGCCGAGCTGCCAATCAAGATATCCATGGAAGCAGCGGTAGTGGAACAGTAACCTCTCAAACGAGCTCGCGGGTGGTTGCCGTGCCGTCTTACGACTGTTCGATCGTTGCCGGTCATCTCCCGATGCGCTTGTGCACAGTATACAGTCCAGTGATTGGACATTGGTGATATTTGTCTCGATGCCCACCTGTCTCTGATATCGTACGGTGATGCCTTTCGTCCTCCCCGCGCCAACTTCAAGATCATCCGACGAGCTTGGTGTGGGTAATTGCTGGCTGGGCGAATTCATCATTCTGTTGTGCCGAACCAGCTCTGACTCCCTCCGCTTGTTCCAGCCCATTGATACTTCGAGCCCGTACTTGAGATCCAGACTCTTATGTCCAAACGCGCGCTTGAGTGGCAAAAGTCGACCACTTGACGGACAGTTTGGCAACTTGTCCCACGTAGCTCTCACAATGCCTTCATTTGCAGGTCTCCCATTGAAGTGATCTGCGTGGCATGACTCGACCACGCTCAAAAATTGAGCCGAGTGAGCGGATTCAGCAAAGTGTAGACTGATCTCCAGTGAGTAGCTGTTGATGACTGTTCGCTTCCATCGCCGTTGTCCGTTGGTACCGCATGCTTCAGCCTGGAAGATATTGCCGAGCTTTATATGGAAAGCCTTCGCCAGCCGGACGTCAAGGGTCTGATCGCCGTCACTGCCGACTCGTCTCACAATGGTCGCCTCATGCTGCTCAACATGGATCACGCGTCCCTTAGTCGTCGTGCGCGTGTCAAGCACCGTCACATGAACCTCACACGGTAAGAGCAGCCCATCACCCGGGTCTGGCAGGAAATCGAGTGGTATATTTTGCCCAGATTGCCTGTCTGTTCGATTCGACATAGCCTTCGAGCTCAGTAGACGTAATCGAAGACCGTCTATTCTAAGATCGGGCTTCACTCCGCGCGTCAGATCGTCCAGCATCTCCTTAGTAGGGAAGTCCCATCCAGAGGTCCGCCACTCGTTTGCTGGCATGATGGCATGAGACAGTGGCGTCACGTTTCGTTTCAATAGCGCCTCATGCGCATCCAAGATTGTGTTCAAGTTCCGTCGTAGAAAGAATTGTGGCTGTTGTGTTCCAATTTGACGATATAAGCAGAAATTGCCAGTGGTCCTTTTGTGGCCAGTGTATTCAACCATGTCAAATACCGCGACGGCGCGAACAATCTTGGGGCGCCAAGTGAGGTACTTGCATCATGTGGTCTTGTGAACCTGATCAATAGGGACGCGGTATTGTCGTTGCTATTGTTGTTGAGGCAGATGCCGGTGTCACGTCACTTTGAAACTTCGAGGGCCGCCTGTAAGTGAAGATATTGGGGGAGTCCTCCGGTAAGTTTGATGTCAGGCAGGATATTGTTGTTGTTTGCTATAAATCAAATATGCACTTCTGGACACAGAGTGCAGGAGGGACGCGCTTGCATGCATGCGCTCGAGCCAACGACCTATCAAAAGCATGCAAGCCTCAGGCATCAGGAGACGCGAAAGAGGCGGCTAAATGTCACTTCACACCGAAACGACCATGGACATTAGTGATAGACAAATGATGGTAGAAAGGCATGATATAGAACTCCATATCGCAGCTACAGACACCTCAATAACGCCATGAGCCATGACAGCAATCTCTAGTAAGGTAGTCATCGCGCCACCTGCACATGCACAAAAACCTGCCAGCCTGCAAGAGTATATGATGCAAGCAAGCTAGCATATTAAGCCTTCGCTCTCCCTCGTCTGTGCCATGGAAAACGCTACCCAGCAGGAGGAAAAGTAACGTAGTCTAGTCTCATGTTCTCAATGATGAAACGCCCCCCGCCGGAAATCCAACGCTTCGTTTCCTTTGCTATGCGTGATTCTCCTCGTTGTTGCCCTTTAACAGCAGCCGCCTGCGCTACCGGACTGCACGCCTTGACCTTGGCCGACTTGTACGGTGGGCTTGTTGTTGACGGTAGTGTTGCCCATGCGCTCCTTGATTTGGCGAGCCATGGTCAGGAAAGCTTGCTCGACGTTACTAGCGTTCTTGGCCGAGGTCTCGAGGAATGGGATGCCTAGGCTGTCCGCAAATTCCTGCAATCACAAGATTAGTATCTAGTGCGACTGCACAGTGAGTGACATGAAGCTGCTGCCTAGCACTCACCTTGGCCACGGTGTACTCAACCACCTTCTTGTCCGCCATATCGCTCTTGTTGCCCACGAGAAGCTTGTTCACACCCTCTGTGGCGTAGCGGTCGATCTCCTGCAGCCACTGCTTGACGTTGTTGAAGGAGTCCATGTCTGTGACATCGTAGACGACGCAGATGCCGTGGGCACCGCGGTAGTAGGAGGATGTGATGGTGCGGAAGCGCTCTTGTCCTGCGGTATCCCACTGCATTGACATCATGTTAGCAACCACGTGTTCCACCTCATCGCGTATTCAATGACGTACAATCTGCAACTTCACAGTCTTGCCATCGAGCTCGATAGTTCTGATCTTGAAATCGACACCGATGGTCGAAATGTAGCTCTCCGTGTACGTGTCGTCGGCGAATCGAAGAAGCAAGCAAGACTTTCCCACTCCAGAGTCTCCGATCAGCAGGAGCTTGAAGAGGTAGTCGTATCTGTTTTCAATCGGGGTCAGTGAGCTGGGCGATACATCAAGCGCCTTCTTGACCGCGAATCCAGTGAGAGGCTTCGACATGGTGGCAGCGGCTACGGCAGTGGCAGGGCAGAGTAGCGGTCCAGTTGTGCGGTGGTCCAGTGATTGATATATGTGAGTGAGCGGTGTTTGTTGGCATGAGAGTCACCGGTTTGTGTAGGTCGCGGCAAAGGTGCGGAAGAGGGAGGGGTACACTAGATATCGATAGCAATCAGCAGAAGCTCTGACAGAGGCGCGCACCTCGACCGTGAAGTGATGTTGGCCCTGATGCTTCGGGGCGAGCTTGCACTCACTACTCGGGATTCATGATGGCTGCGCGGATCGGGGTAGATGATGTGGTATGTGCGCGTAGATCGTGAGGAGTACGACGATGCTTGTTAGAGGCACACTGGAAGTTTTGTGAGGGGATGGTGTGTGTGGGAAGGGTAGTCAGTCGTGAAGGATGGGCGTGCGGTAATGTCACAGGCAGCGCTGTCCATGAGACCCTTCATGCGCGGCGGGCGTTTCCCGACAAGCCCAAAGATCCGCCACTGTCACATGGCTTGACAGCCGGCGCTGCACGTTCACGACTGTTTCAATGTTGTGTATCGTGATAGAATATGATTGCTTCGCTGTAGACATACGCACTCGTATACATCTATTCACATGAAATCATCGCTGTCATGCCTAGACACAAATCGTGCTGCGCTGCTGAAAGACAAGCATTGCACGTCTGTTTTCCTTAACCCAGAAAAAGCCAGCCAAGAACACATGCTTGTCTAATAACCACCAGATCCACCATATCCACCGCCGCCGTACCCACCCTGTTGCTGCTGTCCATACCCACCACCTTGCTGATGTTGATGTTGGGCGCCTGGATAAGCAGAGTATTGCTGGTTATGCTGATGCTGGCCCGCGTTATGTCCTTCCATTGGTGGCGGTGGAGGGTACGACTGTTGTCCTCCGTACCCACCTGATTGCTGACCATATTGTCCGGTAGGAGGTTGATGTTGCTGATGTTGGCCATAGCCGCCTGAAGAAGCGCCACCATATGATTGTTGCTGATGCGATTGCGAGTAATCATTTCCGTGTTGGCCTGGAGCTTGATACGAGCCGCTCTGTGGTCCATAGCCGCCCTGTTGGCCTCCATACTGGCCAGAAGGTGGCCCTCCTTGGTGCTGCTGATGTTGAGGTGTGCCATAGCCACTGCCTGCTGCGCTACCGCCGTAGCCGGACTGATGTTGCTGTTGTTGTGATGCGCCGTAACCTGTCTGCTGCGAACCATATCCACCGCCGCCCTGCTGACCGTACGAGCTTCCTCCTTGCTGCTGCCCATACCCTGCATTCGGCTTCGAGTGCGCATTATGGTGCTCCTGGTACGACGCCGCCGGTGCAGTGCCATTGTACGTGCCAGTCTGCCCATTCGAGGAGTATCCATAGTTCGACCCGCCAGTCTTTCCGTGCCCACCCAAGAAGTTACTCGCCATCGCTCCCAGTTGTCCAAGCCCACCACCACCTCCACCCGACGACTGGTGTTGGCTCTGCTGATTCTGGTGCTGCTGTTGTTGTGGCTTCTGCGAGCTACCACCGCCCAAGAACGACTGTGCTAGTCCGCCAAGCCCCGAACTTCCTCCTCCACTCGAGGAGCCATGGTTATTGTTGCTGCTACCGCCTCCCAGAAACGAAGAAGCGATACTGCCGAGTGGTGACGAGCCTGATCCTCCCGAACCTTTCTTCAGATATGCGCCTAGCAGATCACCCTAGGAAGCAAGTCAGTAACCCATCTGAACTTGACATCGATAGAGACATACACCCAGACTGCGCTCGCCCTCCTGCCCCTCCATTCCCCTCGACCCTTCACCTTCGCCAGGCCGATCGTACGGGTTGCCCTGTGCTGGTGTGCCGCCTGGTGTAGGCATATTGGGAGCGGCGGTAGTCGGTACTTCCCACGTAGATTCTCCGGTGCTTATCTGAACAAAGTAGTACTTTCTTGATCTGTCCAAAACAAATCATGATCAGCAGATGAAGCACGAGCGGTTAGTTGTGAGTTGAGCTTGTGCAATGATGTCTCGTGCCAGCACTAGTTTGAAATCGACACGTGCGAAAACCACAGGGATGAAGCACTCACTTCGCGTCGAACTGCGCAATCCTTCAAGAGAACAACGGATACGTCAGTGCCAAGCTCAAGATGTGTCAAAAGCTCGAGTGGGGAGATGAGGAGAAGTAAGGTAGGTATGTGGGCAAGAACGATGCTCTTCAGGAAAGGACGAATGACAAGTATGCTCGACTTGCAGCTGCATCACAGAGAGACGCACCATCCAGGAGGCAAAGAAGGCGGCGCTTTATCAGGCCCAGCATCGGGAGTTGTGGGCTCAGCCATGTTGCTGCGTGCGTGGTGCTTGCCACAGACGTTTGCTTGGTACTGGAAACAGCAGGGCAGGGCAGTGTCGAATGGTGATCCTTGCCCTTCTCAAGCAGTAAAGACGCGGTTGCGGTGCGGTCGGCTGTCAATGTCTCGGTATTATTTTCCAACTGTCAGTTCAAGGGGAAGAATATCCTCCACGCACGCACAAACAAATTTATCGCGTCGCCGGCTACCGGCTTCGACATTGCTCCGGAGCACGCACGCCCGCAGGCAAGCTGGTAAGCAGAGCACAGAAAAGACTACTATACTTTACCGTATTCTGTGCTGTCACATGGGTGCTGTCGCGCCAGTAGTGCAATGGATGAGTGGGTTGTGTGGCTGAGCGTGCGTCGTGCATGAGAAGCGCGGTGCTAGCTTTCTCGTGCTCAGCAGAGCAAGGGCCACGGCGTTTCGTTGCAATTATGCTGTGTATGCAAACATTTACGAGCAGGCACTTTGATGTGATGGCTTCAATTACAAGTCAAAGGAAACATGATATCTAGCAGCCTGAGGTCAATGCCTAGCTACTCCCACTTGCAGGCGCAGCGTAGTCTGCCAGCCATAAAGCATGCTCAATTCGCCAACTGCGCCATGCCATAATCTCGCTCAAAGTCTCCTCCGTCCATAACGTCAGTCAGACAGTCACCTCTCATCATGTACACATCTAGTACTCGGCCTCACCACCCTCATCACCCTCAGCAGAATCAGCGGCAACTTCCTCGTAGTCGCGCTCGAGCGCAGCCAAGTCCTCACGGGCCTCGCTGAATTCACCCTCCTCCATACCCTCACCGACATACCAGTGAACGAAAGCACGCTTGCTGTACATGAGGTCGAACTTGTGTGAGAGAGCGGACCAGGCCTCCGCGATGGCGGTGGTGTTGGACAACATGCAGACGGCGCGGTTGACCTTGGCCAAGTCACCGTTGGGGACGACCTGAGGAGGTTGGTAGCAGATGCCGAGCTTAAAGCCAGTGGGGCACCAGTCGACGAACTGGATGGTCCGCTTAGTCTTGAGAGTGGCGACGGCCTGGTGAGTGTCCTTGGGCACGACATCACCGCGGTAGAGGAGGCAAGTGGCCATGTACTTGCCGTTGCGCGGGTCACACTTCACCATCTGGTTGTTTGGCTCGAAGCAGGACATAGAGATCTCCTGAACGCTGTTGGCCTCGTGGGCGGCGCGAGCGGCAGAGATGATTGGTGCGTAGGCGACAAGCGGGAAGTGGATGCGAGGGTATGGAACGAGGTTGGTCTGGAACTCGTTGAGGTCGACGTTCAAGGAGCCGTCGAAGCGGAGAGAGGCGGTGATGGAGGAGACGACCTGTGCGATCAGGCGGTTCAAGTTCTCGTAGTTGGGGCGCTCGATGCCAAGGTTGCGACGGCAGATGTCGTAGATGGCCTCATTGTCGACCATGAACGAGCAGTCCGAGTGCTCAAGTGTAGTGTGTGTCGTGAGGATGGAGTTGTACGGCTCGACGACCGAAGTAGCGACCTGTGGGGCCGGGTAGACGCAGAACTCAAGCTTGCACTTCTTGCCGTAGTCGACTGACAAGCGCTCCATGAGCAGGGCACCGAAACCGGAGCCGGTGCCACCGCCGAAGGAGTGGAAGACGAGGAAACCCTGAAGACCAGAGCAATTGTCCGCCACGCGCCTGACCTTGTCCAAGACCTCGTCGATCAACTCCTTGCCCACGGTGTAGTGCCCACGAGCGTAATTGTTCGAAGCATCCTCCTTGCCTGTGATCATGTGCTCCGGGTGGAACAGACTGCGGTAGGGACCGGTGCGGACCTCGTCGACGACATTGGGCTCGAGATCGGCGTAGATGGTGCGTGGGACGTACTTGCCGTTGCCTGTCGGACGTCAGCTCAATGTCTTGCTCACGTGGCCCCTGACTTCACTCACCAGTCTCGGAGAAGAAAGTGGAGAAGCCTTGATCGTCATTGTTGGCCTTGCGCTCTTCAGTCAGGTAGCCATCGGGCTGGATGCCGTGCTCAAGGCAGTACAGCTATTGTTCCCGTCAGTGTTTACTCCTTAGGCAGCCATATTTTCTCGAGTCCGGGTCGTTCGTCTCTGCTCTTGAATTGGTATGGACTCACCTCCCAGCAGCTGTTGGCGATCTGGCAACCGGCTTGGCCAACTATAACGCGTATTTTGTCAGCATTTGTTCTGTTTAGAATATCTTTCTCAACATGGCGGTCAAGGCCAGGTGGGGGCACAGATGACTGAGGGTAGACGTACCGTTCAAGCTGATAACTTCACGCATCTTGGCGGTTGGTCTTGGTGTGTGGTATGGTTATCGTTAGTATTGTCGGTATGGTCGGAGGGTCGTAGCAGAGAGGATGTCGCTGGCGAGCAAGCGCGTGTGTTGTTGAGCGGGGAGGTGTTTTTGTTTAGTGGGCTTCTCGAAGCGGATTCAGGGCCACTAGAACTAGCGGAACGCGAGACTGACCAATAGCAGTGCGCAGACAGCACCTGCCCTTCTACTCCTACTCACACCATCAAATGACCGTGAAAGGATCTAGATATTCATATACATTTGGAAGATTGAGCACGGCGATAGATTCTTTATCAGTCACGAGCAGTCCCAGCATGAGCAAACACGAAATCACCACTAACACACGTGCCACCGCTCGCCATGCATCTGATGTCGATAGCTCAATCTCTCACGCTGTTCGCTACTGCCGCCTACGCAAACACTGAGAAGGTCATCTTCTCCGCGCCACCTGCCATACGCATTCCAGATACAGGCCCATTGCTCGAGACACTACAGCTGGTGTCGCTATCGGCGAAGTCATCAAAAGAACGTCTCTCACTGGCAGTCAATTTTCCTAGCGAAGAACAACCGCGTGGTCTTGAGTCCTGGTATCTACTGCGTGACTTATCACCGACGCAACGCTACGAAGTCCGTGTCTGCTGGGCAGCCATTGTAAGCCCAAAGCACTCGCCTTCAGATTTTTCAGCTCACGTTTCATCAGCAACCGACAACTTTCTGGCTGGACACATACACTGTCGACCACGTTTTCGATACACCCCCTTTGGTGCAAAGTCTGGCTGCATTCTCGTTGGAGAGACAGGAGGCAAACTCACAGTTGCTTACAGGCAGTCACACTGGATCTGACCAGGAAAGCCTACTGTTCCTTCGTCTTCAGGCTGCCGCGGACTTCTTCTCTTCGAACACGACATTGATGCAAGATCCCCCGCCTGTTGACATTGACCTTTTACTCGACCCTTATCTGGGTAACTTCTTTCCGCGCTCATTACTACCAACTGGGACCTACATTGTCCTGCTTGCTATTGGTGGATGGTGGGTTTCTGGCGTCATCTGGAAGCAGTACTTCACGCCAGAGAAGGCGCACAAGGACTGAAGGGTCCTTGTCATGATCTATCGACCAGTCATGGTAGACAGCAACATCGGAAGTGAAGCCGGCCAGGGCGATAGCAACGACGCCAACCCTTCCGCCGGAAACAGCGATCAAGCGGTGTCGGCTCGTCACCCATTCTTTAATCTCCCGCCAGAGCTCATCCTCGACATCGTGGAGCTTTTGCAGCCCGAAGCTTTCATCAACTTCGACTTCGCCAACTACCCGCTCCTCCACGCCTATGGCCTGGCTCCAGCACTATCACGATCACGCATCGTCTACCTTACCAACCAAACACAGATACCGGCTCTATTACCACTAAGAGCCCTTCCACCGGAGATCATGCTGCAGGTCCTTCGACGTCTGAAGCCGATCGATACTATGAGATTTGCCGTCGCGAACTACCAACGTCTTGCTGAGCAAGGTATTGCTCCGCCTCTGAGCTTACAGACGATGCATCAGCTCAGAAATGCCGCCAATATCAGTTACACGCCAGGCGTGCTCAATTTCACCCGCAATGCTGATAGCAATGTCGAATAAGGCAGTCATCGTTGTCGAAATCGCATCACACGGACGCTTGGTAGCAGATAGCGGTGGACGGACGCGTGCCACTCACTCTGAGGTCCAGTCTTCAAGGCACGGAAATGTCGCGACCTGGCAAGGCCGTAAGAAGCATTGGGCGGGAGCTTGAGCTGCTTCTGCTGAAATCCGATGCTGCTTGTGCGCCTTGTGATGGCAACGCACGTCAATGCTTCGATGCAGCTGAGATCCCTCGGGAAATAATCTGCGCACATTCTAGCCTTGAATGTATAAAGATATAGCATGCCGGCGTCGACTTCGTACAAGCACTCACACTAGTGGTACCGAGGACTGCAACTGCCGATTTGTCGTATATCTCCACGGTCCGTGCCGGCCAACGGCTATATCATCGTGACGGTCACATCGAGCATCATGTTCTTGGCCCACTGAAAGCAATCGAAGTCATCAATAGACATATTCCATTTGGCACGCATGCGCTTTGCGCTCTGCTATGTCGAAAGCGGCTTGATTCAAGATGCGCGATTTCGACATTATACTTCCTCTTCGGTTGAAGCGGCGCGTCCTAGCCGACATCAAAATACAGACGACCGAAGCGGACGAATGGCCATTGCATCACGTCTGCACTCCACGGCAGGGTTCTACAGTAGACCATGTCGATCGTGCAATATAATAACACTACCGCACAGTGTCCCGCACGGCTCTTGGGGTACTCTGAGTCTAGGCATGGATTTTGCACAGCGCCGTCACCGGCGTCGTCGTCATCCGTGGTCAATGGCAAGCATGTATGCAAAGTACAAAGCCTGGATCTGATCATGTAGGTATCAATTCTTCTCTTCTCCAACTTGTTTGACTGCATCTCGCCAACATGAAGTTCGCCACGTCCATTGCCGCCATTGCTGGCTTGACTACTGTCGTGTCAGCCCGACCTGCTCCAAGGACATGGAAACGACAGAACGATGCTGTTGTCAGTGAGCCAGGTGCAGACGCTATCGACAACTCGGCCATTCCATACGCCGCTGTAGGGCCTGTTGGCGCACAGGGAAACATCTACGGCTCGGAGGCTCTCCTCGGCTCTGCAGGAGACAGTGCCAAAGCTACTGAAGTCGGACCAGGAGTGGCCCAACCAGCTACTATGTTGGAGACTACACCTTGGTGCCAGGGCAGGAGGAAGATGCAGATCTCGGGTTGTACCTCGACATGACCAGCACTCCCAACCCGCAGCCTATTCGTGGTGACAGTGGAGCTACTGACCCAGGTCCTCGCAATCTGCCCATCGACCGCCAGAACCCGGATGCTCTCGCCAGACCTGGGACAGATATGGGCTCCATACCTAACGCGAAGTGGCCGATGGGTCTTTCGAGCGCACGACCGGGTACTGGTGGTGGTCAGCCTGGATGGGCAAGGCAGGAGAACACAGACCAGTTGCCTGTCGCCACTGCTATGGCTGGTGTCGACATGCGTCTCGGACCTAATGCTTACCGGGAGCTTCATTGGCATTCTGCGAATGAGTGGTCGTACATCCTGTCGGGTAGTGTTCGTATTGCTGCTGTCAATCAGAACGGGCAGTCTTTCGTCGATGACTTGCAGGCAGGTGATTTGTGGTGAGTGCGGAAGTAGTCACGGCACAAGCAGCATGATCTAACATCGCTTCAGGTTCTTCCCGGCCGGTGTGCCACACAGCATCCAAGCCACAGACGAAGGCGTGGAATTCCTTCTGGTGTTCAACCAGGGCGACTTCTCGGAGGACGGCACCGATCTCGTGTCCGAGCTCTTCGCTCGCAATCCTCTCGAAATCCTCGCCAAGAATTTCCAGACCGACGTCAGCACGTTCAAGAACATTCCCAAGGACCAACGCTACATTTTCAACGGATCTCCAGATAACACAACGCTCGAGGAAGCACGCAAAGCCGTCACTGGACCAGCCGGACCACTTCCAGCCAATGAGTCGTACAGCTACCATCTCTCAGCACAAGACCCTTACACCGTTCCTGGTGGCAGCGTTAAGATTGTTGATCCAAGCACTTTCCCGATCGCCAACAACTTCTCCATGGCTCTTTTCACCATCGGACCAGGTGCGATGCGTGAGATCCACTGGCACTTGACATTCGATGAATGGAATTTCTTCCTTCAAGGCAATGCCCGTGTGACAGTCTTCTCCGGCCCACAGGCATCGCGCACCTTTGACTTCCAGGAAGGTGACGTCGGTTACGTTCCCGTCGCATCCTCGCGCTATGTCGAGAATGTCGGCACCACGCCCGTGGTATACATGGAAGTCCTCCAGGCGCCACGATACATCGACATATCTGCCGCGCAGTGGTTAGGTCTCACCCCTAGTCATGTGGTCAAGGATACATTGAATGTGCCGCAGGCGTTCATTGATACCTTGCCGAAGACCAAGAGGTATATCGTTCCGGGCAACACGAACTTGACGACTACGAACTTCACTGTTGCGAGCTATCCTAATGCTGCATTGAGTGCGACAAGCGGGAGCTCTTGATGATTGGCGTTAGGAAGAAGTGTGTAATCAGACATAACCGTGCACTGATCGTGCACATAAAAGATGAAGCTCGAATAGTGCAGGAACCCTACAACGATCAGGCCTTGTCATCGTCGCCAACATCCTTCTTCTCTAGATATTGATCATACGATCCGTGTCGTCCACCCGGCACACCCTCAGATCTCTCTTGCCTCTTTTGCAGCATGAGAGTGCCGAGCGTGCAAAGAAGTAGAAAGCCTCCCATCGTCATCATGGCAATGTTACCCTCGTACCAGTCTGGCGCTTGCGTAGCATTATAAAAAAGCAAGCTCCAGAATAGGTAGACTGCAGCGCTGAACATGTTCATGCTGGCAAGCACAACAGACCTTTTCGCGTCATCCCCACGTATCAGGTCGTTGGCCCATGCGAACATTACTGTCTGGCCAGAATACTGGATGCCGTTCAGGATCAGCGCCGCAAACCGTGCCGCTCGTGTTGGTGCAGAAAGCATTAGTGCACCGGAGATGATGGCTGTGAAGGAGAGAAGGACTCCCACGTGCCAGCGGCGAGAAGTGTTCCAGTCTGAGTACCACCCCAGAACCAGAGTGGCGACTATGCCCATGCCGCTCACGGCTGTGGGTATGTAGTTCACCTGCTCGATGGAGAAGTCCTTGGTGCTTTTCAGCCAGAGCTGCATGATGCCGTTCGAGGAGTACATCTCCGTATTCGAGCACGCCACCCACAGCAAGACGAAAGCCCACCAATGCCAGGATAGGACGACTCTCTTTATGAGACTGAACCCGAGGACACCACGTTTCCGACTGACCTCTGGCAAGCGCTCAACAGCCAGTACTCGTTCCTCATGACTGAGATACCTCGCTCGCGTACTCGTTGGCGTATCCGGAAAGCACAAGAGACCATACACCGCAATAGGCAACGTAATCAGAAAGTCAATCACAAACAACCATCTCCAACCAGCCAGCCCTGACGCACCATTCAGGTTTTTATAGATGGCCCCTTGCATAAGTCCGCTGAACATGGAGCCAGCCAGCCCCGAACTCGTGAAAATCGCAGTCCTTTTCCCGATTTCTTCAGGCCGGTACCAAGACCCTAATATCCATTGGACTCCTACAAAGCACGAGGCTTCAAAGAATCCCTGGAAGAATCGGATGACCATTATCTCCCAAGGATGATGCGTGAACGCTGTGCCAAGGGTGAGGAAGCCCCAAGCCAAGCAAGTTACTGGGAGCCAGATTCGGGGTGGAACCTTTTGCATTATGAGGTTGTTTGGGATCTGGCCTACAGACCGGCGTGTATACCGTTAGCAAGTGTTGAACCACGGCCTTTGACCAGGAATGCCTACCAAGAAGATACCCGCCATAGAAGATCGTGGTAATCTGGTTGAGCTGAGTGCCCTTGAACCCAAGGTCTTCGCGAGCACCAGAGACGTACGCATTGTTCAAATTGCTTCGGTCAAGGTAGTTGACCTTGATCATGGTGAGTAACGTCAGATGATAGGCTGGAAGATACGGTCGGTATACTTACCCAGTACATCAAGCAGACATAAGTCAGGACGAAGAAATCGACCTTTTGCACCAATCTTCGTTCAGCTTTCGTTGGTGGAGGCTCATCCCAGACGACGACTCTCAGCTTGTGCAGAAGGCCCATGTTGGTAGAGTGCCGTGGTCTTGTCTGGCTGTTATGCTGTCGCAAAGTCGACGGCAATCGCTCTGCGGAAGAAGGACGGTTGTACACTCTCGGGATCAAGGCATGGAAACGATATCGAAGCTCACCACGATTCGGGACGACCACGGCGAATGACTATCAGTGCGGTCGTTATCAGAGGTGTCCCAGATCCCTACTCCATAATCTGCTTGGGTGGTAGGGTAGGGTGGCATTGATGCCCGCTCGATCGAGGTACGGTGGTATCTTTGTGCCGAAGTTGCCGAAGTCAAACGGCTAAACACCGGCAAGCAACAACTGTTGCGAAGAGGTGAGAAATGATAGCAGGGATGAGAATCAGACGGCGAAGCACAGTCAAGTAAGTCGTGAGGAGAGCAAAGTGTGTATCTCGTAAGGCTATCTCGGCAAAAGACAGATCTCGCAACCGCCAGATCAACACCTCCACGCCGTACACCGTGCCCAATGACCGCAGCTCCTGTTCAACACAAGAGTGTCAATTCGTGCCGTACCAGTCTAAGGCTCATGCAAGTCATACAAGTCGTCCTCTCAATATTCGAGCCTCTCTAAGCATCCACTTTCATGCCCCCACTCCACCTCCATGGTCTTTGACCTCCTGCTTGTCAAGCTTCGGCACCTCTCTGCTTAGCAATGCCCTCAACTCAGGCGTCACCACCTTCTCCTTCTGCGCCCCAATACCAGCCGCGACATGATCGCCTACCGTTGGAGCTCTCCCTGAAGCGCTTGCACCAGCACTACTACCAGTCGCAGCTTGACTAGCCCTCCTCGGCCTCCCATCCACGCCAGGACTCGTTGGTGGTGGCACAGGTAATCTCTGCCTTAATTCAGGCTTAGGCATACCCGGAAAGCTGCTCTTCCGATCTATCGCCTCCACCGTCCTTTGGAATCTCCTGAACAGTGCCTCAGCTCTGATAAGTGTTGAAGGTAGATCGATCGTGCCGGATAGCTCGTTGACATATTTTAGCACCTCGTCAAAGCCTTTCAAATGGTCTATGATGACGTTGCGGTGTTTCTCCAGTATGGCCATAGCGATGAAGAGATGGAAATTCGAGCTCAGGTAGTCAGTCCAGAGTGTCTCGTACAAGCGAAGGATATCTGGAAACGAGAACTCGCGCTTGAACCAGACCAGAAGCATGCGGAAGAAAAAGAAGAAGTTCGTGCTGTCGACCTTCTGTAAGTGATCATAGAGCTTCGGGTCGAGAAGTTGGCATAGTTGGTCGAGAGTCACGAGTTGTAGGCGCATGCCGGATTGATCGCGCAGGAAGTTTCGCTCCATGCGCTCCATGAATTTGACGAAACCCCAGAATGCTACAGCGTCGTCTTGCTCGATGGCGTAGATGGGGGCAAGGAGGTCGGACATTCCTTGGACGTAGCCGAGATCGCGGTTGTATTCGTTGTAGGTGAGAAGCATGTCCTTCATTTGTTCAAGGTGGACATTTGTGCCTGCTTCAGCGAACGGTGAGTCCGGATCTGGATGAGGAATGTCCTCGCCAGCGAATAGTGGAATGTGTCGATCTGTTCGATGGACGTCCTTTTCTACAGCGGACACAGCACGGTCAGTAAACCACGTCAGTAGTTGGTGGCGACGAACTGCTGGGAGAATGGCTTACCTATCCTCATCTTCTGCTCCTTCCACCATTCGCGCTCTTCAAGCGTACCCTGCTCGTCCAACATCCGCTCCCACCATGCACCCTTGAGGCGAATGTACTCGTCACGTAAGCTGTTCATTTTCGCATGCCGCTCCTGCTTCGTGCTCGTCCATTCGTATACGCCAAGGATAAACAGCCATGCCTCTTTCCTCACACTATCATCTGGATCAAGACCACCATGGAAGATACGATCCTTCACCTCGTCGGGGGTCTTCTCAAGCACACCAGTGCCCACATTGAAGTAGCCGTTCCACTCCTCCACCGTGACCGGTTTCCGCTTGTCCATCAGACTCAAATCCTGCGCTTCCATGTCCAGAACCTCGAACTCACCGACACCTGTCTCCTCCATTTCCAGCATATCCTTCGCTGTCCAGATGCGCTGGCTCCGCTCACGTTCGCTCTGCTCAGCAATGCCCATTGCCCATCTCGCAAGATACAATCTCGCCGAATCGAACTCATCGCTGACCGTCTGGACCTGAGGATCTTGCATCAAGCGTCTGACTTGTGGTGGCAGATTCTTGTTCTCCGCTACTGCCTGAGCTGTTCGTCGCGTGAAGGTCGTAACCTGGCTCATCTTCTCCAAGAAGCTCCATCTTGCCTGCTTGAGCGCTTTCATGACCGGATCGCCATCGTTGACGCTGCCTTTTCTGGGCTGCGCAGGATCATCTTTGTGCTTGCCTTCAAGAACATTTCGTACCTTGTCTGGCGTTGGCTTTCCAGCACTACCAAAGCCCACCCGATCACTCTCACTAGGCTCGATAAGATAGACACTTGGCTCCTGTGATGATCGCTCGACAGTGACAAACTTCTTTAGCCATCTTATGACTTCGTCGCCACCCCAGAACATGCCCTCCCCATCCTCCCCGCTAATGCTAAAGTTCTCACGCTGGAGCTTCTTCCGCTGATCGATCGTGCTTTGGCATTCCGAGTCATGGAAGAACAGCGCAGGGAAGGAGTCGCCGGCTCGAGTGTTGATCACGATGCTTCCAAACCACCACCCTGTATTCGGCGGCCTGACCAGGATACTGAAGATATCTGTGACCGGTATAGCAAACGCGTATGCGCCGACGCTGGAGCTATGTGAGGTGGTAACCGGCGGGGCAGGGACGAGGTGTGACTGCTTCGGAGGCTCGCCAGAATCGTTGGACTCCACCTTCGTGTAGATGGTATTGGCTTCGCCGAGACTCTTTTCGGGTACCCAAGCAAGCAACAAACTATTGATTTCCGCTCTTCTACCAACACTGCTGCTGCTTCCAGGACTGGTGGGTGGGCTGGCTATGAGATCCCGAGCAGGCTTCTGCTGCATAACCGCAACATATCCAGGAATGTTGTCTCTGGCTGAGGGGGAAGGATGGACGTAGACTTTGCTCTTAGTGTACAGCAGCTTGACGCCCTTCCCACTCTTGCTATGCCGGATCGTACTGTAGCCGCCCTCTTCGTCGTCACTCATGTCGTAGAAGCTGGCCGTAGGCGACGGCGGGCTTGGAGGTTCGCGTGTCGCATCTTCGACTTGCGGTTCCGTGGAGCTAGACATATTGACAGAGCTCGAGCCTTGCCAAGAATCAGGAGCAGTGAATGGTGAGGCAGCTTGTTCAGCCTCGCTACTGGTGGTGGCTCATGTCATATCAATAGTAACAATGTTGTTGCCTTGCCTCATGAGCGTGCCTGTTACTCAAGCACGCGGCCTCAAACTGCGGGGTGTTTGTGGCGGTGCAATGACGTTGATGTAAGCATTGACCACGCGTAGAAGGACGAAGATGGGAGCGCATTCGAGGTATGACCAGTATCATGACACAAGTTCAACATGAGTGATGGCGATGAGCTATGGCACGCTAGTCTCCATGATAGCCTTCAACAAGAACAACAGGCCCCTTGTATACGTGCCGCGCTCGAACGACCCAGTCCACAGCCGCTATCAGAGCGACAACCACAAACATCACAACACTCCAATTGAATGTGTCTGCAGTCACTGGTGTTGCGTTTGGCCTGTATGAGCGGTCAGCAAGGCTTCTCGTCGAGAGCAGGAGATATACGACGGACCAGAAGCACCAGAAGAATGCGAAGGTGGCGTAAGCTAATCCGCCTGCATTGACTGCCACACCATAGCGACCCAAACTCCATCGACACTTTGGCAAGAGCTCGGGGTGATATATGCGTCGGTACAGTACACATCCGATTGATATCATGTAAGTGATCATCAATGTGACCAGATTCAGCGAGATGATAGCATTACTATCTCATCCGTTAGCTATCTCGTGTAGTTCGTTTCAGACGTGCATTGCACGACTTACAAAGCCACCTCAGATCCAATGTTGATCAGTGATAGAATAAAGGTAATGCCACTGGTGGCCGCGACTGCATTGGCCGGTACTTCCAGCTTCGGGTTGACATGAGCGATCCACTTTGAAAATGGCATACCCTGGTCGCGAGCGAACTAGTGAGACCTGTCAGCTTGTGGCAATGTCAGGAGGCGATACGTTCCACTTACGGCCCAGGTCTGCCTGCTTGTCGACAGGTTATACGATAGTGTTCCAGCAAAGATGAGAGTAATCACAATCGCGCTCAGCGCATTGACAGCAGGCAAGCTGAAAGCGTTCGTGAAGACGAACAGGAACGGATAACCCGAGCCGTCATTAAGTGCGCCGTCCAAGTCAACGATACTGAAGAGAAATGAGACCAAGAAGATTACTCCGAGGCCGCCATTAAGCAGATATGAGCCAACCATCGCGCGCGGTACAGTCACACCCGCGTCTTTGATTTCTTCTGACCTGTATTTCATAGGTTAGTGGAGGGCGCGAAGGGACCAACTTGAAGGCGTTCCACCACTCACATATGCGCTGCAGCGTCCGAGCAGATACATGCGTAGATCGCCGTGATCTGTCCAATCATAAGTGACACGCCCATGCTGGACCATCCCCCTCCGTTCGAGAATTGCGTGAAGACGACATGAGCAGGATTGCGAGGCGCGAGTACCCATAGGCATACGATGATCTGCCACAATTAGCATGATTGACAAAAGATACACAGAAAATGTTGCTCACCGTCAAGAAACCAAACACATGCAGAATCAGCATCAAGTTCTGAAACACCGGCATAGCTCGGCCACCATACACATTGCAGAAATACACGACCAGCGTGATCGCCCACACAAACATCATCCCCTGCCAATTCGTCCCAACATAAGTTTCATCGTTGACATAGATCATACTCTGTATGAGCGTTCCCACCAAGAATGGGCCAGACGCCGTCCCAGCTTGCCACGACAGGGTAGACATCCATCCCGTGAAATATGACAGCCATCCCTGATGTCGCGGAGGAGCGAATTCGCTAACCCAGTGATACTGTCCTCCACTGGTCGGCGCCATGGATGCCATTTCTGCTAGGGAAATGACTACCAGGGAGAATCCGGCAAAAGTCCAGATGTAGGACCAGAAGAGCCCGGCTAGGCCTCCATCTGTCATTCCCTGAGTTGAGGCGGCGAGAAGGACTTCCCAGGTTCCTTGGAGTACAACTACGAAGGCGATGGTGGATAGTTCTCGAAAGTTGCGCCGCAGTTCTTGGGTCTTGCCCATTCGCTTCATGTCCTTTTGATCGTGCTTGTTGAAGCCATGGTCCGAGTCTCTGTCGACATTGCGGGCGTTGCGGACGATATCATGATAGTCATAATTTCCAGAGTCTGCGTCCGAAACGCGATCGAATTCGTTGATTGTTCTGGACTGCGGAGTTGCTGTTGTCACTGTTGCTGAGGCTGTTTTGGCGAGAATATCGTTGTGACCTAGGTCGTGGGCTGACGAGGAGCTAGAAGACGCGCCTTCCATCATGCTCGCTGCTTCGTCCAGTAATACCGTAGGATGGGATGAGGTAAGGCGAGAAGCAGAGACCTCATTTAGTCGGGACCGATACAAGACACGATCTCTTGTAGCAAGGACTTGGCAAACTTACCTGGCAGGTAATACAAGACTCACCAAGCGTGCGATGATCTGGTTGGGCTTTTCGCCTCTTCGACACGCGCAAAGACAACGAGTGTCGGCAAACCGATCGGTAGAATAGGTAGGCGTCATGAGAACGAGGTGCGGTGCCGTGCATTGCTGACAGGGTTCATGGAGGAAGAAGGTTTGTGGTGGCGGCCATGTGGGACGGCGTTTTGCACAACTCGGGCCTGGTAAATTCGCACCAGCGGGCAGGGGCGAGCGGTGCCGTGCAAACCCTCTTTGTGGGTGTGCTCTAGCGCTGGCTTGTTGGTAGAGTTGATTGGCACCCACTTCTTTCATGACCACTTGGCGAAGAAGAGCTTGAGAAGCACATTTGGGGAGATATAGTGTAGACTGTGGCGGCGCCGGCTGTGCGGGACGTTGGTGGAACTACGTAAGCTTTCTCGGTCGTGTGCCTTCTATGGGCACGGTTGAGATCAGACATGAGACAGTGACTCGCGGTCTACATATCGAGAACTCGGTAGGGTGATTTTACATGGACCCTTCGCTTCTTGAGTTCGGTCTGGTATGTTGCGCATAGAATGCAGAGTTTCCTGCAGATACCGACTGCACGAACTGCCGAGATTCCTGGCGATCACTGGGCACGTTTTGGACCTTGGTCGCCAAGCAGCTGCCTTCTCTCTCCTTGGACCATCTAGTATACCTCTGGTGTGCGCAAATTGTCGTTCCCCTCTTTGCAGAATCGTCCTGTGGACATCTGACTTCTGTTGGTTGGCTCGCCTGCCCGGTCCGAGCACTACCAATTTTTGACTCCGCAAGAGCGGCTGTCCCACAAAATCGGCAGCTATCGGATCGCAGAGATCGGCCGTTTACCTAATCGACACTCATCATTATGCCGAGGAACCGATGTCCTGTTTCACAAATTTGCTTCAAGTCCGCCAAGAGCCGACTGTCATCGCCCAGAGCTGAGGGCAGCAAGGTTCTGGCCTCGAGATTTGCAGAGTCGCCAATCTAGGCACGTCTCTTTATGGCTCTGTGGCCGAAGAGTGACAAAGGCTGGCTTTTATCATACGGGTGTTCTTGCGGCTACCATCTAGTTGGTGCAAGTGGACCATGACTTTATACTTCTGTGGCTTACCACCATTGGATGATGGGACGACGCCTTTGCACTCCAGTTTGACTAGGGCTGGCCTACTATACGGCAAGTATTGTCTGAGGCAGACTACGCGCTATCTAGGGTCTCGGTAGGCACCTTGTGATTTAAGCTAGTAGTATTGAATGGAATGGAATGGAATGGCGTGATTGATCCGACCTCCTCCCCATCTCACTTCCACGGACTGGCTGAATAGAGGTGACCAGCTTCACCCTGTCATCGACTCTACCATTCCATGCGGGATCGCACTCTTCAGCCATGACACAGACATACACCTTCTCGCCGATAACAGCGACAGACCGAGCTGGACTAGTATGGGTGGCCGCCATCCTGAGCTTGATGTTCAGCGTCCTGACACTTGCGACTAGGATCCAGATCAAGCTACACACACTTGGATTGGACGACTACTGTATATGCGCCGGCACACTTGTGGCCATTGGACAATATGTCGCAACCTACATTGGCCTTCACAATGGAGTCGGGATCAGCAGCTCACTTATGGCTCAGCAGAAGGCATATCAGCTCGGAGAGATCTTGGTCGCAACGCAGATCATGTATATCCTGGCCTTAGCATTGAGCAAGCTCAGTGTTGTGTTCTTCATGAAGCGGTTGTTCACGCGCGATCACATCAAGGCTTGGTGGGCATGCAACGCGGCGCTAGTCTTGACGATCGTCTGGGGCATTGGCAGCTGTCTGATAGCGACAGTTGATTGCGGACCTTCGAATGTGCTCTACGGGAGTGCGAGATGCTCTGGCAAGGTCAGTCTACTTCATTCCAAGCAGGCCATCAATATTTTGACAAGCCGCAGTTGATACGATGGGGCATAATCATCGGCACCGGCGCTGCGATAGATATCCTCTACGTCGGACTTGCGGTTGCGCTGGTGTGGCCATTACAAATGAGTACATACATCAAAGCAACAGTCGTCTTCGCTTTCGCCTTCCGCCTGATCTGCGTAGTCTTCGCTGCTATGCACGGACTATACATTGGGCGATACGTTCACGCTGCAGATCCTGGTCTGGCCATAGCATACGTGCTGGTATGGCAGCAAGTCGAGCTGGGCTATGCGCTCATGGCAGCGACGATACCGACTTTAAAGAGCTTCATTCGTGGATACAACAAAGCTATGGGATTCGAGGCATCGTATGAGGACAAGCGAGGATTAGGAGGTGGCTATAACCTGCGCTCATACGGCCGCTCGGGAAACATGAGTCACAACAACTCGGGACTGCGGTCGAAGCAGCATCGTTCGCGGGTAGGAGCAGAACCTGAGCAGATGGACGATCACGATTTGCGGCCACGAGACGGCGAATATCGCGCAGGAGCATATCATGACCCGGTCCGGAAAGTGAGGCGACAGACTAGTACGGGTTCTGGCGACAGTGAGGACCCCATCATCAGGCGTGACGTGATGGTCACGATTGAGAGCCAGAGGGCTTCTGGGGCGGTCATGTAAGCATTTGTAAGATTTTTGACAGCGTTCTAGCGATAGATGTACAATGTATCATGAGCTCGCCTTTATGCAATTAACGCAATTTCATAATACATCTCTTTCGAGCCTTCGTGCCTTCCTGATTTTGGTATGCCTGCTTATTAAGCCCAATGGATGAATATGTCGACTTCAGCAACTTGCTTCATGTACCAATTGTCTTTGTCGAAGTCACTCTCGATTCATGCAAACCGCGATGTCTCGATCAGACGATGCTGGTCGCTACTTTCAGACCACAGACTCGATCGCGACAACGCAGCGCAAAGCCGCAAAATCCAAGAACAAATATGGCAAGCCTGTAACACTCCAGTCGAAGATCTTGGCTGTCACATCGGATCCCAAGGATGCAGGCGCCGTATACGTTGCCGAGGCCGCTGGGCAGATAACCTGGGTTGTTCTTGATGTTAGTATGATTCGAGAATGTATGATAGAAGTCGTGGCTAACGAGTTTGCAGAGTGCCGAGACATCCACATTGCCACTACGAGCGATGGCCCCTCTGACGTGTCTAAGTAGATCGGACAATAACGCATTGTATAGTGGCTGCTGGGACAAACATATCTACCACTCACCTCTGGCAGAGCCCATCGTCTTGTCACGAACAAAGCTCTCTGGTCACACAGACTTTATCAAGTGCGTGCTTACGACGACATTAGATGGCAAGCCGGTGCTGCTTTCTGGTGGTGCAGATGCCGTGATAATCGTCTGGGATTTGAGTACCGGTAAACCACTACATAAACTGAAGGGTCATACGAAAGCATTACAAGATCTGGCTATCGACCCGTTGAGTCTACCTGAGGGTGCAAATCAGCCAAGAGACTCTTTCATTTTGTTCACAGCAAGCTCCGACCGCGAGATCAGAAGATGGCATATCAGCTGGGACGCCGCCAAGGAGACTTCTGAGAGCCTGGAAAAGCCAATACTGGCTCATGAAACTAGTGTGTACAAGCTGAGGTTTGATATTGAGGGTGATCTCTGGACAGCTTCGGCAGACAAGACGGCCAAACATCTTGTCCGAAGTAGAGACTGGGGGGCAGATACTGTCCTGCAGCATCCAGACTTTGTGCGGGATGTGGTTGTCAGTGAGACGACTGGCTTGGTTGCGACTGCGTGTAGAGATGAGGAGGTGAGAGTGTGGGACTTGAGCTCGGGTGACTTGGTATGCACGTATAGTGGGCATTACGAGGAGGTCACAGGACTAGCTTTGGTCAGTCAGGTCTTAGTGGCAAGTGTCAGTATTGATGGCACAGTGAGGCAATGGAGTCTGGAGAGGCAAGGGATGGCAAGGTACCACACAGAAGTCGAGAGAGAGAAGGCAGGTGAGGAAAGGCGGGATGAGCCACCCAAGAAAGGTGGTATGCTTACCGCGGAGGAGGAAGCAGAGCTGGCAGAGCTGATGGATGAGGACGAGTGATGCAGTATTGGAGAGTTCTAGCTGGCTTGCCTAAGCTGGACCACAGAGGCTCCGCATTAACTATCAGCCTGGAAATGCAGGATGAAGTGGCGAGGAGAGGCCATCAAAGTCAAAGAGAAGCATCAATACTACCACACCAGGCGGTATGGTGAAGGAAACGTGTACGCCAGCTGACCAAAGCGGGAACGAGCGAGCTGTTGCAAGCTCCGGTCGCCAACTCAACGTCGAGATCTGCCTTGTTGGTGGCACTTACTTGGCCATTCCCAGGGACACCATCGGCGAGATCACTGGCTCGGAGATGCTCAAGCTCCTCTTCCTCCTCGCGAGAGCGCTTGCGAGACTGTCGCGGATGTCCATATGCCACTACGACCGTTGATACTGCCGTGGTATCGATCGGCCGTGAAGCATTCCCGCCTGGCAAGGAGAAATCACCTAGGAAGACTCCGCCATCTTCCCGATCCGAACGCTCGTCCTCTGCTCTACGTGCTTCTCCTACCTTCCGCTTTTCCTCCTCCTCCAGCCCCGCTCTGTGGATTTGCCGTAATTCAAAATCTTTGCGAGCCTTGGTGAACTCCTCGGCATATGGATCGTCCTTGTCGTAGTACTGCGCCTCGATACCCTTATCATACATCGGTTTCGATGTCACTAGGCATATAAACTCGAAGGTGTAGACATCTCCGTGGTAGCCACTCAATGGTGTGAATTTAGAATCGGTGTCCAGTGTGCCGCGTCCAAGAACGATAGTCAAGGTACTAGCCCGTGCATGATCTTCCTTGCTGCGCCCTCGGTGGATGTTGGCGAGTTGACCTATTACAGGCAGATTTGAGAAGGCCGCAAGGAGTCAACCGTACATCAGACCATACCCGTGTTTACAGGCGTGATATACATTTGTACATCGTGTTGCTCTAATGTGCCAAAGTTCTTGATGCTGCGGATCATGCTCAACTTCTGCTGGCAGTCCATACCATGAGCGATCGACATCAACGTAGGTTCGATATCCTCCTCCGAGCTCATGTATTGCCCCTTGCCAAAGAGAGTCTGTACTTGGACGTGTGTAGCGTCACCTTTCTAGAAGCGGCGGCCGAGGCGGACAACAACAATGATCTTGTTCAGACCATTCCGCGAGATGAGACAGGAATGGAACGCAGCGCCTTCGAAACCTGGCCGGCGATTGATCTCCTCGGTGTATCGAATGCGCTCGTGTTGCTCCCCTAAGCCCTTGACATACACCTCGATACCGTGCTCGTGCTTCATGACTGCGAGAGAGACAGCAGCGAAGTGGTGGTGCAAAAAGTAAGCACACGCAAAGTGTATCTGTCCGAAGCGTATTCGTGCATGAACACAAACCCAGGGTGAAAGCTTGTGTCGTCGAACAATGAGAATGTGATGAGGGATCCGTGCTGAGGCCATTCACTATCCCGGCTGTTGGACAAGCAGATTGGCCACGGCGATGGGGAATGCAGTCGCTTGGCCAAAGAGAAACGCGGCATCGCCAGTCTCAACGGCCAATGCCACGTGTAAGCATCCCCACGGCACTGATGCATGTGGTCATGACCGGTACGATCATGATCGAGAAGTTGACCTAGGAGATCTGTCAGCCGAGCGATTATTTGCGGTCAGTGAACGCACCACTACCCAGGACGGAAAGTGCACTATCGGCCTGTTGTCCATGTCTAATCAAGGATATGCATGAGGCGTTCTGAGGACTCCTCCTGGTCGGATCGCACTCTATCGGTGTCCAAGGCCAAGTGAAGACCAGCTTCAGTGCCACACAGAGCGTGACCAAATGACATGGTGAAACAAAGCCTCTGAGGTGACTGGAGGAATGATATCCCCACAATGTGGCGTGAATGGTTCAACGTCACCGAGGGCGGCAAATCCCCGGCGCCAATCAAGAGGTATATGAACAACTCGGGAATCTTTTAGAGGGTACCGGACCAGGCACGGCTGCATGCCCAGCCCGGTCAAACTGCTCAGCGTGCGAGTGGAGTCGCCAAGTGGTGTAAACGCCGCCCAGCTCCTGAGTCATGTTGCAGTGGTCTGCAGTCGAGCTGCCTAGTGCTCAGTCGCTATGATATCTTTTGACTCTTTTTCATTTCGCCTCTGACAGCAGGGGGAGGCGAAGAGACATAGAAGAGGGTGATGTAGTGTTTTGCTAAGGCGGGTTCGAAAGCCGCAACTAAGTAGGATGTTGTCACGCGGTGATTTCTTTTTGGTGGAGGTTCAGGGGCTGAAGTCATTCCTCTCATGACATCGGTCCGCTGCCACCCTATGTTTGATGAGTGCGTCTCGCGCTGCTAGAATCCGTCCCTTGGACCCGCCACGAAAGCTACCTGCTGCTATCATGAAAGCACGGTTTGCGAAGACCTTACTGCCTTGTGGGGACGCCCGCTTTGTACACTGGTCGAAGTTAGCCGTGTAGGGATCCGTTTCGTAACACTAGGATCACCCATCAATCAAGTGCTTGCCTTTTTTCTCAAGTCTTTTCGGCCAGTGAGGTCTGATAAGCTGTGTTGTGGTGAGCCGTTCAGCATGGGTTCGAACGTCGATACTGGTAGCCTGTTCGAGAGAGATCCATCTTGCTGTATTCAGGGGCTTCGAAGCAACATCTTCCGGCTGATTTATCCCCAGTGATCGCGAGCCAGAGAGGAGGGGATGAGATAAACCACTTTTTCATTCATGCTCCGAAGCAAGATCCTACGCGCCGAACACCATCGCTAATACACTTTTCCAATAATCATGATCCCATACTTTGATCTCTCAAGCCATCATCTTCATGCCATCCTCACACCCACACCCAGACTTACACCCACCTTCCACCTCCTCACACCTTTCCCTCCGCAAAATCCCTAAGATACTCCGCCAACTTCTCCGCCGCCTGCACACTTACAGCATTGTAATTACTCGCTCGAATCCCGCCCACACTCCTATGGCCCTTGAGTCCCAACAAACCCCTCCCCTCCGCTCCCTTCAGGAATGCCTTCTCGGCCTCCGCATCCCCATGCTTGATCCTAAAGCACAAATTCATCCTACTCCTCACACTCTTATCCGGCACAACCTGATACATCCCCGGAAACTCATCCAGCACCGCATAAAGCAGTCCAGCCTTCTCATTCGACTCAGCCTCCTGCACACTAATCCGCGGGCTTTTCGCATCAGGCGCTTGCTCGAGAAGTCGCTGTATCACCTGTCCAGCGATCCAGACGTCGAAGATGGGGAGGGTGTTGTAGAGACTATTATTCTTTGCGATCGTCGGCCAGTCTAGGACTACTGGTCCGATCGGTAACCCGAGTTTTCGTAAGAGGACCGGATCAGCCATTTCGGCGTGGGGCGGGAGGATGGAGTTGGAGACGATGGCGATGGTGATTCCCGTTGTGCCGATGTTCTTTTGCGCCCCCCCGAAGATGGCGATGTGGCGTTTGATGTCGACGGCGCGGGAGAGGAAGTTGGAGGACATGTCCGCTACTAAGTTCTTTCCTGAGGGGGCCGTGGGGAATTCCACGCCGTCGACCGTTTCGTTGTCGCAGTAGTAGGTTAATGCCACATCCTCCTCCGCCTTCGTCCGACTCCACTCGCCCTCCGCCGGGATCACCCCGAATTTCCCCCCGTGCCTCGCATCTGTAACAACATTCACGTACTCCTTCCCCACCAATCTCGCCGCCTCCTGACTCGCCTTCAAACTCCAGGATCCCGTGACGAGATAATCCAACCTTAACCTTTTCACCTCCTGCTCTAAACCCTGCTGTCGTTGCTTCGCCAGCTTCGCCACCCAGATGGAGATCATATGGTACACGACAGCACTGAATTCGCCGCTCCCACCGCCTTGTAGGAAGAGGATCTGGTAGCCTTCGGGACCGTCGGAGGTGGGGATGTCGAGGAGGTGTCGCAGGGCGGTCTGGGTGCGGGCCAGGATGGCGTTGGCTTCGGGCGAGCGGTGGGAGATTTCGGTCAGGCCGAGGCCGGTGGAGTCGTAGTTGAGTAGGACTTTGCTGGCTTCTTGGAGGACTGGGGTGGGCAGGGGAGCTGGGCTACGTATGTTGTGTTAGTGGATGTGAGGCTGGATATGTGGTGTGAGAAGGGAATGGTATACCCAGCCCCGAAGTAGTGGACGTCTGATCGTTCGGGCATGTTGGGTGTGTTGTGTTTGTCGTCTGGTCTATCAGTCTATATGTAGTATATGTGTAGAAGGTGGTCTTGAGTGTAGAATATGGAGTCATGAGTATTGAATGTGGAGTCATGAGTATTGAATGTGGAGTGTGTGGTACGGTGGCCGATGTCGCCTCAAAAAGTCGAAGCTCTCTCTCTCCAAATGTCATCTCCTAGGATCTGATCGCGTGCCATTGGACAGCGAAAGACATACCGACGACAACATATCATCCCAAAGCAGAAGTGAAGGATATAGTCGCATGAGATAATATGAGATATTGCGCAAGACGCGCTCACACAATGGCCACCCTACGAGCTCCCCGAAGCCTGCAGAGACTCGTCAGAAACACACCGTCACGACCAACACAATGCCGACCACAACAATGGACACCCACCGCCACACACCTCCACCACCGCCCTCGACGACACCTCACAACCTCCACCCCTCTCCTCCGTGCCGAAGCCACCGACGCCTTCCACTCCCAACTCTCCAACACGCCCCCTGACTTCCTCTCCCGCCCCGCACCTGCACCCGTCACCCCCCAGACCCTCACGGAGAAGATCGTCCAACGCTACTCCCAAGGTCTCGCCGCCGACAAAATAGTAAAATCCGGGGACTACGTAACCCTCTCCCCCCACCACTGCATGACCCACGACAACTCCTGGCCGGTAGCCACCAAATTCCTCTCCATCGGCGCCACCAAGATCCACGACCCGCACCAGATCGTCATGACCCTCGACCACGACGTCCAGAACAAGACGGAGAAGAATCTGAAAAAGTACCGACAGATTGAGGAGTTTGCCAAGGAGCAAGGGGTGGATTTCTATCCGGCGGGCCGCGGCATCGGGCATCAGATTATGGTGGAGGAGGGGTATGCGTGGCCGGGCACTATGGCGGTGGCGAGCGATAGTCATAGTAATATGTACGGTGGGGTGGGGTGTCTGGGGACGCCCGTGGTGAGGACGGACGCGGCTGCTATTTGGGCGACGGGGAGGACGTGGTGGCAGATCCCTCCTATTGCGCGGGTCAACTTTACTGGGATCTTACCTGAGGGTGTGACGGGCAAGGATGTGATTGTGGCGTTGTGTGGGTTGTTTAATAACGATGAGGTGTTGAATCATGCGATTGAGTTCACGGGGGATTTCCAGACCATGTGGTCTTTACCTGTGGATGATCGGTTGGCTATCGCGAATATGACTACCGAGTGGGGTGCTCTGTCTGGACTCTTTCCCATCGACGATGTCTTGAAAGGGTGGTTGAGGTACAAGGCCACGGAGGCGAGTATGTACAAAGCCCCTTCACCCTCCGCCAGCCTGACGAGCGAACGATTCAACCACCAAAGACTAGACGAATTGTTCGCCAACCCCCTCACTGCCGACAAAGGCGCAACATACGCCAAAGAGCTCTTCCTCGACCTCTCAACCCTCTCCCCTTACGTCTCCGGCCCCAACAGCGTCAAAGTCGCCACCCCACTCAACGAACTCGAAGACCAAAACATCCCGATCAACAAAGCCTACCTCGTCTCCTGCACCAACAGCCGGCGCTCCGATATCGCCGCCGCGGCCAAAGTCTTCAAGAATGTCTCGACCACAAACGCCGACGGCACCATCGTCCCGGCTAGGATAGCAGAAGGAGTCAAATTCTACATCGCCGCTGCTTCATTGCCAGAACAGCAAGCTGCGGAAGAGCAAGGAGACTGGCAGGCTCTTCTAGCCGCTGGTGCGGAACCCTTACCTTCTGGCTGCGGACCGTGTATCGGCCTTGGAACCGGCCTGCTCGAACCAGGCGAAGTGGGCATCTCGGCGTCGAACCGCAATTTCAAGGGTCGGATGGGGAGTACAGATGCCAAAGCCTACCTTGGTTCTCCCGAGGTCGTGGCGGCTAGTGCGTTGCAAGGGAGGATCGCGGGGTCGGGGATGTATGGGCGTCCAGAGGGATGGGAGGGTGTGAAGAGTGGTGAGGGAGATGGGATTGCGGAGGAGGAGCGGGTGATTTCGATTGAGGATGCGTTGGACAAGCTGGTGAGGGAGGCGGAGGCGGCTGTGCAGGAGGGCGAGGCGAGGATAGCTGGAGGAGGGAGCAGTGGCGCGGAAGCCGGCACATCAACCAGCAGCACTACAACGAAAGATTCCTCGGAGCAAAGACAAACCGACATCCTCCCCGGCTTCCCCGAAAAAATCACCGGGGAAATCCTCTGGTGCGACGCCGACAACATCAACACCGACGCCATCTACCCGGGAAAATACACCTACGACGACGCCTTCTCCTCCTCCCCGGCCAGAATGGCTACTGTAACGATGGAGAACTACGACCGCACCTTCTCCTCCATCGCCCGCGAAGGTGATGTACTGGTAAGTGGATTCAATTTCGGGTGCGGGAGTAGTCGTGAGCAAGCCGCGACTGCCATTCTCGCTAAGGGGATGAAATTGGTAGTGGTGGGGAGTTTTGGGAATATTTTCGGGCGGAATAGTGTTAATAATGCGCTTATGGGGGTGGAGGTGCCACGGCTTATCGCGAGGTTGAGGGAGGTGTTTGGATCAGGCTCGGCGGCTTCTTCTCCTTCTCTCTCTTCTTCTTCTTCTTCTTCTTCTTCTGCTGTGGCTGGTAACAAGCCGCCGGCTATCACGGAACCGGCCGCCAACGAACAATCGCTCGATTCGCCTCCTCCTGCTCCCGTCGACAAGAAGGAAAAGGAACTTACGGTCCGCACGGGATGGACGTTCACGTGGGATTTGAGGAGGAGTATGGTTGTTGTGCGGGAAGGTGAGGGGCAGGGGGCCCAAGTCTGGGAGCAGAGGGTTGGGGAGTTGCCGCCGAATGTGCAGGAGATTGTTGCTAGGGGCGGATTGGAAGGGTGGGTGAGGGGGGAGATTGGGAGGGGTGGTTGAGGTGTGGTGAAATGTGGTGTGAAGGGAGGGTGGGGGATGGTGAGATTGGGGTGTTGGGTGAAGGGGTGGGTTTGCGTGACTGCATAGCGGATGGCGTTCACGATGTGAATGGTTCCTCCACCACCCACCTGTTTGTTTTTCGATATATCTCGAGTATGGGCGGCAGCTGTATACCCATGCATCCTCAGACAATCATACACTCGAACTGTGCAGCTTCAAGGCGCTCGCAAGCTCTCTTTTACTCTGCTTCAGCCGCCTAGCTTCATGCCCTCAGCCTCTTCTGCAGTCGGGCCCTCCTCGAGTTGCATGTCACGCATCAGCCTCGCAGCCGATCCCGGCACGATATTGCTCTTCGCCATTGCCAAGCCACCGCAAGCATATACCGCTTTTGAAAGGTACGACCCATCTCGAGCTACATTGCGCTGCTTAGAGCAGCGATAGGCTCCTCCAAGGCGTTCTTGCAATACACTGCTCCCTGGGATAGTCAGATACCTTACTCTTCGAGTGCTCCCGTCAATATTTGTAGCATAGCGGATGTAGTCATCTGTGTCAAACTTTTCTGGTCACGAGCAACGATATCGTCCTTCGGCAGCGATGCTTTCGCACTTCCTTCGTGTGAGATAATCCGGCTGGTCGGATCACTCTCGTCTCTGGTGCGAGGTTTCGTGGCATGAATCTTACATCGCGACGACCTATGCTGGAGGAAGCCAGCGGTACATGCCAACACACGACTCAACGTATTGGCAAAGGACCACATACATCAACAGAGATAGCTTGAGAGAAAGAGAACACAGTGAATTGCTTTGAATCATTTCATTGTCAAGCCTTCTACGGGCTATCTAACATTACAGAAAGCAATCATGCTTTTCCATCAAAGAAGACATCATATCATAGCCTCGTTGTACGAAACAAGCCATGACCATGTCTAGCCAGGAACGCCATGCCATGTAAGCAAGTCTAAGCAGCAGCCACTACCTCAAGCCGTGCATGAGGGGTATCGAATTGTCATGGTGAGGGGATGACGAGTTCAGTCAACCTCCTCGACGGTTGGGCCATCGTCGCCGCCAGCGCCTGGAGCACCGCCGGGCATACCTCCGCCCATACCGCCTGGCATTCCGCCCATGCCACCTGGCATACCGCCTGCTCCACCTTCGGCACCGTAGAACTGTGAAGAAAAGTCAGTATGATTAACCTGGCTGGTAGATATATCGTTTGCACATACCTTCATCATGATGGGGTTCGCCACACCCTCCAGCTCCTTCTGCTGGCTCTCGTACTCGTCCTTGGTAGCAGTCTGGTTGTCATCGAGCCAAGCAACAGTCTTGTCGATCTCAGCCTTGAGCTTCTCCTTGTCCTCAGTCGACAGCTTCTCGTCAACCTTGGAGTCGGACAGGGTGTTCTTGAGCGAATAGGCGTACGACTCAAGACCGTTCTTGGCCTGGATTCGGCCGGCCTCGGCTTCATCCTCCTCCTTGTACTTCTCGGCCTCGGCCAACATGCGCTCGATCTCCTCCTTGGATAAGCGGCCCTTGTCGTTGGTGATGACGATCTTGTTGGTCTTGCCAGTGCCCTTCTCGAGCGCGGAGACGTTGATGATGCCGTTGGCGTCAACATCGAAGGTGACCTCGATCTGAGGGACACCACGAGGCGCGGGTGGGATGCCCGTAAGCTCGAACTTGCCGAGGAGGTTGTTGTCCTTGGTGCGGGCACGCTCACCCTCGAAGACCTGGATAAGCACACCAGGCTGATTGTCGGAAAAGGTGGAGAAGACCTCAGACTTCTTCGTGGGGATGGTGGTGTTGCGCTTGATGAGAGGAGTCATGACACCACCAGCGGTCTCGATACCAATGGAAAGCGGCGCGACGTCGAGCAGCAAGATCTCGTTGGTAGACTTGCTGGAAGTGTCACCGGAAAGGATAGCGGCCTGGACGGCCGCACCGTAGGCGACGGCCTCATCAGGGTTGATGGACTTGTTGGGCTCCTTGCCGTTGAAGAAGTCGGAAACCATCTTCTGAATCTTGGGGATACGGGTGGAGCCACCGACCAAGACGATCTCGTGGACGGAAGACTTGTCGATCTTGGCGTCGCGGAGGACGCGCTCAACTGGCTCCATTGTGGAGCGGAAGAGATCCTGGCATAGCTCCTCGAAACGGGCACGAGTGATGGACGTGTAGAAGTCAATGCCCTCGTACAGCGAATCGATCTCGATGGAAGTTTGTGCGGAGGAAGACAGAGTGCGCTTGGCACGCTCGCAGGCTGTGCGCAGACGACGAAGGGCGCGGGCGTTGCTGGTCAGATCTGGGAGTCCGTCAGTATATTGTAAATTTGCATCTCCGATGGAAGTAGACATGCCCTTCTTGTGTTTTCTTTTGAACTCGTTGACAAAGTGGTTCACGAGACGGTTGTCGAAATCCTCGCCACCAAGATGGGTATCACCAGCAGTAGACTTGACCTCGAAGATACCCTCCTCGATGGTGAGCAGAGACACATCGAAAGTACCTCCACCCAAGTCGAAGATGAGCACGTTGCGCTCACCCTCAGTCTTCTTGTCGAGACCGTAGGCAATGGCAGCGGCAGTAGGCTCGTTGATGATGCGGAGCACATTCAAGCCAGCAATGAGACCAGCATCCTTGGTTGCTTGCCTCTGCGAGTCGTTGAAGTATGCAGGAACAGTGACCACGGCATTGTTGACCGTGCCACCGAGGTATGACTCCGCGGTCTCTCTCATCTTGGTCAAGATCATGGAGGAGATCTCCTCGGGTGTGAACTCCTTCGTCTCGCCCTTGAACTCAACCTGCACGACAGGCTTGCTCTGCTTGTCGATGACCTTGAAGGGGAAGTGCTTCATGTCGGCCTGCACCTCGGCGTCTGCGAACTTGCGGCCGATGAGGCGTTTGGCGTCGAAGACGGTGTTGATGGGGTTCATGGCGACCTGGTTCTTGGCGGCATCGCCGATGAGACGCTCGGTGTCTGTGAAGGCCACGAAGGACGGGGTTGTGCGGTTGCCCTGGTCGTTGGCAATGATCTCGATGCGGTCATCACGGAAGATGCCCACGCACGAGTAGGTCGTGCCCAAGTCGATACCGACAGCGGGGGCCATGTTGACGGTTGTGATTCGGGGGTGTGTGTGGGAATTGAGTGTCAAGAAGAAGATGTAGTAGTGGTTTGCAAGCTTGGGAGGTCGTAAAAGCTTTGCTTGGGGTTGTGTGTAGTGAGTGGGGAGAAAGTAGATGAGGCTGCAGAAAAGGTGGTTTTATCCTTGTGCTGCGCAACACAGAATTTCTTAGCGCTAGAAGCTTCACGAATCCCGTAGAAATTCAGAAGTGGCAGGAGCGTTCCTGGCGAACCTACCGCTTTCGAGCAAACTCGTGCTTATACTAATGATTACTGCATGCAATATAGCTGCTGGCAAGTGTCCACGGTGGCAATATGTGTTTACTGCTTCACAGTCATGATATCTGCTCGTTTTCATTGCTATTCTGTCATATGCTGCGACGTCATGTAGAAACTTCAACGACTTTCACAATCGATAAGTCGAGCCCCGCCAGGGTCCGATCAGGCACAAGTTTCAAATGCTGCCTCACAGGAACCTTCCGCCACCATCACCGCCAAATAACTGGAAAAGCCGTGTGAGACGTCTCTGATGCTGCCCTGTATGGCCACAGTCCACCTCTACCTCCGCAACCCTGCCCTGTTCCGACTCCTCTCCTCCCGCAGCTCTCGCACTGCCCTTCCGTACTCGTCCTGCAACCTCAGGAATCTGTACCTCATATCCTCACATCTCCTCCGATAGTGAGTGCTGAGGCATGATTGACTATGCTGAACGTGTAAGTTGCTGAGACTCGATGAGGCCCTTTCCCCGAGTATGGTAGGATGGGCTGCTTAAACCCCTTTCGAGGTGGACTCACCTGGTTGCTATGTTTGACTTGCGTGAAGTGTTTTACTTGATTTACCCATTTGTTGGCATGACTGCAGGGCAAAATTGCATGGCAACCGTATCTCTGTGGCTGTGGTCACCCTCCCGCAAAATGAGTGTTACAGAAACCTGGTCTAGATGTAAGCAGGCGCGGTCGATATCGTCTTCTTGGCTGCACGAGAGGCTTGTATGTGACAGGTGAGGGTGAGAATAAGCGGTCTGAAGAACTTTAGCCTACTCGTTGCCAGCAACAAATTTCCTGCATATTTTCTACTCAGAAGCGACCTACATCATCTCATGACGCTCTCTACACTCCAAATCAACAGATCAACCATCAACCATTCACCAAACCCATCTAAGCACTCCACGCAGCACGCTTCTTGAGACCACTCCACACGGCTGGGCCAGGCATGGTGTAGCTGCTGATAGCGGAGTAGATGCTGATAAGGATACCAGGGTCGGTAGACTTGTAAAGAGCAGTACCAGCACGGCAGTCAGCACCGCTGGCGCAAGGAGTCTCGGTGCCTGACCCGGTGACCTTGAGGTTGATGCAGTTGGGATAGCTCTGGGCACCATCGGCGTTGCCGGCACTATGGAGAGCGATGATCTCATGGCGGAGGACGTAGTTGCCGGCGGCGAGGCCTGTGAATGTTGGGTTAGTGACTTGAAATTCGGCTGCTGATTTAGTTCGAGTGCTACTTACCGGCTGGGATCTTGAGGGTGCCGGTGAATTTGTTGGCGATCAAGTTGTCGGTGGCCCAGGTACCGGGTGGGCTGGCATCGTTGATGAGACCGGTGTTTTGAACAGCGAAGAACTTAAGCGTTGTCTTGTCGACGCTGGTGCACTCGCCAGAACACTTGGCCATCTGGTTGATGACTGGGCCGTGATGGCTATCGGGCCAAGTATTCCACACAAGGCTGATGGTCGAGCCAGCCGTGACCGGTACGTAAGTGTTACCGGGAGTGGCACCCTTGTGGCAAGTGATGTTGTTGTCACCATACTCGCTCGGGGCGACAAACCCGTTGTCTTGGTTGTAGGCGAACCAACCAGCCTGGGTCGGCTTGGTGCTGGAATAAAACCACTGAGGAGAAGCTCCTGCGTAGGTAGTACCGCCTGAGATGACGCTGGCCACGTAGCCGTGAGCAGAGACGGCGGGGAGGGCTGCTATGACTGCGAGGACAGCGCCGGCGGCGGTGGTGGATGCGTGCATTCTGATAGATGCCTTGGGCTACTCCTGGTAGTGAAGATATTCGTCTGATTGAGTGGTTCTGGAGGTAGGATCGAAGAACCGGTCAACGGTTTTGGTGATAACGAGAGTGTGTGAAACGAATTGTGGTGGTGTGGTTGAGTTGAGGAAATTTCGATTCAAAAGGCACAATGAGCTTCATATACTTGTCCCTGCGGTCTGCCAATTCCAGAGCTTCCGGCATCTGTGGATAACATGTATCACGAAACAATCTAGACGAAGCCGGCAGCATATGGACCATGCACGATGCAAAATGCGCGGGCGGTTCCAGATGGCAATGAAGCCATGGTCCGGCATGGATTGTCGCAAGAGAATCTCTCTATGTGCAGCAAGTCTTGCATCCATGTATCGCTGTGGCCTTGGTACTTGGCCCCGGGTAGAGCAGTCTCGGGCACCCCATTCGAGGAGATTTGATGCCGCACGAACTCATCAGAAATACGGTCTTGTTCAGTCCGCGTCTACCGGCATTAGTCTCCAGAGAGTAAATCTGCGCTTTGAAGTCATTCGACACAATGGCTCAATCTCGTCTCATCTGCAAGTCTGGCATCGTTCTGGAGCTGCCAAAAGTAGCTGTACTGCATTCAGATAGATTGCTGGAGAAGAGATCAGGAGGTGTCCTTGAAACATATATGAGTTGCAGAAACTAGGGTGCTCGGATCGTTCCTCGTTCGGCTAAATGCCAAGAGATTCACATGATCTTGCTGTGTGGTTCGCAGTCGTCGCCGCACCGGCTCGCTCGCCTTCGATCGACAGAGATATGGAGATGGTCTGTCCGCCCCTCATGTTTCGGCCATCGGACCGGTGGAGGGAAAGCAGCGTGCCTGGACATCGCGCCGCGCGTCTGTTGCGAGGAGATCGATGGGGTAGCCGAAGATGCATATGGTTAAAAGGGTAACGGAAGAAGTCTGTTGGTGAGAACAGTGCTGGAAGAAAAGGTACCGAAGAGCAAGCGGCGTGGGATAAGACCGTCTTGTTGTACACATCTACATACTGAAACTGCCTCATACTGACTCTTTTCCACAACATGCAACTCCTCTAGACTGTCTTAGCTTTTGGCAATAGAGTGCGAGGAATTCAATGCCGAATATTTCGACTATGCATCCGCAAGTATCTTTGGCAGATATCACTACCTTCTCGGCATACTTCTGGCTTCGGCGACATGCCATGTGAACGCCGTTGCAAGCTGTTTCGAGCTGCGTATATGAGAAAGCGGACGCCTCATTCGAGCAGGAAGCACACGCTAGCACGGCGGCGAAGTGCAGCTGGATGTTATCTTGCCTTGATCATCTGCTCGACGTAGCCCGATGCCTTCTGCTCCTAGTACGTGCTAAGGTAGTGATAAGATGAAAGTCCAGGCTCGTTCTCGATTCGGGACATCATATGGTCACATTAGCACTAATCATAATCTATGTCAATGGCTACCAAGCAATCAAGCTATTGATCGTTCTGTGGTTCTGCTTTGACTGATCATAGGACGGTTGAGAACTCTAGAAGCGAAGTCGTACAGTGGGTATCGTGATCTATCCTTGAGTTCAACGCACAGCAATGCAAAACAACGAAAAGAAACGTCTCCACACGCCCTTCAGCCCAGCGACACAAAGGCAGGATTGTCACCCGCACTAACCAGCACCTCGCTCCCACCCATCCCACCCGTCCCAGCATCAGAATAACCGCTCTTCCTCTCCTCAGTCTGCGTCCCACTCGTCCGCTGATTCGCGCGCCTCTTAGCCTCGTGCTCGCGCTCCTGCATGAGATTCGAATACATCTTCAGACTACCCACGATCATAATGATCATTACGCCAAGGAACATGATGAGCCGACGGGTCAGCACCCAGCGTAGCCCTTCGACGTCTGATCGCGCGTCGGCTTGGAGTTCGACGGTGATTTTGTAGTTAAGCTGCTGGATTTTGGCTTCCATGTGGCGTTGTTCATTACGGGTCGCCATTTTGCGGTCGTCGAACATGCCTTTCAGGTCGTCCTTAAGTACACCTGCTTCTTGTCCGACTCGTTGAGAGAGGATGTCTACTTCATGTTGTAGCTGTGTGCGCTCCGTGCGCATCTTCTCCTGCTCTGCTTGCCTGCGCGCTGTGACTTCCGTCTTGAGCTCGGCACATGCGGCTTTGAAGAGGCAGGATTCATTCTCGATCATGCTCTTCGACACCAGAGCTTCCTTTGCTAGCTCCATGTTGTCGGCCAGGTTGAGTCGGACAGCTTTCATGGCTGTTATGGCGTGCTCGTTGGTCCAGCCGGAGTCTTCCAGTCGCTTCACAAGGCCGAATGTGTCGAAGTGGTGCACATAGCGGGGCGCTTCGATATGCGGCGCCTTGATTGGAGGCGAGTGCTCGTCGAACCTGTGCCCAGGCAGCTCCTCGCTCTTGCTCGGTGTCTGCTGTGCCTTCGCTGGATTCGGTACACTGTCCAGTAGCGACTTGATCGGCTTGTCGCCGTACTGGTTTGGGGCGCCCTCCTCGACCTTCGATGGATCTGCCGCATCGAGCATAGGATCGCCACGAGGAGGCCTTGCAGTGGCTCCGTCTACTGTCGCCGGCTCCAATCGATCTGCTGTCTCCATCTCCACAGTCTCAGCCTGCTCATGCTTCACTTCCTGCTCGCCGTCCTTCTGCAATTCCTGGCCAATCTTTGGTAGTTTTGGTTGCGCCTCCGTATACTGCTTGACTGATGGTCCAAGACCTTTGCCACCTCCCAGATGAGGCGGTGGCTCATTTGCCGGTCCATATCGCTGGCCGACGGTCTCCTGCTGCTTTCGGCGGGGTGTGGCATGATATGCTCTGTATCGTGCTGCTGCTCGGACTATTCGTATCTCTGGTGATTGAGACTCGGCCGCGCGATATAGCATAGGCCATAGGAATGGTAGTCTCGGCGCCGCCATCATTTGACCCGATATCACATATACTACTGTGTCTTTTCAGCTGTAATCTTTTGGTCGCCATACAGCGAGACCCTGCTTGTTGATCGCGCTAACCACAAGCGGACACATCCACTTCAGGCCCTTGCTACAGCGTGCTTCAACGATTGGAAGAAATTTATACGCTCACTTCACCATCACCTTACCGACGTCGACGCGATAAGGCAGTCGCGGCTGATAAATATGGAGTTCTCGCGGTTGGCAGTGAACGAGGTTGAGTGCCAACATCAACACCAATCACAAACATGACCACCACGAAAAACATCCTCATCTTTGGGGCCACAGGCTTGATCGGCGAGCATATCACGCAAGCGATACTGGACCAGAAGGTATGTAGAATATCGTCCGTGACAATAGACATGTCATCGCCGCGACTACCACAACTTCTCTACCACAAAGTCGATTGTGGCGAAAGGGCAATGAGGAGGATGTTCAATTGCGCGTCGTGTGATGCTCGTCAAGTGGATCGTCGTGAGAGTATATACTGACTGTAGTCAGAGTCACTTCGACCGCATCGGGATCTACACCTCAGACAACACCCTATGGACGAAGCATGAAGACATCGGCCGCTTGAAGTCCCAAGGCGTGGAGATCTTCTCTGGCAATGTGACCTCTCGTGATGCTGTGAACGAGGCCTACACTGGTTTCGACACCATCGTCTCCTGTGTCGGACGTTCCGTCATCCAACATCAGATCCAGCTGATTGAACTTGCGGAAAAGCATCCCGACGTCAAGAAGTTCTTCCCGTCTGAGTATGGCACCGATATCGAGTACGGGCCTTCTTCTGCCAATGAGATGCCTCATCAGCAGAAGCTCAAGGTCAGAGCGGCGCTGAAGAAGACCAAGGATCTCGAGTACACGTATGTGGTTACTGGCCCTTACGCTGATGCTGATTCTGGTCTCTTCCTCTCCGCGAGATCCGAGGAAGACGAACAGAGTGGGACGTTCGACGTCCAAAGAAAGCGTGCGGTGTTGCTTGGGGATGGCGAGGGCAAGATTAGCTTGACGACGATGTACGATGTTGGACGACTGACTGTTGCTGCACTGCTTCATTCAGAGGGTATGTATCAATTCCCAACTCCTAACTCAGCATGCTCAAGCAGAAGTGCCGAGATACTGACTTGCTTCAGCTGCCAAGGGTCGCGCTTTAAAAGTCAACTCCTTCACAGCTACTCCCAAAGAGATCGCAGCAGAATTCGAGCGTCAGTCTGGTGGACATCAGTGGAAAGTCAGCATCACATCACTGGACAAGCTTAAGCAGCTCGAAAGCCGTGCATATCAACAAGGTAGTCCGCAAGCTGGTGTACTAACGCTTCGACGTATATGGACCGAAGGTGGGACTTTGTACGAGCGACGCGACAATCATCTCATTGGGATGGAGGACGGTATGGAGACGCTTGAGGATGCTGTGAAGAGGGCTATCGAAGTTCAGATGGCTTAATGAGGACTTTAAACTCTACACGATCCCTCATCAGCATCTGCAGCGTCTTGAGCAGAGCACTGGCGGGGCTATTTCTCTCACGACTCGTAGTTGTTACGGAGGGCTCGGTGTTTGTGCAGTAAGTACCCAGCTATTCAGAACCACTTTCCATGCATGCGTTGCTCCACCATGTCTGCAGTGACAGCTTCCCGTCGATGATGCAAGTCCGATCTCATAATGCAGGGCGCCGCCGCTGCTCTGACCTCGTCCAACAGCATTTGCACTCGCATCTCCTCGTTTGCATGTGCGATTTTGGCGCCCGGCCAATTACATGTTCGTCGTTCTGGTGCGGCACATAGAAGGACGGGAGCTTTACAAGATATCCGTCTTCTTTCTGTGTCTGAATGGTCCGCTCTTTTTCTTCGGTGCCTCCACTTGCTAGGTTCACTTTTCTGGCCTAACGAACAACATTGGAAACACATGACCAGCACCAATCACGACACCATCCACTCTCAATCAACATGGCTCAGGTGATCATCGACTTCAACAATATTGGGCAGCAGATCGTCAATGCGGTCAAGACCGCTGTCGAGGGCATTGGCAAGCAGATGGTTGCCAATGCTGCAAGACGTCTCATTCTTCGACATCCGCGCTCAGATTCTTGATAAGCATTTTTCAATCAACGGCAGTGTTCCAGCTGACGATGACAGCCAACGTGGGCGCATTGTGGCGCAATCATATGGAGCAGCGGCCTCAGCATGAGCCCAATGCCAGCCTGCACACGTTGGATGTCGTTCTCTACGGGGACGGCACAACCGTCAAAGCTGCCGTCACTTTGACCCAGGCGGATGAAGGTGTTTGTGACGGCGAGACTTATGTCTTCATCGAGACTGGCGATACCAATCAGGCAGAGAAGGCATTAGCGCTCCTGCTCGAGATGACCATGGTCATGCTGGACACGACCGCTACAATGTCGCCTCCCGATGACACGGCCTTCAATAAGCTGTCAGGGTATGATAGTGGCTACTACACTCAGTCGTGTTGAGCTGGGATACGGCGGAGATACACTGCATGAGCACATGGCGCATGGTCTTTACAGCAGTTCTCATCTCAGAGATGGATGAGCAGGAAGGTGTGAGTTATCATAGACAACCCGATATACAGTCGCTATCATGTCCACATCGCCGGCCGAAAGACATATGGGCACGCGAGTGACTTAAAACCTGAGGTACGAGCAATCAAGAAAACTGTCTACATTAATCATGATATCAGCGTCGGGAGACTGCAAATCTCTTGAGTGTGACTACCATGTATATATCGTCTTGAGTCAACGATGCCAATGTGTTCCTGTCTCTGAAGAGAGCGACGTATATGATATGAGACATGTCCATTTCGCGAAGCAGACTAGACTGTCTTGCACGCCATCGATTGCCGCTGAAGTTCTCGAAACAGTCATGCACATATATACAGATCTCTTGGCTTGATCGCTGTGCCGAAAATGTGCATATCTACTTTGTCCACCACGAAGCCAAGAGTGTAGGCCGTCCGAACGCTGAGCCAAGCATGATGTGATGCTTGAAAAGATCAAGGCCACGTTAATCGAAGTACCTGGGAAAGTGCTGTTCCATCCAGACCCGCTACTTCCGCGAACCAAAAATGAGCATGACCACATTCTGCACAGTATCGAGATCATACTGCTCGCCTGCCCACAAATGACTGTACGACACGGCCTCGTTCTCCCAATCATCGCCACCGAAGCTGACGTTGACCATCGGGAGCTGGCGATCGGACTCCTCCAGCGCGTCTGCCACGTTGCCGACGAACTCTGCTTGCTTTGCCAGGGTGAGTTCCAAAGTCGGTCCAGAGTCTGGCTCGCAGGATACCACAATAACCGCATCGGACTTGGTAAGGAACACTTCGTGCGTGTGAGTGAAGCCCACGCTTGGAACGTAAGGGACATGCCTAATCTTTCGATGTTGCTTGCTGAGCGCAAGACCGAGCATCTCGAAGGGGTCTGTCAATTGCTCCAGTTGAGGTGTCACACTCTTCTCACGCGTTTTGCCAAGTACGGACTTCGTATCAATATCGGGAATTGTGCGGTTCAATCCTGGATGGCCGGAGGGTAGCATGATGGGTGTCAGAAGCAGCAGGGTGGCGTCCGTCTCGAGGTTGCGAAGTTTGGCAAGGCTCCCGTTTGAGCTCGCGTGAGCAGTCTTCCAGTCAGACATCAGTGAGGAGGCTGCAGTCTGTCGACGTTGAGCAGTGTCATGGGAAACTTGTCGCAGCTTGGAATGATAGTCTTGCTGCTTGGCGCTCTTCTCAGGGGCTCTTCTTGGTGACTGGTCTGCCGACTGGGTCTTCTGGCTTTGATCCAGACGCAGACGTATGGCCAGGTTTGCGATCAAGTCGTCGGTGTGATTTGTGTCCTTCATGGGTATGGTGGAGCTGGAGAGCTCGATGATGTTATGTGAAGGTCGCATAGGTCGGTCCGAGAGGTCCTCAAAAGGACGAGAGACGGGTGTTCAGATTCCTGCACGCTCATGGAAGACAGCAGAGCTGTGACTGAGCCGACGGTAGGCGTACGGTTGAGGGTGTCACGAAAGGCAAGTGAGTTGCTGCTTCTGGACGCAGCGCGGGATGTTGCTCAGTATGATGTCGAGAACCCTGGTAAATAGTGATACGGATTGTGCCTGAATAGTGTATGAGGCCGATCGTATAGCGCCACCTGTCTGTGGTGATTCCGAAGACTTGGAGAGTAGTCAAAACATAGACGGCAAGACGCTTTAGCAGCGGCCGATCCGAGTAAGGCCTGGGTATGGAGGAGTTGATTTTAGTGGTGATGGAACCACAGTCGCAGCTGAGCTTCGCTTAGAGAGATTAATGTTGGATGGAAATGGTTGGTCGTACAGCAGAAATCGTTGCACAATGTTATTGATGCTTGGACGAGAGCACAAAGCAAAGCAGGGTATGATTGACGAAAAGCGGGATGGGCGAGCAGCAAACAGCCTGCATGAAGCCGTGGGAACACTGTCTTACCAAAGATGCGCAGCTTGCGTTGTGCTACATACAAACCAGAGCTGGGATTGGAGAGGGTCGAGAGAAGGATTATCAGGGTGAGGAAGGCAGCCACTGGTAGGGCGTGAGTAGTGGAAGCTTGACCTCCAGCCGTGGGGCCACACGGTCAGCACAGGGTCGGCCAGTGCTCGAGCAGATGTAACAAAGTCTCAGTGCTCGACGTAGGCGGCAGTTGTCATTGTCCAAGAACCGAGAGGAAGTTTGAACGGCGGATGCGCAAACCGGCCAGACGGACTATAGTAAAGTGCGGTCTCCCAGGAGCGGCCTGTACATGCGTGCATTGTCTGGTCTAGGTCTTGTGTTACTGTGATAGTACGGGCATGCGTGCGGATAACAGACGTTAGGAGTAATAAAGCCGGCCAGTAGCAGTGGCGTACGAAAAGAGGAGTGCAAGGCGTAGAGCCAATCCCGTTGACGGAGCCAATGCAGTGCAACAGAACGCCAACGCGTGGCTGCAGGCGGACAGCGACTGCTCATGCAAAGAATCGACCAGGATGCAATCAGGCCCGATGCCCTGGCCCGCGTGGCAGCATTGTTCCCCGTGAACACAAGCATAGTGGATGTTGGATCTGTATAACAACGCTGCTAGAAGCAAGATGGGAAAACGACGTGATGGAGCCTGATGTAAGAGGCAGAAGTGAAAGACAAAGATTGGCAACGACATGAATGGCCACGCCACTACGGGATCACCCGCGACAACGTACCAGAGGCCACTCCATGCGAGCCTTCACTATCACTGCGTCATCAAAAATGCTGTGCGGCCATCGCGAGTGTACATATTTGCATGAGCAAGAAGCACAGCTCAATTTGACAGCTTACACAGCATACGGGTAGGATAGCCTCGGGTTTCTCCTCCCGCATGACCACCGTCACTCAAGACTCCACCACCATCGACCTCACGTATCACAATGACCAAGCGAAGCTTCGATGACCTCGCGGTGGTGGCTACGGGTGCACAAGATCTCGCAAGTCGCTTCGGGAAGCGGCGCCGGCACGACTACGATGACTTGCCACCAATATCTCCTTGGCGTTGTAATCTGGTGAGTGTGGAACAATAGGCTTACCTTACCTCACAGTTCAAAACCCGTGCTCGTGCGACAAACTCACCTGCTGACTACCTTCCAAGTAGACGGCGCTATCCCAGGAGTGCAATCTCTACTTCGTGGCCTATGGCACAGAGTTATACGTGTACGACCCGCAGTTTCCCACGCAGGCTGTCTCGCCGAAGCCTGTGTTGATTGTGCCCTCTCAGCCCTCTGAACCTGGGCTTGCAGGACATCTTGACCCGCGCGAGCCGCATACGATCAACAATCTGATCGTTCAGCGCTTGGGCAATGATGAAGTGCTTGCTACTGTGAGAGACGACGGCGATGTCGATGCTATCCTGCTTCGCCACGTGCTCCAAGCAATAGTTCGTCGAGCGGAACCCGGTAATGTCTTTGAGCTGGTCGCTAGTGAGATCAGACCTATCTTTCAGAGCAATGTTGGCATCAGTGCTTGGGGCCTGGCAATCCATTCCCAAGCTCGTATACTGGCGTGTAGCTCCAATGCGCATGAGGTCAGAGTGTTCAAGTTCGGACTGCTGCAAGAGGACGAGGAGATGCCTCCGACAAGCGATAGTGATAGGATGGCAGCAAGTACTGCGGATGAGCATGTGCCCGCCCACTCGCATCGGAAGATGGACGTTACTCAACGGGTGCTGAACGGCGATACCAATATCCCTTACATTGCTTTCTGTAATACTGGCGACGACCCAGAAGCTCGGTGGTTACTGACTACTGACATCTCGGGCTACTGTCGTGTCATGGATCTGCATCGACGATCAAATACTAGTGCTACGGTGCAAAAGTTCCGCTTCGGTACATGGTCTATGAGCTCGAGCGCAGGCTTCGATCGTCTGAACGCTGGTTGGGCTATCATGTTTCTCGATCCTCGATCGTTTCAATCAGTTCGAACGTTCGAAGCGGCTGTTAGGCTGGCACAAGGTGGTGAGCTACCTGGGGCGAAGGCCAACAATCGGTCCTGGGATCTTAGCGACACTGTTGAGCATGTGCCCAATAACTCACCAGCTTTCACGTACAATGATCCCAAAGTCCGACGGCAAGCGCAGGCTCATCGCTCGAGCATAAGCCAGAGTGCAAGTCCAAGCAATGCTGGGTCACGATCTGGGAATATGAGCGGCACATCCAGTCCAGGAGCACAGGGAAACATCATCGATGCCCTGGTCGATCAGCTTGTAGCACAGACTGCGCAAGAGCTCGAAGACAACGACATGCTCGAAGACTCTCACGAGCAATCTGATAACGAAGCCGAGTACGACGAGTATTCCGACGAAAACATCGCGCTCGTGGATGACGATGAAGACCCAGACGACGAAGGGACAGAAGACAGCGTATCCTACAACTCAATGTACGGCGGCCGCCGCATCTTCGGCAACCAACCCTACTTCTACCACCAAGGCGGGCTGTGCGAGGACCTGCCCTGCCCAATCCTCCATGCCTCGGTGAAGAATATATACCTCTTACAGCCTTCGAGACAGAACACAACGCCTGGAGCTTTTTCTCCGCCTATGGTCGGGATAGCGAATCCGCTCCGTCAGGCAGTACAGAATCGATTCGGGTACCTCAATATACTCGACCGTCTCAATATGAACGCTTCCATCCCATCCCTTGGCGTCGTAGTCCTAGCCTCGCAGAAAGGTCGTGCTGTCGTCCTGGCTCTCACGAAACTTTCAGCTAAAGCAGCATATCCAGCGAGCATGAAAGACGGTATAGCCAAGGCCAAGACCAATTACGCCATGCGGATCGAATGTATCCTGCCGTTTGCACACCAGGAGTTGCAGAATCAGCGGCCCTTTCAGCCTTTGCATGGCATTGCTGTTGGGCCGGTGCAAGGGACTGATAACATGTCGGATGAGAGGAAGCGGTGGCGGTTGATGATGATGTATCAGGATCATAGTATCTTGAGTTATGAGATCTCGAGACGGCGGGCGAGGGACTCGGGAGTCGAGGTTGATACTCTGGTTGTGTAGTAGTGCTGGTCCGTATGTATGGTTGTATGAGAGTCACGATACCCTCATGGACTGAGACACTGGAGTTATCATTGTGCATGCTCGCAACTGCCGTTAGTCTCCAGTGATTGCCATTCGATTGTGTGTGCCTGGCTGATGTCCCCCGCTCAAAGCATCGGACATAGGTAGGTGTACCCAGACGCCTGCCCAAAACACTCTCAATCCCGTCCCAGGCTTCCCGCAGCCTGACCGACAGCTTCCCTCGCCGTAGCCGCCGTGTTCGCCGTAGCATCATACACTGTCTTCGCCGCACTCAGTATCCCATCAGAAGCTTTAGTAGCGGTCTCCACCGCCTGTTTCGACAGCTCGCCGACTGGCACATCGCCGGCGAAATAGTAGTACGTTCGTTTCGACACCGTCATGATGTGGTCCGGTAGGTAGAGTATACATGCTGTCGAAAGCATGGAGAACGTGAGAAAGAGGATCGAGTCTGCCACAGTGACACATCTTGTTAGCTATAGGCAGACTTGCGGTGTTGGGGAAATATGGATGGACGGCTGGCTGGCTGGCTGGGGAAGGTTTTGTTTCGGGACGTACTGAAGACGAACTTCTCCGTCGGCGTGAGCATGTAGAGGGATGATGTGACCTCGTATTGGTAGTTCTTCTTCTGCACCCAGTTTACGAGGCCGTTGGGTTGGGTGAAGAGGAAGCCGAGCAGGGCGATGAAGATTATGGCTAGGGCTAGTTGGACGGGGGTCGCGGTGAGGAGGTCCATGTTTCGATGGCAGTACTGTCCAAGCTAACAGGCCCTTATATTTCGTTTGCTCTGATTTAGCTGAATGTAAGTCTTCGAGGCTGCTGGAGAAGGGAGTGATTTGGGGCAAAAGAGAGCGTTCCTCCTGGATGTGGTTGGTTTTGTGGAGATGGCTTCGGATTCGCGAGCACGCATGTGAAGTTGGGGTTGACTTGCCATCTGACCTTCTACACTAACAATGGCCATATGACGGAAATCGCATACGTGGCTCGAATGCTGCTGCGTAGACTATGGACCTCCCATAACGCCCTCACTCAAACTCACACCCAACACACCCGCCACCTAACCAGCACCCACACCCACCTAGAAAAAGCCCTCCCCCCCCGGCCCAAAATCCTCGACTCGGAAATCCAGGAATCCTTCCTTAAGGGCTCCGGACCCGGCGGGCAGAAAATCAACAAGACGTCCTCGGCAGTCCAAATCAAGCATTTACCTACGGGGATCGTGGTGAAAAGCCAAGATACCCGTAGTCGGGAGCATAACCGTAAGCTGGCGAGGAATTTGTTGGCGGAGAAGCTGGATCAGATGGAGAAGGGGGAGGGGAGTCGGATGGCGATTAAGGGTGCTAGGATGAGGGAGAAGAAGGCTAGTGCGGATAAGAAGGCTAGGAGGAAGTATAGGAAGTTGGGGGAGGGGAAGGCTGGTGGGAAGGAGGGGAGTGGGGATGAAGGGATGGTAGGTGTGGAGAGTGGTGCTGGCGATGAGGCTATGGATGGGGAGGATGTTGATGGGCAAGCTGGGAGGGCTCAAGAGCTGCCACCGAAGACGAAGGTCCCTAGCCCGGGATAAATTTGCTGTGAAGATGGAAAGCTCGAAGCACCATCCTGATCATTCACAATGTGTTCATTCACCAAGCATGAGGGGAGACACGTGGGCAGCATTCGTTCCCGTGATCAAGCGCTCCTTCCTTCTGTACCGAACACAGTCAACAGTCACGGCAGGCGCGATCGCTTATCTTCAGCAAACGACCAAGACATCGACTTCGCAAACCTGACAGCGCTTGCTCAACATTGCCACACAAATCGAACACCTCATCTCTACCACCTCGACATACTCAAGCACATCAAACAACATGTCGGCCGAAAACAACGACGTCCGCGAGCAGATCCTCGGTAAGTCACTCCACCCCTTTCAGTACATATCAATACTGACCAAACCCCCAAGCCAACTCCCGCCTCCTCCTCACCTCCACAACAAGCCCCACCACCCAAGACAACATCAACATCGTCGTCTTCGGCCACAGCGGCATCTTCACCGCGGCCGCCATGCTCGGCACCACGCCAGCCATCGAAGGCGCCGAGGGTGCGACACCCGACCTCGCGCGTCGCAAGCTGCTTTTGGCGACCTGCGAGCTGCTCAACACGTACATTCCGAAGTTGGGGGCTCATCAGCGTACGATTCATGGGGGCGGGATTTTCGATGAGGATTTGATTAGTAGGGAGCTTATTCGGGCGGAGAGGGAGAATGAGTAAGTACTGTTGCGTGCGAATGAGATGCGCATGGGAATGGCATAGCATGGCATGGCAAAGGGACGGTGATGGACGCGTAAGGTACATCATATGGGTGATCCGATTGTGACGTTGTTGCGATGATATGTTCCGCCTGAGTGCGCGCTACGTCTGCAAGGTCGCCCTGCTTGCCGCGTCTACACTTATCCCCTATGAAGACAAAAGAGTAGCATGAATAATGTAGAAACTATGCTTCATCATACCCACCCGTTTCATGCCTTCGAAATACCACGTTTGTGACACATGTCACACATCCCTACTCGTCCTAGCGTGCATCGAACCGCGGAAAGTGCATGCAGGACTAGCGTGGCTAGTGACGTCAAATGTGCAGGCATTGTGAGCCACACGAGCCTGTGCCCACCCCTACCATACCAGCTTGGAAGCGACGCTGCATATAAAGAGCTGCCCAGCCACATCCTGAGGCGAGCTGAGTAAACTTATGCAACGAATCGGTCATCTACTTGACTCTGAAGCATCGCGCTTCGTCTAGTTACTGTTCAATAAAAGCTGGTCGCATACCCACAAGCCGACCACCGACCAACCCGCGACTCGTCCGGCGCAAGAGAGCTTCCGGCGCATTCCCCCGACCTCGATCACGACCACGACCACGACCACAGAAATGGCGGAACCACGTGAGCGGCCGCTGCATGAGTATGTTCGACCGCCAACGCCAACGCCATCGCAACCACAATGCCAAGCCCAAGCTAACATGATAATGCCACCAGACTCCTCTCCAGCCGCATGGTAGACATCTACGTCGGCGAAGAAGGCACGTGCTGGACCATCCACGAGAAACTCCTCTGCCACCGCTCCAAGTTCTTCCGCAACATCTTCTACAGCAAGAGCAGCAAGAACAGCCGCTACGGCCTGCCGGACGAGAGCGATGAAGCCTTCCAACGTCTCATTGGCTGGCTGTATAGCGATTATGTCGCCCCGCCTAGGGAGGAGAAGGACTTGTCGCATATCCTAGATCTGTACCTCATGGCCGAGAAGTTTGAAATCAAGAAGCTGATCTTGGATATTCTCGAGGCCGTGCGGAAATGGTACCACGATACGGACACCTGGCCCAATCTCCGTCGCGTGCAGTATATCTACGCCAACACGGAATTGGAATCCCCGATGCGTCAACTCCTCGTGCAGTGTGTAGCCCGGATGTTGGTCCTAGGCGACGGGATGCCGCCGCATTGGGAACGCGCACTCAGGGCGAACGGGCAGTTGTCGGTGGATATTATTTTGACCGTGCAGAAGTGGCATTTTGAGCCCCAGAATGTGCCCGATGCGAGGCAGGAGAGTGTGGAGCCGATTATGGAGGCTGCTGAGGAGAAGATTGAGATTAAGAGAGAGCAGGAGGGGGAGGGGGAGGGGGAGCAGTTGCCTAATGGGGTTGATCATGAGGAAGGGGAGGAGGGGGAGGGGGAGGAGCAGGAGCAGGAGGAAGAGGAGGGTGCTGTGAAGGATGAGTCGTGATGTGCTTTTTTCATGGTATGATGTGTTTGGTTCTGCTTCCCAGCGAGCGATGTTTGGTCTGGTCAAATGATGGGATCTGATCCCTTCTCGCGACCTTTTGTACATTTACCTTCAATACCTCCTTACATGGTTAGTTTGTAATGTGTTTCGTGCAGTCCAGTCATCAATCAGTCACAAGCACCCCCCCAGCTCCCGCTGCGTCACCACTCCATCACGGTGGACTTTCATCCCTCACCGCTTCCCCTTTCCCCCTTTCCCCTCTCCACCAGTGGGCCATTCGTGCTCTGCTCGCACGATCTACGCCACGACCGCAAACCCGACCCCCACTACAGCTAGCGCGGCCCATACCCTCTGCATCGGGATCTGCCTCTGGTCCGCTCCCGCACCACTGCCTGAAGGCTGCGCTGAGGCACCCGATTGCTGTGCTGTTGCGGAACCGCTCATACTGCCGGGGGATGTCGATGGAGTGGTCATGGTAGTCGATCCAGAGGCTGCTGAGCTCGCCGACACGCTACTCGATACCGCGCTTGCTGCGGTACTGCTCCCTGCATTTGATGGGGTTGAGGTCGAGCTGGTGGGTGCTGTCCCGCTTAGTACCGTCACACTACTCGTACTGCCAGTGGCTACCGGTGTTGTTGTTGTTGTCGCGCCTGAGGTATCGGAGTCCTGTGGTATGGGCGTGATTCGGTTTGAGAAGGAGGAAGGGGGGAGGATGGTTGTTGATAGTGATTGCAGGCCTGGGGCGGTTGTTATGGCTGAGACTGTTGTGGTTGTTAGGGCCAGGATGGAAGGCCAGAGGGGGGGTTTCATGGTTGGGAGAGTGTCTTTTTCGCTTTAGTTCGGTTTGGCTATTTGGTTGTTGAGAAATTCTGGGATGGGAATGGTATTGATACTTGGTCCAAAGGGCGATTTAATTGGGTTGCTCCAAAGGAAAGCACCTTACCTAGCTTGTTATTGATCTCGTGCCGCTCGTGCCGGCGTAGAAGCAATACCTATCGATGGAGATGCTCGATTCGTGCTCATCCACCTGTATGTAACGTCATGATCTGCAGAGGTAGACGCGTTCGACTTTGCATGAAGGCACCTTCTGCTTCGACTCTAGCTAATAACATACTGCCACTTGCATCTCTTTGAGAAGGCAGGTGGACGATATGTCATGTGGTATTCGAGTGCAGCATTACTTCTTAACGACATCGAGGAGAGACTACTGCCGAAGTCGTACGCCGGAGACGAGGAAGAAAGTTCTACCCCGATGGTCAATCTCACGACAACACATCTATTCGATCCCTCCTCCCTCTCGATTCTGCTAGCTTATCGCTCTCCTCCCTGTCCCCTTGTCGAAGTACACTTCCATTTCCCCTGTCCAGGATCTCAAACATGGCGACGCAACGACAGTACAAACTCGTGACTGTCAACAATGCACCCGACCGCGCTCGGAAAATCGTAGGCAGAGTCATCGACGACGTGAAAGGTACTTATAACATCGTTCACGCAGCGAATGCTGAAAGTAAGAACTTCATCTTCTACCGTTTTCAGTGAATGGATGAAGGTTGACAACCATCAGGCCCGGAGGCCGCCAAAGCCGTATTCGAGGATGTTATGCCGGATGTTGTGGTCTGTAGGCAACACAACGACGTTTTCATCCCGATCAATGCTGATCTGAATAGTTCACTGCCTCGATGTGGTCGCCCGAGCAGAGCTCAAAGGTGCTTGCGCAAGCCAGAGAGGTGAATCCAGAATGCAAAACTTTGGCTCTTCCACAAGGACTGCAAGTACAAAGTGGACCGGATGCCGTTGTCGAGTACATCAAAGAGCAGCTGACAAGCCTACTGAATGACTCCAAGTGAGCGTATTGGGTATGTGGATACTAACGGTTCTTGAGCGGCTCTCGGTACGATAGATCTACACATTCTAGATCTTGCTATAGAAAAGAAGATACGGATCGAATTCACTCCCTCTGGTCTTCGGGCCCCACAGCTCTTGCACTTAGCCCCGGCGATCTCTCGTAATAGGCTGATCGTCATCGAGCGCACAGAAGACCTCCCTGATTGTTCTCGCACTGCAGCGATGTAGTGGCCGCCATCAATGGTGGTTGCACGTTTGGTCTTGGCCTTCTTGTCGGGTTTGACGCTCTGATGAGCCACCGCGCTGTCCAAACGATAGAAGAGTGGCTCTTCGCTGTCCGTGAACTCGGCTAGGTTCAGGTACTCTTCGATCACCGTGTTGTCGTCGATCTTAGACGTCTCGAACCTGCCCTTGCCGTTTGGTAGCTCGATTTGGGCGAAGCGGCTGAGTGGAGCACAAAGATCTCGGGCGCTTTTGTGATGGTTTTGTGTCGAGTACGCTCTTTTGAGGGGGCTTTCTGCCTGATTTGCGCTTGCTCGGACATTCCCCGTCTTCGTACCGGATCTTGATCTTCTCCTTGAACACGTTCTGCTGAGGTACTCGACCAGACTCCAATGCCGTTCCGGGGTCTGCAGGTCGACTATCAGGCCAATGCCATGGCCCTCTTCGCCAGAAATAGGCTGGGTCATGGTGAGGTGGCCACAGTCCTCACATTGCCACTCGCGTCTCAGCTGAATGTCGAAAAGCTCGGCTAATGTCAGTGGTGGCTACTCGTCTGGATTGCCCTAGTCCAGGAGAAGCTTCTCCTTGCCAGCTCGTTCGGCGCTCTGGAAGTGCTCAGTCAAAAATTGAAGAAGAACGAAAGGATAGTTTTGGGCTTCCTTTCACCAGAACACCATACACTGGGTCATCGGGATCGACTATTCGGTTCAGCACACTATTCAGCCGTGACGTAGCCTTCGCGAGTTCCCTCGACTGAACCTTCTCACGGTCTGTAGCTTGCCAATACTCCGCAGACAATTCCTGTGTGGCACAGACGAGGCAATCCCGTTTTTAATGGTCATCACTATACTGTACCTCATCGTGCGAGGTAAGGAGCTACTGGAAGAGCGCAGGCTGATGTAATAGACATTGCAACAACGAAGTTCGATAGCAGTAGTTCTAGCCAAACCTGCTCAAGCCTCTCGATTTGGGCGTCGTGCTCAGCGAGGAGTGTGGCTTCCAGGACTTGGCGATACGGAAAGTGTTCTTCTTATCCACTGGGGTGGCTTTGCCGGTGCTTGGCTTGCCACTGGCTCGTGATTTGACAGGCGAAAGTAGTGGCGAGGTTTGTGTCTCCTTGTTTCGGAGCCTGATGGACCGCCTGCACCCGTTGTATCTCGGCGATCGAGGCCAGCTCCTCCGGCGCTTCGACTAAGGCGCGGGAGGATTCGATTCGAGAGATTCTTGGAGGGCGAGACCGACGAATCTGAGCTCGTTCTCGGTGGCTCTGAGCTGTTTCTTTGTGTCTCTGAGTTGGTCTGCGGCTGTCATGGTCGTGATGACGGTCGCGACGGGTTCTCGGTATAGGGCTGCTGGATTAAGGGCACGTCGACTACGTGATCTTGAGCTGTTTGCTGTACAGCATGTTATTATGCTCCTTTTACACCTCAGTGCTGATCGACAACTTCGCGAGAACAAAGGACTGAAATGCGTTGGGTCGTCTGGAGCAATGGGGTATCCATAGAGGACAAAGAGCCCAGCAAAATATCCATAACGAACAAACAAAAGAATCCATCGTTGTCGCTCGCCACGACTGAGATTGGCCTCATTTCGTGGCACTATGGCCATATTAAACTCGACATGCGCATCTCTTGCGCATTTCGTCCGAAGACTGTACAGCCGTAGCACATTACACTTCGTTCCAAGCATTACCCCTCGGCCATCAAGAATGAACAACGCACTCCCTCGAATGATTCGCTTGAACAGGCCTCTGCATACTCTTTGCAAGCTCGTGTTCTCCTCGGAAAGCTATCCCTTACGCCTCTTCCTCCAGACGAAAACTAATTTCATGAGACTAAGGAGCGGTCGACTATACACGGCTCCTCAGCCGCCTCCTCGACGTCCGGTGCCCAAACACAGCGGGAAAACTCGGTCAGGTGCCGGGGGAAAGACGCCACCTCCTAGCCGGAGGAGGGGCTCCGAGTCCAGCAACCCTGGTGACGGCAGTCGAGGATCTTCTAGACCAAGCTCCCCGAGACACCAGGACAGAGTTCTCGGCAGCAGAATCAGCAAGAAATGGCAAAACGATGTCAGGTACATCCGGCCACGTGGTTTCCGCAACATCGGCGGCGCGACATGCTACCGAAACTCCATGATGCAGTCTCTCCTACACGTCCCGCTTTTCTGCAACTACCTCGGACAGATGCACCAGGAAGACTCGCATGCAGAGGATAAGTGTGTGGCGTGTGCATTTCAATTCCTTTCCTACTCCTATTGGTATGATCGTGACAACGCCGCAGTGTTTCCTCAGGCTTGGATCCGAGGCTTGTACAAAGCTCTCGCCACAGCGGTGGAGGAGCGCGACGATCACTTTTTCGAACCGTTTGTTAGTACCTTGGTCCAGGGAGATCCGGTCGAGTTCTGGGATGCAATTAAGGAGCAGCTGCTGGCGATGGAGAACGACGGGTAAGTTTGCTTGTCGACTTGAAATAAAGTCCATTACTGACAGTACCACGTAGTGAAGAGTCGATTGCAGAACTCCTTAAAACGGACTGGACTGTCAACACTGAGTGCCGAGGATGCGGGCACAAGGATACTCGCCAGTCGGAGACTCAATCGATCGCGGTAGCTATAACCACGGATGATGGCTTGTTCAATGGCCAGACGTTGGTCGAGGACCTTGAGGACTACCAAAAGGCGGTCAACAAGGTGCACTGCATCTGTGTCGACACAGCGGAGCAACTTGGCGAAGATATCGGGAATCAGATCAGGGACGAGATCTCCACTATCCAAAACTCTCCAGAGATTCTCATCGTCCAGCTCAAGCGGTTCAGTTTCGACACGCTGACTCAGACGAGCTCCAAAGTCAGCGGCGAGGTCGACTTCGACGAGGAGCTCGACCTGACCAACTTCACTGACAAGCAGGGGAAGCTGAAGTATCTTATCCATAGTGTCGTCCTCCATCATGGCGACACTGTCGAGGAAGGCCACTACGTCGCCGCGGTACGTCGTCCGGACAGTGAGACATTCTACCTCGTCGACGACTCCACTGTCTCAGGACCACAGCACCTAATGCACATCCTCGCTCAAGAGGCGAAGCATGGATTCGAGCCGTATGTCTTGCTCTACCAGAAGGTCGAGACGAAAGTCGTTGCAGAGGAGGCGGCCGAGGGCGATGATGCCGAAGCTGTTTCGGAAGCTTGATTGAAACTTCCAGAAGGGATAGTCGTTCTATGGTCTAGGCGGAAATCAATCATGCGCACTTCAGCCTGGCAAGGAATCTGCACTCCCGGCAAGTGGCGACTTGGGAAGAGCGTCTGGTGACGACAGTCCCGCCGACTGCAATGCAAGGCTTCGCACACTTCCAGATCGGCTTGCTGTCGGGGACCCTGGTGTTGAGCTTCCCGGCCTCCATGTCTGTGAAGAGTGGACCGTCCAGTTGAAAGCGTGTTCAGGGCTGACGACCTGTCCGGCCAACGGAGAAGCTGTGATCACTGTGCCTGGTGTGGGTAGAGGTGGTGGAAACGGGCTCTCCGGTCGAAACAGAGGATGTATGTGAGCTTGAGTGGTACTAGGCCTGCGGTTGAGAGGATATTCATGTATTGAGCTGGTCTCGGCGATAGATGGTGAATGCAATGGCGACTCAGGTAGTTGTAAATGCTCTGGCAGCGTGCTTTCTAGAAATGGGCCATCAAGTGGTTTGGCTGGAGATACAGGCCGGCTGCCTGGTATAGGTTCCAACCTCGTCCTAGACTCCTTTCTTGACAAAGGCGGCATAGGTGGAACGAGATCGTCTGTATTTGCCTCGACGGTCGAGGTATCCCAGAACTCGAAGCCATCATATTGGCGAGTAGTATCGGTCGACGGCGGTCGTACGGAATGAGAGCTTCGTGCATCCGATGACATGAACGAACGCCGTATCAGTCGTGTCCTTGAAGTCATTGGCCGTATCACTTGATCCATGGAATTCCGCCAAGATGACCGGAACAGTGGCGAAGGGAGTGGAGCGTCGCCATCATAGAAGTCAGAGGTAGTCCTTGTCATGCGAGGAGGCGATGACCTGACAAATGCCAGATGTATGGACTTTGCCTTGGCCGAACGGGCAGGCGACGAGCCTAATTCTGAGTCGTCCGCGGCCTCCAGGGTTTCTGCTCGACCACTCTGTGGCCAGGCCAGGTAGGCATAGAGAACCGTCTCTGAGCAGAGCAGCACTGCCCAGAAAGCCAGACCGGCCTTCAACAGGCCCACACTGGCCTTAGCTGACGGGGAATTGAGGTGAAGTGCGAAGAGGATAATCGAGAGGACAGCAGCGACAAGGCAGACGACAATCGCACATGCTAGAGCGATCGTCGTCCTTGGCTGAGCATGTAATCGCCTGATCCCGACTGCGAGCAAGATGGCTGCGAGGGAGCCAAGGTCGAAGACGCTCGCTGCCAGTCCTACCCTGTACTCAGATGATGTCAAATGGCCGGCCGTCGTGAGACGAACAGTGGTTGCAGCGACAACAACGTTGGCGGTGAAAGCGAGAGTTGCAATAACCCAGAAGGCGATCGCGCGAGATGGCCTTGAATCGAACATTTTGACGTGTCAATGGCGTCTAGACCGGCTCCTGGAGAACTGTTCCGGCACGCGACCCGTGGAGGGTTGAAGTGTAGCTAGATTTGCTGCGTAGTCTCAACGACGTGTCATCGTGATGGTCGAAGGACGATAATGTGCTGCATGTGTGTGTTGTCACGTCTCAGACTCAACCAGTAGATCGATTTACGATCTTCTCTATCTGGATCCCGAGTTGTTGACGTGGATCTGCAAGTGGACATGCGCGTGAAGGACACGCGAAAATGGAACCGGCGCCAAAAGAACCACAACGGGAAGAGGCGAGCAGTCGTGCAGCACTTATGGATGTGTACGAGCAGCCTTTCAATGGTTGCGTCTTACGTCGCACAGAGGAGGCTGACCAGCCGCCAGGCCATTTGCACATGCGCACCCATGTTTGCATTGCATCCTACCGGACATGGGAGAGGCAGTGGGGTCGTGAGTCGTGTTGGACGACCCATCCTGGGCAAATGATCTCGTGCTGCTGATATGGCGCAGAAGACGCGCTGCGGGACCGCGCACGAGCGAGCGCGCCATAAGAGGGCTATGGAGGAGCTGAACAAATCAATACCCGTGAACTTTGATGAAGTTGTTTAGATTGCCGTTGTCAATATTTAGAAGGGGATGCAGAAGTCCGAACGCGAATCCCTGCTGTGGAAAGATCCATGGACCCGGTGGCTCCATTTTTAACGTGTCGTGGCGGCCAGCCACTCAGCGCACGAGATTTCGTCTTCCTTCTCGTCAAGGCAGCTCATTGCAAACTCACAATATTCTCGACCTGCTTCTGTCGATTCGAGCTATTGGAGGCCTGCTCATATCCTCGCATATACTCCCCCTCGTCAGATGTCCGCCGCGAGCAATAGCTTGTCCCGCGCTGGTACAACCTCAGCGAACCGCTCCCGGCATCTCAACAGCAGTCGTGAGACGGTGCACCCACCGCAGGCGCCCTGTCGATTGCAACAGCTGACGTAGCTTGCGCTGACATACGAAAGTCGTACGCGACAATCACACGGCAAACAGTTGTGCCTCGAGGCAATATACATATTATCAGATTTCATCCTCGTCCTCGTCAAAATCATCCTCACTTCCCATATCATACAGAATCCTGCCTCCATCGCCACCACCTTTCTGGGCGTCGAAGTACGGCAACACCACGCCTTCTCTGTCCCTCCTTTGCTTCTCCGTCAGCCCGAGCTCGAAGGTACCGCCTCCATTACCAGCTTGAGCTTCTGCTTCCTGCTCGGGAGTTCTGTACTGAGGATGATCCTCCAGCAGTAGTATACCTGATCGAACTATTTTCGTCGCGTGGGTTGTGCTCGCAGTGCCAGATGAGACACCGGGCTTGGGTGCGGGTTGTAGAGGCAAATAGAACCACTCCCTCACACCTCTGCCTGACTTCCGTCTATGCTCCATCTCTAGCACTATCTCCTGCTTGCCATTCGCACCTAGACCTTGCAGTACACCTTCCGTACCTTCCTCGAGCCCGAATAATGGCTCGGCGTGACTGCGATCGCGTGCTGCTTTGCATGCGAGTACATGTTGTAGAGCATGAACAGTAAATATCGTGGTGGCCAGATACTTGAGTAGGGTCAACGGAGCTGGGGCGTATGCATTGTGGCCACACCCTTGAGGCCTGTGAAGGACATCCAGATGATAGACTGCTAGTAGAGAGGTAGTTGGACCGATGAATGACGATAGCAGAGCTGGTAGATTGGATGCTTCGGTGGCACTGAGCGGATTAGTCGTATCGATGATGATGAGGCTTCCTGATGTTATTATCAGTCTGATGTACGATGATGACCATACAGACCAACGTACTTCGGCCTTTTTGTTCTTTGATGACATCCGCAACTTGCTTCTGCCAAGTCTTCAAATCCAAACTCCAGGCCGGTATCAGGGCATCCACGTCTCGAGGTTTGCGCAGTGTCTCAAAAGCAACGAAGATGACATGAACATTTGCAGCCTGTGTCGTTGTCAGTCTATGCATTCGTCTCGTATCTAGGAATATCGAGGGTGAGGACCTTGGCACGCCGAATATATTCTCTGATCAGTGGTCTGGCAGATTGTTCGAGGCTGGCGAGGAGAAGTGTGAAAGGCGATCCTGCATCACGCTGGCCTAGTAATTTGTTAATCAAGAGTAAGTTGTGTGTCCGTCGATGTTGGAGCTGAGAGGGTGCCATAGTTGGCAATCGATGGCAGGAATCGAGATGTCAAAGAGGCAAAGTCTGAGGTGCACGATAGCGCTAATCAGAATTTTAGGAAGGCACGGCGCCGTTATGAAAGTATATGCATATATATCTCCACATTTCCAGACTGCATTATATATGGGAGAGCCCACTGCACATACAGTCTACCAATACATGGTCAAGTCACTGGCGAGATTTCCACACCGCGATACTTGTTGATTCTACAGTACTACCACGAACCACACTCGCTATGCGAACGCTTCATCCTACCCGCTCGAAGAAGTCATTGCGAAGCGCCTCAGACGCTTAAGCTCAAGGGTTTCGCGTGCTCTTGGTTAAACACCGCCAAAATGACTTAATGTACTAACCATCGCTCTATGGATTATTAGGCGTCACTCATGGCTAGCATTTGCCTTCTCACTCTGGCCATCTTCTTGCTTCACCTGATCATCTTACTGCTGACTCCCTTCCTCCTCATCGTCCCTCTCACCTTCACCCTCGTCCTTGACACCCCAATGCCTCTCCCTCTCCGCAGCCCTCCACTCATTGAACTTGCCCTCCTTTCGATCGACACTGGCTTTCATAGCATCCTGCCTCCACTTCTTCTCCTCCTTGCCATCCTTCAGATCGTCTTGCCATTTGCGCAGTGCCTCCTCGATATAAAAATGATGCTCTGATCTAAGCGGATTCATAGCTGGATCATGTGGAGTCTGACCATCTGCTGGCGTAGGAAGCATAGCGTAGAGCTCTTGGCGCTTTTCGAGCGGAAGAGCATCCCAGAGGCCTGGTTTCTTGAGCAGGGTCTGGGTGTTCTGTTAGCTGAACTAGCACTTGAGCCTGTGATTTAGGTGACGGCACTTACTGTGAGGTCGACATTACCGAGCTTCGACTTCTCTGATGTGAGCAGGCGTTTCTGAGACATGCTGTTTGATGTGCCGATACAAGAGGGTGTGATTTATCTTCCTGATAGATGGTGTCGTTGTGCCGGGGTATCAGGGTGGCAAACAGGAGGCAAGTACTGAGATTCGTTTCTGGCCTCAGAAATTGCCTTACAGTAGTTCTGCGAATGAAACCAGTATCAGAAATGTGTGTGTTGTCTCAACCAGGTACTGTCGAGTGAACTTCGAGCATCCCAGCTCACGATCAAGCGGAGCTGTTTAGCAGTGAGGCATGTTAGAATGGAAGCGCATGATGAAGATGAAGTCGTCTGCAGACTACGTGGTGAGGTCGTTGATACTGGTCCGAGTATATGGATTAGGGGAATTATGATGTGAAGGCGAAAGTCATCTGACTCGTGCATATGGTACTTCAAAGCCGCTCTTACAGAATTCCGGGTATTACGCTTACCTTTGAGGTGTTCTTTCGGCCTATGAAGTGAGGAGTGCCAATCGTCTATTCTAGTCCTGCGGAGGGTAGGGCGTACTTGCTTCCCAAGTGGTTCATTCCACGATGAGCAGAACAAGTAGCAGATTGTCTCTGCCCATTACGGTCTGACTTTTTGAGTGCCCGTCCAGTAGTTGATGTGCCTTACTTGAGCACCTGCTGAAGCACATGCAGGAAGGAGAGGAGTAGTGAACATGGCAAGCATGGGTCAGGAACAGGTGGAGACTTTCGGACAGCCACGCCGGTCAACGTGGCTTCCCGCACCCAGTTGTGACGCCAGATGGACAACAAATAATTGTAGAAGACCATTACTTCCTTTCCTGCAATCGAGTCAGTAGCAATCTCTCAGACCCTCACCGCCATGATATTCACCACACAGATCGTCCGCCTTGACGGTATGTGCAGCTCCAGAGCACTCTCCAGCCCACCAGCGAGTCCACTGACCAGCAAGCAGGCCTGGTACTCGTAGCCTCAGTCGACGACTCGCAGATAAAAGAGGTCGGCGAGCTCAAACAACAGATACGACAAGTTGTCAAGCACATTACGCCTTCCTCCGAGCCGCGGGCCAGTATAGAAAGCGGCAAGTATACAATGCAGTCAGTCGCGACCACTTCCTCCTACTATGCGCAGCGGTATCATCCTGTTCGCACAGCAAGAGTAAGGGACTGACATAAAGGCCACCAATCATACAGCTACGTTCTCAACGACTCCCTCTGCTACATAGCCATAACGGAAAAACCCTATCCTAAAAAGCTCGCCCTCACCTTCCTCGAAGACATCCGCGCCGAATTCCAAACCAGCTACAAAAGCGCCGACTACCTCTCGCCGGCCCTTCGTCCATACCAATACAGCGAATTCGAACGATTCATCGAGCGAACGAAGAAGACATACCAAGACAGCCGCGCCACCGACAACCTGGGTAGGCTGAATGACGAATTAAAGGATGTGACGCAGGTCATGACGAAGAATATTGAGGATTTGTTGTATCGAGGGGATAGCTTGGAGAAGATGGGAGATATGAGTAGTCGGTTGCGGGAGGACAGTGCCAAGTATAAGCGTGCGGCCGTGAGGATTAACTGGGAGCTGTTATTGAAGCAGTACGGGCCTTTTGCTGGGCTAGGGTTGGTCATACTTATTTTGCTGGTTTGGAGATTCTGGTGAAGAGCTATACTTGGTGTGGTGCAGGCCCAGCGAGAGCACTCAGGCATAGCGTGGGCGTTGTGCTTCATGAAAAGGACGAGTGCATACAGACGATAGACACGATACCCAACCCAGGAGCACTAGGATAGGCTCCGTATACTCCAGAAGATTTACCACAAGCAGTTTTACTGCTACAGGCTTGCAATGCTCCGGGATGATAGACCGCACTCTTCTGCTTCGAACATACGTGCTTTTCCAGATCCCTGGTTGATAGACACCTGCTTGGACAATCAATTGGCGGTGTATCGCTGCCCAGGGCTATAACGCGGATCGCAACCCTAATGGACCGGGGCTCATGGGTGCCCAGCGTTCACCTGGCTTAGAAGACAACATCTAGCATGGCTAAGACATCTCACCACCGTCCCAACGTAGCCACGCTGGACTCTCAGCTGGCCAAGGACGCCACCGTGTCGGTCGATTCTTCCTCTCTAAACTGTACAGCCGCAAGTACTCACTGGCTCGGCGTGTCGTTGTAGGCAGATGCCACTAGGTTCCATAGGGCATTCGGCACCTTGGCAGCAGAACTGATTGCAGAAGCAGCTGCAGAAGTTGTTAGTGTCCTCCATAGCATGGCAAACGATAGCTACTGCGGCTGGAGGATGTATGGTTCCCGCAGAGCACTGTCCGAAGAATCCTGTTGGCTCGTTGTCTGGCCATGTCAAGCGAGGCCCGAGGTTGCCAAAATACCTAGAAGTTTCACACAACATCGGGCAACGAATCCTGCGGATGGTCTCCCTGGTGTTCTAGACTGGCCATTGTGTCACTGGGCCATGGCCGTGCCCTCACGATGTGGATGCCGATGAGTCCTGCTGCCAGGCTTCGTGCTATGCCAGAAAGCGCTTGAGCTATGTGAGGACTGTGCCTCATAGAGTATTGGGCAGACGTTCCCCCTGACATGTCATACGAGGCTAGAGCCGGGCGAGAAAGCGACCGCGCGAATCAGTACCTGGCAGGAGTCTACTGGCAATTGCCTTGACGCATCCGCCGGACCCTTGGATAGCTGAGAAGTAGTCGTGATCTTCACGGCGTAGTGGCCATGTAATTCTGCTGGCCTTCTCCATGGTATGCCAGACAACGCTCGAGCTTCTTGAAAGTTGTCCCACGAACCGGTGCTTGTCAAGTCCTTACTGGCGATCATTCTGATAAGTCCAATGCGCGTGGGACCGCCAGGAGGTGGGCTTAATGTTCCATCGAGTAGTGATGAACGCACCCTACTGGCGTTACCCCTGGCAGACTGTGCGAGGCTCGCAACGGCCGAGATCCTGAGTATCTCACGGAAGGATGAGCATTACATACCCTTGGTATCTGCCGTGATATGTCAATTGGAGCATGTAATGGCTGAAACACAGTCTCAATCTCTCAGAAGCAGCGATTAGCAGTACCTGCTCGCATGCTCCAAGATATATCCTGCGAGACCCCAGCAAGCCGAGACTCTGAGTATCCCACAGAAACAGTGGGCACGAAATACTGCTGGTTTTCGCCCTGATGTGTTTGGATGGCGTACGACATGACTGGGAGGGCAGAAATGTGTGTGCTGAAGACAAAGGCACGCATTGTTTTGGAAATGCATCCGGTACAGCAAACAGGGGTATACCTCAACGCCTGGCTATCTCACAGAGATGTTATGCCGTTATATCGTTGCCTGCCGACATATTAGCCGTCGCCATCCGCCATATCGCTGCAATGTTGTCGATACGACTGCTGCTGCTCCTGTCTCCTCAGCCGCCCGAACGAGGCAATCCACTCCTCTCGCTCTCGTATATCCCCCTCTTGCTGCTAAAATTCTCGTGCTCCTCGGGAATGGGAGGCAGGCCCTGAAGATAGCCAGATTTCATCTCGAGATTGAGCATTGCCTTATTGGTTCGTGGCTTACGGGAGCATTTGGGCGGCAAGGTGGCGTTTCTGGCCATTCTGGTGGCCTTGTTGGCCCTGGTAGGCTGGTGGCGGTGATTCTATGCTGGGATGCGGTCTTGTTGTTGTCGCCGTCGCTATGATATCCACTGCATTGGTGTTTCTCGTTCTTGCCTTACGAACAAATGCGGCTCAAGCGGGAATGCCCGACATGTGATTATCCAACGACGACGAGATCTCAACGAACAGACGACATACAGACAAACGGAGATTTGGAGGTTGTAGAGACGACTCATACGAGCATCCGCATATAAAAATCACCTCGATCGCGCTACTACAGCAAAAGATACAGCCTGTCGGGGGTATGCCGGAATCGACGACAAAGAAGCTATATAAGACATCGGCGAAGGAGCTTCCACATCGAACGTCCACCACGGCGCGGCTTGCCACCGGCGTGTGTGGGTCACTAGATACCGTCCAAGCACAAGTGGGCTAACATCCTCTAGAAAAACATAATCAATTGATTATCAGATTGCGTCGCAATCCATGTTTTTTCGGGGGTCTGGTGTAAGGGCTGCACGTACTATTAGACTGTACTCGCCGAAAGGCTGGTCAACACTTAGTGAACTCCTGGTTCGAGTCCAGGGGCCCTCAATCTTTTTGCTCGTTTGAGACGATCCTGTCGACTCTGCAGGGCTTCCGCAAAGTGTTTGCCTGTTCGGACGAATTGTCACCTGCACAGCAAGCAAGTATTGTTCCTTTTGCTCTCCTCCGTCGTCCACAGCCTCTACTACGCTCTCAATATCACCAGATCGTATTCCCACTATCGACTTGACAGCCAGTATCACAAGAAAGATGAATTTTGCAGTAGTCTACTTCTTTCTTGCCGCTTGCTGGGCCGCAACACACTATCTGGCATGGTATGCTTACAGGAGACGACAAAGGTATGGCTGAGACGATCCTACAACGACCTTCGCGGCAATAACACAACGTGTCGGGACCCAGCAATACGAAATCTCAGCACGCTATGGGGATATGTGAAGCGCTGACAGCCAGTGTAGACAAATCGACATTGAACTTGGGCTCTATCGCGCACGTCGTGAAGACTGATGAAATGCCGAGTGCCAACACACGACCTCCATACGACCACTACGCAACAGAGAAAGCTAGCCAACCAACAACTCCAGCAAACTCTGCCTCTTCGCCAACATCTCCTCCCACTCCGCCAACGGCTCGCTCAAAGCAGTCACAGCTCCACCCGCTCCAACGCGCCAGAAGCCCTCTTCCGCCCAACGAAAGGCAGTCCTAATAATGACCGAGAAGTCGCCACCACCACCAACATCAAGATAGCCCAAAACACCACTATACAGACCTCTAGGCTTGTCGACACCTTCGATGGACTTGAGAAGCTCACAAGAGCGTTTCTTGGGTGCGCCAGTCATTGAGCCGGGCGGTAAAGAGGCGACGAGAGCGGAGATACCTGGTGTAGAGTTGTTTAGATCACCTTCGATGACGGAGACGAGTTGGAAGACCGTGGAGTACTCTTCTACTTGCATGAGTTTGGGGACGGTGACGTTGCGGACACTGCATCAGTATTAGTAAAGGGGACGAGCAGGTCAAGATGTTGACACATACCCTTCCACGCCGTTCAGATCGTGCCTGATCAGATCGACAATCATCAAATTCTCAGCCCGTTCCTTCTCTGAGCTCAAGAGCTTTTCAGCTTTTGCTCTGGTCGTCCCGTTACTCTTCTTGACTGTGCCCTTGATGGGACGGAACTGGCATCGACCTTGCCGCGACCAGGACAGAAAACGCTCAGGACTGCTGGAGATGATATCGAGGTTGTACACGCTAGAAGAGTCGCCGAGGTGAAAATATGCACCGAACGGCGCAGGATTGTCGAGACGAAGATGTTGGTACAACGTCCACGGATTGGTTGAGTTGGCGATAAGAGTTTGATCGGTCAGGCATAGCTCGTACGATTCGCCAGCACGCAGCTGTTCCTGGCAGACCTCGACTTTCCTGCAGTATTCGTTTTGCACAAGCTCGGAGACCACGTAACTCTGCTCCACCTCACCCACTCGCTCGCAATTGCCAGTACTGGGACCTGTAAGAGCCAACAGCCTTGCCTCAGTACCACGCAACCAGACCTCATCATCCTCGATCAAGCTCTGCACGTGCACTGCGCCTGATACATGATCTACCACGATTGACCTCTCGACCATCACGAACCACATATCGGGCTTTGCATCGCTATCCGCCGCAGGGTGAACGTCTATCGTCCGCAAGCCAGCTTCGTACGAGATGTAGCCGACCAATCCGCCCCAGAAAGGTATGTCGGCAGCCCCACCTTCGGCCTTGTGCTGGCTGACGATATCTTGGAGCTCTGTGAATGCTTCGCGCACGTCCAGCCGCTTGGTGGTCAAGAAAGTGCCATCAGCCTCCACCGTGAAGATAGAGTCCCTGGCGGACCACCGCAATTGCTTCGCGGACTTCGTAGGGAGCCCGATAATGCTAAAACGACCCGTCTCTGCATTGATTGGCCTCCCATCGCGGCTTCCCGACTCCAGCAGTATAAACTCGCACTCCTGATCTTCTCGCATGGCTTCGACAATGATGGCGATATCCACCATCTCATGCAGAGATATTGCCTTCCACTGCACTGTACCACATGCTCGCGAAGACTTTCCAGCAGCCTTGAGACCTAGTACGTGGTTGGGAACCATGAAAGTGGATGGTAGCAGGCCTTGCCTCGCACCGTGTGCCATATTCCACCATCTCTGCACCAGCTGGGGCCCTCCACCGGAACAAATCGACTCTGGATGGTACTGTACACCCCAGAACGGCAGATGGCAATGCCGGGCTGCCATCAGCACTGGTCCGTTACTTGCATCACTCAGGTCCCATGCAAGCGGCACAACCTCCTTGCACGAGCGCGAAGGTTGCCACAGCTGCTGGCTAATCTCGCCGACAGAGCCTTTGCTAAGCTTGACATGCAATGAGTGATACTGCGTAGCCTCGATCTCGTCCATCCCCTCAAACAGGTCCCTCCCGCAGTGCGTCAAGTGCCTCACAAGCCCATGTCTAGGCTGCTCAAGCCTCTCGACTGCCGCACCCAAGTGCAACATCAGACTCTGAAAGCCAAGGCATATGCCCAAGACAGGAAGTCGTATCTCAACAGCATGTTCCCACAGCTTGCCGATCAGTCCGACATCGTCAGCATTTTCCGGATGACCAGGTCCTGCTCCCGCCACCACACCATCGAACTTGTTGAGGAAGTTCTTGAAGGCATCGTCGTTGAAGACGAAGCGGGCATCATTGATTTTGATGCACTCGACGGTCACTGGGAGGCTGTTCACAAGGAGGCTGATTATGTTGTTCGAGAATGAGTCGAAGGCGTCTAGATAGAGAATTCGTCCGATCGTCATCCAGTGGTCTTGATATATGCTTGAGTTCTATGCAGCCTTCAAAAGACCATCCTTTATCTGATGGGAACCATCCACGATGAAATCACGCAAGATGTTTGTCGGTACGACAAGATGTTCACTGCATGTATATGGACAAAATATCGTGGTCCGAAAATATCCGATGATCCAGTGACTTTTCCAGAAGAAGAGAAAGTGGAGCCACTGATGCAAAGTCCCCACAAGCTCGATGGAGACTCGAGATGTACTTTATACCTGCATCTGTACCTGGACCTGAACTTGAACCTTGCAGTCCACATAGTTCTGTCCTATGCGACACAGCAAAGATGATGATGCTGGAATCTGGCACGGATACCAGAGTCTACATATGACTATCTTGATGACCATCTAGTCGAAAACGATGTCCAAGACCGACGACGTGAAGCTCCCTCGTGAGCCCAAGTGGCCTACGCACAATGCACCGCGAGTCTGGTTCATCACTTGCGCCAACTCTCCCGTTGGTATAACGCTGACACGCCATCTACTTGCTCACGGCGACTACGTAACAGCTGGAGTTCTTCCTGTCGAATTTGAGAAACACGAGGATCGCAGCGCTGACTTCAAGGAGTTTCTTGAGGAGGTCGGGACACAGCAGGATAAGGAATCATGGAGAGCACGACTACGAGTAGTGGCATTGGATGTTAGAATCATGGGACAATGTCAGAGTGCTGTTGCTGAGGCGGTGCAGACATTTGGCAGAGTGGATATACTCTTCTGCTGTCACAGCGAAGTCGTGGTTGGCACGGTGGAGGAGTTGAGTCAGAGCAGTAGATGCCTGACACTGGTGCACGACCAATTCGAGACGAACTTCTTCGGCCCGGTCAATATCATCAAAGCCGCTCTGCCGATCTTTCGAAGCAAGAAGAATGGTCACATTGTTATGCTCACGGCCATCACTGGACATCTTGGTACGCCGGGTCTGAGCATGTATTGTGCGTCACAATGGGCGATCGAGGGCTACTGCGATAGCCTGGCTTACGAGATCGCGCCGTTCAACATCAAGCTCAGTATTGTGCAGCCGAATATGGAGGTCAATGTCCTTACGCATAAGATTACGAGTGCACCACCACTTGCCGCATATGCTGAGGATCAGAATCCTGCGCCATTGTCGCGTAACATCCTTTCTGGACTGCTGGACAGGCTGGAAGGTACTTCGGAGCCCACGACTGGAGATCAGTTGCAACGCAACGAGGTGACTAGCCTGTATCCGCCACTCAGCAAAGGCATGAAGGAGCGTCTAGTGGCGGAGACTGTTCACGCAGTCGCTGCTATCGGTGGGCATGACAATCCTCCCGCCAGGCATATTGTTGGTTTCGAGGGCGTAACGAGTGTCAAGGAGAAGCTCAAGACTGTCAGCGAGGAGCTAGAGGACTTCATTGAGTGCAGTACTGCTGTCGACATTCATGGAAATGAAGACATCCCGCAGTTGCAGCAACATATCTCGGTATCTGGCTGAGCGTCCACACATGTTAGGACATGGCCGAGGACGTTCTTTGGTCTTGACCGCACCAGTCGTCTCGCACAACTTCGTACACACTGATGGCAACACGTTGACGATTGGGCCGTCCGAGAGCAAAGACGATGGACGAGTTCGTTCGCAATGTTACTTGCTACAATGACGCCAGTCTTTACCTGCCATCATTTGAAGCAGGCATCATTGAAGGCAGACACGACAGGTTTCGTCTTCACCTTCGCTCAGAGACCCAACAGGGAGGCGTGTCTGGATCACATGCCGCCGGCGGACTAAACTCCGAAACCCTAATGCTCCCACGCGAGACGAGACGATACTTTCCCCGCAGCAAGCCGTGCATAACCTTGAATGGCTCTGGCCCACACGTCTTTCTCTTCTTGGTCACGCTTACGAACAAATTGCGCTCGAGTGGCAAGACAGAAACGAGGACTGCTGTGGACTGTGGATATCACGAACGCGAATAAGATCGGGCACGAATAACATTCCTTTCTCATCTGAGTAAGCAGAGATAGCACGCGGCGCAACTTCGGCCTCTCTCAGGTCGGGCGATGGCGGCGGTGGAGGAAGCACAACATCAGCCTACAAATCCGAAAGAAGCGCCGAATACCACGCCCGAGACGGAGGGTAAGAGCTCGAGTATACACACGAAAGTCCTGCGGAGAGCTTGTGACTGCTGTCGGAAGAGAAAGGTTCGCTGTGATGGAGCAGAGCCTTGCGGACCATGTAAGAAGGCGACGATAAGATGTGCATACCTACAGCCGCCGAAGAAGAAGGGCCCCAAAGGCTTGCGAAGTGCCAAAGTGCTGCATGCGCTGCGACGGATAGATGATACTGCCAATGGGAGTCCCACAAGTCCACTGAGCCCGGAGCAGAGTGGCGGTGCGTTTGGGAATTGGGGCTGGTCGAGTGCAACGACTTCGGCAGGAAACATGCAGGCCAGTGCTGCGTATGGAGTGCCTACGAGTGTGCTGCCCGAGCATCAGTACTACCAGCAAGGCATGACATCGATACCTGCACCTATGCAGATTGCACCCGACCCTCCGCAATTGTACCGGTCAGATACCGACTCTTCAGCATGGCAATCAAATCCCCAGTCCATGCCAACAGTATCGATACCTACCATATCTCTCAAATCAGAGCCATCTCCGGCTTGCGCGCTATCGGATCGACTACCAGGCGATCAATTCATGCCCTACGTACAGCTCTTCTTCACTCACATGTTTCCGATCATGCCCATCATCGACCATGGCATATATCTCGACCCACGACTATATGCCGATATGAATGCTCTCGGTCCGGATGTATACTGTTTTCTTTGTGCTTTGTGTGCTGCGACTGTTGTGCAACTGGATGCTTCGATACCACAGCCGGCATCGTTACATCCGAACAAGAGTGCCGATGATCTGTTCGTGGAGGAGTGTCTGCGAGAACGAGCTAGCTACGACTTTGTGTCAGAGTCGCAGACATTATCATGCATGACTTCATTCTTTCTGTTCGCATATCACGGGAATCATGAGAACAACGGAAAAGCTTGGTACTATCTCCAGGAAGCCATCACTTTTTCACAGAACTTAAACATGGATGACGAGCAGACGTATGGGAAGCACGATCCGACAGATGCACAATGGCGGAGAAGGTTATATTGGTTGCTATTCGTGACCGAGCGAGCATATGCTGTGCAGCGGCGGAAGCACACTCGACTGCACGCAAGCGTGAATTTGCCAGCTGTATTCGAGAGCGAGGATCCCCATCTACTGAATGGCTTCGTCAATCTGGCGAATTTGTTCTCTGCCGTGGACGATAGCTTTGTGAGCGCGTGGAGAGGTGCAAGACGGCAGAGCTTGTGTAATGAGGCCTGGCTTGCCAACACACAGAAGCAGCTTGACGCGGCTGCACTAGCACTGGACAATGTCACGGAGACGCAGCATCTTGATATTAGTGTCACACGGGCATGGCTGCAAGTGCTTTCGTGGCAGATGGGCGTGTCTAATGGTTTGATATGGGGCAAGGGTGAGCCTGGTATGAGATTGGACTATCCGATAGCTATGGCTAGGAAGGTGTGCGAGATCACAAGTGGCGCCAATGCTTCAGCGCTGGATTCGCACGGCATCGGGATGGTGAGCATCTGAATATCATCTTACATCTGGTGACTTAGGCTGACATCCACCAGGAGCAGAAACTATCAGACATAGCAGGGTGCCTCGCAGACGTCCTCCGCTGCACCGCCGATGACACGAGCCCCACCTTCCTCGAGGGCAAACAGTACCTCAACATGCTCCTCGGCAAGCTCTCCGACATGCGCGGCAGAGAGTCACGATATCTGGCACCTCTCATGAGTAAATGCCAGGGCCTTATGGGCTTCGAGCTGAGCACGCAGAACTTATCTCTACCGACCGACAGCGCGGTGAGCAGTTTCGCGCCTCCTTCGTCGTGCGAGTGGCTGTCTGCAGGCAGGAAGTTCAGTATGGCAGATTCCCTCGGTATGCTCAGGACGTTGTCCATGTCGGGTAACTTGGGTATGCCGGCGCTTATGGTGCCCATGGAGGATTGGCAGCAGAGGAGACCGAGTGGGAGGGTGTACGATGAGGCTGAGACGAATGCGATGAATGGTTGGCAGCAGCATGTTGCTGGGACTGCTCAGGCTGTATGATTCATGAAGTGTATACTTGACGATGCTTGCATGTGGCCGTCATTTCTTGCCTGGTGTGAGCTTGTCGAGTAGGCCAGTGCCTTTGCCTTGATGGCCTGCTACTTCTGAAGCATCGGTGGTGTGAACTTTGTTGGCTTTGTTCAATTCGAGGCTGTTCTCCATTTTGGCATCGCTAGCTGCTGTGTCGCGAGCTACGGATGAGCGGTCTGGTTTGGGGCCTATATCGCTGTAAGCAAGGGAATCTCCCCACGATGCTTGGACTAGACGAACCACCTTCTGAGCTGGCTATCTCCTCTGCCTTGGGATCTGCCATCTCTACAGTGTACCTGAGGACTAATGTAGCACTACCTTGTGAAGCTATCGACGCCTTTGACGTTGCTCGATCAACGTAGGCACGTGATCATGATGTCAGATCTTGGCAAACGACATTCCATTCACTTCTTCTCTCTCCTTCAATGTCCTGATGCATGTTGGCTCGACAGTCGTAGGCCAGAAGGCGCATGGCTTGTGTAAGGCTCCAGGAGGAGAAGAGTGTCATCGCACTACGGCAGTCTGCATGCTTGGTAGCCTGGCATCTCTGAATGATGCAAATGACAAGGATGATGAGGAGCCTATCTTCACGAACTGCGCGAGATCACCGAGGATCTGTATGGTGTGACCCCACCACCAATCTATCGCGGGCCATCTTTAAGCATGCGCCCACAGTCTGCAGGCCCTCAGGCGGGTCGAGACTCCAGTCCCGTTGGTGCTTCTCGCTTTGACCCAGGCCCGACTCCGTCCTCCAAGCTGAGGCATTATCTACTCAACACCTGTCTGGACATGCATCTCCGTCACGGGCTGGAATCGTTGAAGATGATCCGGGAGAGGAGGCTCTGCTTCAAGAAGAGTTACGAAAGATAGATCTCCAGCAGCATTTGCGAGCGTTGAAGGCCAAAAAGCGCCAGCAGCAACAGCATTAGCAGGATTGAGTCGAGGGGAATCCGACAGACTGATGTGCGTGTGGGTTACACAAGATACACTCGAGGAGCTTGATCATGTTGACCAAGATTGAGAAATCACACTCAACGAGCTTGATATCACTGACAGTATTCGTAAACCAGGCACGAGGATTGGCGATGGTCGCTCAATCTCGACATGGACTCCCCCCAAAATCTAAGCTTTTGGCGGTTCGTCGCACCTCGCGGACAATCCCACCTGGGGAGTAGTTGCATTCTGCGTCGACGACCTCTCCACAGAACGGTTCTTTGTTGGTATTCCGTCTGAGACACACAGACTTTCGGTGTGTCAGGCCTTTCATGGAGACGGCCATGCGCAAAACAGTGGTATGTAGAGACAAACGGGGCCTCGCCACCTCTGCTATATGTCTCTCTTTCCACGCGTTCACATTCAGCATCGTCCATACCCGCTCCTACCCTCCCGCAGGACTACTCTCTCGTCTTGCCATACTGAGCAAAATTATCACTCTCGTACATCAACTACACATTCACAATACGCATTCAACACAGGCAAGTCCCACGATGTACGACGAGGCAAACAATCTCGAGCTGAAACTTTGGGCTCTCGACTCGTCGACACCATATCAAGATTATCACAAAGACGCAAGATCTCAAGGCTCCAAGGATGGCTGGTACGAGATATATGCAGATCCAAGGATGGACACGCCACTTGGAATCGAGGTCGTGGCACATCCCAACTTCCCTTACGGGAGGTGTGTGCAAGTCCTCGTCACCTATAAGATCAGCGGCAGACTCACGCCCAACTATCTGGTCCTCAACAAGTCTCCAGCTGGAGCATTGACTACTGTGCTGCTCTCTTCCTATCTTGACTTCGTGAACGGACAGTTGGTATCCGGAAACTTGAGTGTCAGTAAGCTGACGATTGGTATGGTACTTACGGATTGCAAGAATGATGCACATGTACTGACTGCTGACAAAAGATGAAATACCTATTGCAATCGAGATTACCTTCCAGCCAGGCAGGTTGAGGGACATCATGAAACCAACCAGGAGGACAACCACCCACAAGCCTTCGAGCATCTCTAGGTGAAGGGCCGGGACACCCTGATACCTTCGTCGATAAGCCAGGCTACTACAAGAACTGGATCCCTTCGAGAGCGCAGCCCTTGAGGTACCGGTTCTTTGGCACGACGAAAATTGTGAATATGACACTTGACCACACCGTCTCTGGCGCGAAGTGTGCAACCGCAGCTTCGAAGCATCGTAAAGATGTGGACGACAAGATATGCAGTATGGCTGAGCTAGATGGGGAAGATAGTCGCATGATTTACTTCTGATCGAGGCCGTCGGACACATACCGTGGGCCGGGAAGTGTAGCGCTCGCGAGTGTCAGTTGCAGCGGATTCCAGGTGGGAGAAGTGTTTGGGAATGCCTGATCGCCGTTGCAGTAGCGAGTGGCAAAGCGCAGCGGGTGGGGAATGTGTGTCTTATCAGTCCGACGGGATGGCAACGACGGAGCCTATTGAGAGGCCCTCGAAAAACAGTGTCTATTCAAAGGAGAGTGACGAGCGTTCACATCAGTAGAGCAGGTTCGGGTGCTATGCAGCACGAGATCGTCCATACGCGCGGTGTCACCTTTGCCGCACAGCCAGGGGGTTCATGGTCGTGCCTCTTCGCACGCAGTGACATGCATCAAAGATCGGTATACGATGTAGGCAAAGATATGGTACTGTATCACAGAACAGCGCTCAAGCGTGCATCATACACGCAATAAGGGTATGCCAAAACCCCCCCTTCCTCCCAAATATTCCCTGTCCCACAAAACGCCCCATCCCCATCCGAATCATATAACATCACACCACGCCACCCTAATTACCTCCCCCCACCCCCAACAACCCCTCCATCATCCTCCCCGAACAACTCCTTCGCCTCGCGACAAAACCTCGCCTCCCCCCTCCCCCCCGTCTCACTAGCCCAACAAATCACCGCCGCGTCCACAACCGCACCCACCACATTCTCCACCGCGCCCAAAACAGCGAACCCGATCGTCCCCGCGATCAATCCCACCACGTAAGCATACAGGCTCCCCCTAAGACCGCCCGCGACCCCGTCCAGTTTGAGATTATGCGCTGTTCGGACCCAGCCGGCCATGCCGAGGGCGAAGGACATGATGTAGCGGGTTGCTTGTAGGAGGAGTTTGGCCAGGCGGTAGGGTATGATGGCCGAGCCGGACTGGGGCGAGTATTGGCGTGGTGCCATGGTGTTGGAGGGGTTGGTGCGGGAGATGAAATGGACCTGGCCTAGACCTCTGGCGGCGATATTCAAGGGTTGGCTGTGGATGGCGGCGTAGGTTAGGGTGAGTGGGTTTGTGAGAGTGACGAGGGAGGTGGGCATGATCCAGTAGGCGAACATGTTTAGGATGCTTGATAAGCGGCCGGGGAGGATTATCAGTGGTAAGCGGACGAGTAAGCTCAGGAAAGTGCTGAGGCAGACGGTTCCGAAGAAGGCTCCGGTGGCGTGGGAGACGCTGGCGCGGACCACTTCTTGGCTGCTGGGTTGCGGGATGGTGTTGCGGTGGAAGTACCATTGGCTTACGGTGGCGGCTGTGCTTGCTCGCTGGACTCCGGCGATGATGTTCAGAGTCCAGAGGTATTGGAGGACGAAAAATGCGCCGAGCCACCAGCTGTTGGCATCCAGGACCCACTTCTTCGCGCCGCTGAAATGGCCGGAAAGGAATAAGCGCTCGAACATTAGCATCCAGCCCCATGTCCAGCAGACGACCAGCGCTAGCGTGACGAAGCCTAGTGTTATGAGGTGTGGAGAAGTGGCGAGGACCTTTGTGGAGAATTCAAGGATGCTGATAGCTCGTGCCAGGCTGTGACGACCGATGATGACCTGATAAGTCCATATTGCGGCCACGACCGCAGGCACAAAAGCTAGCCATCGCATTGCCCGATCCTGCACACTTGTCCCATGCCATGTTCCCTTGAAGGAAGCGATCAGTGGGTATAGCGAGAAAGCGAAGAGGATGACCGGGACCGCGATCAAGACTGTAAAGACGAGAGGCCGTACAAAGTTCCGCAAAAGGGCCAGCCAGATCAAGGCCACCACGATCGCGATCATGGTGTCCCATAGAAGCATGTTCGTGCTACCGCGTAATGCGCTGTATATCGTGTCGCCGAGTGGGTTCTTCGATGTGGGAGTGGATGTGTGGAACCATATAAGCACGAATGCTGCGAACATGGCGAAGAGACAGATCTGGAACAAGTTGGCCCAGAAAGCATCGTGTTTCGGTGGTTCCTGCGATGGTAGGATAACAGTCGGGGGCACGCTTTCTCGATCGGGTGATGTTGGCCGTGGCATAGCGATGTTCGCCTCTTCGTCCGTCTCCATAGGGATGAATGAACTTTGGCGTAGATCTTTGACAGGAGTCCTAAAGGTCTGGAAAGGCGTAGGCCGCTCATCTGGATCCATCCGAGGTGATAACGTCGCTAACGATTCCGGTGGCTCCTCGTTGATTGTACTCGCCAGATTCACATCCACCAGCCTCCCTTTACCTTTCGAGCTCGGCGCAGTGCTGATATCCGACTCGGGCACACTCACATCCCTCAACATCGCTGATCGCGACACAGCAGCTCTGCCTCGTCTCACCTCCGGACTCTCGTCTCTATCATGATTCTGCCCATGTTCCACTTTTTCGACCGCATCGTCATCCAGCTCCGAGCTCTCTGTCAGATTACTCGGTCCGAAATGCTGCCGACTCCTCTGCAGCGCCCACGCATCAGCCACGTCCCTATCGTGCTGCTCTCCCTCATCATCCTCCGGAAAGTCCTCGGTCGTGCTGTAGAAAAGTGGGGCCTGCGCGGGATCATTGTTCCTGCCTAGTCGTGACGCAAAGGGAAAGCGCGACTGTGACTGCGAGGCTTGGTGGTATGGGTTCATGCCTGGTCGCTGGTTGTATCGCCGTCGATCGAGTGGGTTTCGCGATTGATTCCGTGATGGGGCTTGATCTTGCGTGAAGGAGAGGCGAGCGTTGCTCTGCTGGAGGAAGCGTGAGGCATCTGTCGCCGTCGTGGTTGTGGTCAGCCGGATGCGTCATGTAGTCACGCGAGCACAAGGCGGAAGCGTGATGTCGTGTCTCTGATGAAGAGGAAAGGATGTATGATACACTTACATTCGGAGAACATGTTGGGGCTTCCACCAGCAGTACTGGCACTATCGATGCTGTGTATGCAAATGTGGTGGCTGTATGGCTGTAGTATGCTATCGCCGTCGAGTCAAGTCCCGTCCGGATGCGGGTCGGAATGACGAAGTTGTTAGTGACGAGCTTGTAATTATACAGAAGACGCAAAACGAAGGCGAAGGTGATGTCTCTAGGTGATGCGATAGTGGAGGGGGTGGAGCGGAGAAGGCGGAGTAGTAACGTGATAGGCAGTCACCGTGAGTGGTGTCGAGGTCGAGAGTTATGACGCTAGAGGGCCCGAGCATGTGACTCTGCTGATAAGCTAAGCTCTGTAGAATTAGGGCTGAGCCTGGAAACGTACCGAGAAATGGACGTGAATATATACACTCTGAAGGACTAGAACGTGGGAAACGTCTACAACAGATATCGCGAAAGGCCATGAAGACACACTGTATCTAGCTAAAGAAATCTACTTGCCGTCTCACACCCATCCGTCCATCCATCCATCCATTCCTTCACTCACTCCGAACTCAACCAATCATAAACCTCAATCGCCACCCTCTCCGGCTGATCCAACATCAACAAATGTCCCGCCTCAGGCACCGTCACAAACTCCTTCAACACATGCTTGACCATCTCCGCCAACCTCTCCATCTTCTCCCGTGGAATCCATTTATCATCCTCTCCCCATAGGATCTTGACAGGACATGCTACTTTCTCATAAAGATTCCCATCCAACATCTCCGCCACATCATCATCATTAGCTTGCGCAATGTGCTGCACGAAAGCCTTTTGGCTCGTCTCAGATCCGATCCAGTATGCAGCTAGGATGTCCTCCCAACCACGTTTCAGGACGTTGGGATTGTACGTCGCGCTCTGAATGACTGCACGAACCACGCCCTCGAAGATCTTCGACGGGAGTTGGAGGAAGAGGTCCGGTTCGGCTCTGCAGTGCTTGTAGAAACCGTCGCCCCATGGTAGTACGACGTTCGTGTCCCAGAGCATGAGACTGCGGTATTGGCAGCCGTGGATTAGATGCGTGCGGAGGGCGATTGTGCCGGCTATATCGTGGGCAATGACTGAGGGCTTGATATTCTCGCCTTTGCCGTCGAGTTTGAGGTGGGTTAGGAGTGCTGATAGGGCTGCGCCTTGGGCTTTGATGGAAGTGTCGCCGGAGAATTTGCCACCGTGGGTTTTGGGATGGTTGCCGGGTTGGAGGGTCTGTGAGGTCCCGTAGCCGGGGCAGTCGTAGAGGAGGATGTCGTAGGGTCTCCTTGCTAGGAGTGCTTTGGCAATTGGGTGAAAGACATCGGATGACCATGGAGTGCCGTGTACGAAGACGACTGTTTGCTCGACCTTCGATGGCTCGGGGTGAGGGCTGAGGAGGGCGTACTTGATCTCCCAGCCTGCATGTACGAACGTGGACGAAAGGTCAATATCGTTGTAGGCCATAATGGTAGATTGTGTATAGCAGTAGTGCCAACTTGGCGGTCTGCGCCAATCTTCTGTCTCGGCCCAAGCGTGTTCTGCTAGCGTATTACCTTCCTTCTGTGCAAGCAGAGTGTGTAGCTGGAGGAGAAGGTGAAGGGCGTGATTGCATTGCAGAGGTCCGATTTCTCAAGGAACATGTATACTTAGCCTACTACTGTACCTCTATCACACTACAGGTGGATCTTCAGGCCCTCTGCTAATCCTGTCCGGACTTGATAACAAGTCCGGAGCGCAAGGTGAGGAGAGCTGCCTGTTGACCCTTCCTCACATCATATTGAGTTTGAGACTGCTTATTAAGCAGTCACTTTCCCGTCCACGATCTATCGCTCGCTGCATTAGATCTACCTCTCGTGTATTGCTCTGACCACGACTCGCGCTTCGGCGCGCAGCTCGCAGTACAATCTCGAAGTCAGGAATAAGGTCAGATCAGACTCTGTTGCGAACATTCGCAATCGTACCGCCAACATGGCTACCACCCCAGCCGACCCACCACTGGACGAGATCGTGCACCGCCGACCAGACATGATACAGTGGTGGCTCGACCCCGAGCAATACAAACCCGGCGTGGAACCACCACATACGTACATGGAAGAACGCTTCATCCACCGCTACTTCTCCGAGTCCCCCTTCTTCGACCCCACCACGAAAAACGGCTTGCTCTTTGGACAATCGGCTGTCAACTTCGAGACCTACGAGCTCGTCCACAATGCTGCTCGGCTGGAGGGCATCCTGCGAAACCGACCAGGACTGGAGTATGTGATTGCTGAGAAGCCTCTACAGGTCCCCACGTATGAGCAGAAGCCAGCTCAGCCGAGTGGGGTGTGGGTCCTGAGGGAACAGCAGAGGTTGGAAGATCAGACGGGTGCAACGCGAGACTCACCTTACCCGAATACGGAGACGAGAGGGACGTATTATATCGTCAACGAGAGTGTGTACCAGGCACCGAGTGTGGCAGACGTGGTTGGGAACAGGATGCTGAGTGCTGTGACGAGTCTGGAGAAGATGTTTGAGAGGACTGCTAGCCTATCATCTTTCACGCCTACTACTGGTCATACGTATCTTCCACCCCGAACGACCTCAACTGCAACGGCCACAGCAGGAGGGTCCACACAAGGATCACCGAATGGATCTCGAGAAGGTAGTGTGGTGCCTGGTGCATCTGCAGACACACAGTCGCTACGCTCAGGCTCCTTAGCACCCGAACTTGCAACAGCTGGCAACACCACAGACAACGACTTCCACACCGCCCGCATCCTCGTCGACAGCCTCCAAAAATCCATGCAGTTCAGCGAAGAATACATGGACGAGAACCCCCTCGTCGGCGAACCCGGAAACTTCCGCTTCACCTCCTCCGCCGCAGCAGTCAAGAAGCGCAAAGCAGATGAAGAAGCGGCACTAGTCGCAGCGCGTAAAGCCAAGGAAGCCAAGGAGACTTCTTCTTCTTCGACTGCTGCGAGTCCGAAAGTGGTCAAGGCGCCTACGCCACCGCCTGTTTTCACTGAGGCGAGAGCGGCGGCGAAGACGGATAAGGATAAGAGGGAGGAGAAGAAGAGGAGGAGGAAGAGTCGGCCGAATGCTGGGGGAAATACTACGCCCAGCACGCCGAAGGGGGCGTCTAGTGCTATTACGCCGAAGGGTACTGGTTGAGCTGATAGTAAAGTCACGAATCGACCATATATCAAGAAGCTTCAAATACGCAGGCTAGCACAGGTCTGATGCTGCTCGTTGGAGCGATTACGAATCCATGATCCTCGGATCGATTGGAACATCGTGACTGCACGACCTCATGGCGCGGTACCTTCACAGCGTAACGAGAGATGCAGTCATCACCTGGTGGAGGATCAGTGGCTTAAATGCCAATGTTGCTTGCGAAGCGCAAGCGCTCCAGCCCTCGGCGCCAAAAGTGCCGGTGAATCTCAATCTTTTATCAGCTCTATGCCAAATGGAATGGCAGAACGAAAAGCCGTATTGGCAAGGGTGCGCAGACCATAGTGGCTCGTCAGGCTATATGCCTCGTCCCGCCGTCCTACAGGGGGCCAAGATGAAGTGTGGACCAGCTCTTAGATAGCTAGCCTCAGCATATCAAACATTCATTATTCCACGAATCTGGGAACAGCTCACGTTTCTCATGTAGATTTCTACGCTTGCTCCGTCAAACTCACTCTATCAGTAGATCACCGCGTCGTTGTAACCAAGCGTATGCATATCATCCTGCATATCATCCAGAAACGACAGATCGTCCAAGTTGACAGGATAATTCGGATCCAGATACGTGCCAAAGACATCATCCATGCCGTCGAAGAGACCAAAACTGCCTTCCACCAGCGTCTGTTCCGTTGGTGGTGCTGTGAGTAGTGCTGTCTGCTCATCTACCGCACCTTGTACGGCAGCCTGTTCCGAAGGAAGACCATCTGTGAGACCCATTCGCTCGCCGGTGATGGCAGGCATGCACGGCACATTCTTCTCCTTCTCCTTTTCACCTTCAGCTGCTCGTCTCTGCGCTTCGCGCGTGATACGGAATGAGGCGAGCGAAGGCGCCTTGTCCATTTCATCCTGGACTTTCTTGGCCAGTGCGGCCATTGTGTCTGCCGAGCTCCATGTTCGACGGAGACTCTGTAGGATCTTGGCGCATTTGCGAAACTCTCTACACGCGTCTTTTTGCTGGTGATCGAATTGCGATTGGCGGAGATGCTGATAAGCTACTGACAGCGCGATGGACACTGAGTACGGTACGATGGGTAGAGCGTGGACTTTACACCCATCATAATCCGAGTCCATGAGTCTGGCTACTTCGCTCGAGCACAGTCGCTGTCGAATAGCAGAATTGGTGCCGCGAGGGATCTGCTTCACGCCCCTTGAGCGGTGTGACAGCGCTGCAATCGTGAGATAGTAGAGATGAGTGGTCATATGTAGCGAAGGTGAAAGGTGCCAACCATGAACCTCATCTAAGATCTCTTCGAGACCGGGATACTGGTCTTCCCAGCCCGTCACGTCTAGCGGGTAGTCGGGACGATAGTACGTGATGATCTTGTCCGCCAACTCGGTGATCTTTAGCCAGGCGTCGAAAACAGGATATCCGCTTTCACCGGGCTCGAATTTCTCAATAGCGATGTCGACCTCGTGCATGAAGATCGGGCGGCCGTTCATAATTGAGTTCAGCCTGTCTAAGATCCACAACGACCAGAATAGTCTCTTCATTGATAGATCGGCGTCGGAGGGGTTGTTTGATTGTTGACCAAGATGAATTGCGAGGGTTTGGGCGTGGTGCATGGCTTGGGATAGCAGCATGGAGGATTCTTCCGCACCATCGGCGCCTTCGCTGTGCATTGATGCTAGGGCTAAGATGCGGATTAAGGTGACTTTGTCGTATTGGCATGGTGCTCGTAAGGCACCCATGACGGATGCAAGGAGTCTGTTGCAGAACTCGCGAGGTGGCAGTGTCGACGGCGAAGCTTGCAGCTTCAGATGGACTGCTGCGTCCGCATCTTTGGCTGCCACGAGACAGATAGCATGTACTAGTGGCTCTCGCACAGTCCCTTCAGCTTGCTGGTCCCGGAACTCGGCCTCGTTCATCAGTGGTAGGATAGGATGTATCTTCTCAAAGTAAATGTCCACGAGTGGCCCGAGTACACCGGAATGCGGCCTCTGGTCGCCAGGCAAGCCATAATTGATGGTCGCAGCAGCCGGATCACGTCTAGCAGGGCGAGAAGGATTTCGTGCTTCTGCAGTAGCGGTATCCCTGCGCCTAATAAGATCGTCGTACTCCAGTTTATCGATCCAGATACCTATGTCGTCGTTGGGAAGAAGTCTTCCACGAGCATCTTCTCGTGGACGATGAAGAAAAGTTACCGTAGGGTTGAGATCGCTGATGAACTTCCGCCCGCCAGCGGACTGCGTTGGGGTATGTTGCTGCGAGGAGGCTGACCCTGGACGTGCTGCTCCGTCGCCATTCGAAGTAGTTCCTGTTTTTGCTGTCGATGGCTGATCTGTGGGTCCGGAGTCGTTTGGGCGGGCATCTTCTGAGTCGTGGCTATCGTGCCTTGACGTACTTTCTCCTGCGTTGGCAAAGTGTATGCATCGTTTCTGTATCGACGTGAGCGAGGTTTCGAAGAAGGAGTCTTGGTTTGCCTCACTTTCCGAGCTCGGCATGACTCGCATGCTTTGGCAAGACGTCGTCTCTTCGGCGTATCGCCAGAATACTGATGTACAAACGTCAATTCTGTCATTGTTGTGCCATTGGTAGAATCTTCTTTTCATGGTGACCAAGAGGTGGTCGGACATGGGATGGATTGTGGTCTTAGGCGACTGACAAAGCGGGCGAGCGCGAGTTCTTCGTTCCTGTGGCGCATCATCACGCGCCACCTACGACTCTCGTACACAAACCACCCCATCGACGATATCACCTTTCTGCATCAATATCTTTGTTGACTTGAGTCAGAATACGATCAGACTATGGTGTAAATCATCCCGGTCATCTGGCTGTACATGTCGCCATGCTAGCACAACGCCTCCTCGTTACTCCCGCCCAGCGCGTCCCATGGCGGCGAGTCCCACGATATGCACCGGCACTACGACATACCTCATCAGAGGCTGGCGAGAACAATACCGTATGGCTTCTACGCTTGTATTGTTGTCGCGTTCTCTGCTAATCCTTATAACCATTGCCTTGTAGGGACATATTTCGACATCTCCTAGCGAAGGCATCATATTCTTCAACAACCTACTTCCCCTGAACGCTCAGTGGTACCACAGACTTACAGGACTGCTGGATAGACGACGTTTCTCCGTCTTGCAGGACCACGCTAAGTTCGAGCGGATAGGCGCGGTATCACCCACCAAAGTTGTGCATGATGCTGTCCAGGGTAGCAAACTCGGTCTTGGTCATATCGAGGTGGTCGAGGTCCTGCCACGAGTCAACGAAGCCGGTGCTTTCTTGAAGTTCAGTCATGATGCGGCCACTGACGCAGCTACGGTCGCTGAGGCAGTCCGGCAGCATCTGCTGGCCCACAGTGTACGGCCATGGTGGAATCCCTTCACCAGTGTCAGAGCAAGCCTTGTGTTAGGTAGGCCCTGGGTGGAAGATCTGTTCCGTCTACCCTCCAAACGTGTCAAGGTCGAATTTCTGCCCTCTCAGCCAGGTGCTGAAGCAGCGGAGCTCAACCAGGAGCAGCTATACACGTTCTTTCGACCCTATGGCAAGCTGGCCGATATCGTCGCTCAGCCATCCGACTCGAAGGTGGTACCTCGCTATGCTTACTTGGACTTCTCGCGGACTGGAAAGGCTATCATGGCGAAGAATTGCCTGCATGGATACACAGTACCATCTGGGCAGGGAGGTGGCAGTTCTGGGACAATTCTACAAGTGACATACGAGAAGAAGCAGCGCAGTGGGTGGGCGAAAGACTGGATCTTCAACCATCCGCGGATCACGATCCCTCTTCTGGCTGCTCTAGTTGCCGGTATCACGGTCGCTATCTTTGACCCCATTCGTACCTTCAGCATCAGGACTCACATAACGCGTACTTTCCATCTCGAGGACAATGTCGTCTTCCGTTGGTTTAAGACGCAAAGCGAAGACTTGATCAATCGTGTCAAGCAATTCAGACATGGTATGGACACGAACGACGCTGGTATGCAGGTAGTCTGGGACGACCGAAAAGGCGAAATTGAGCAGATTCAGTCTTGGCTAATGGAGACCGCCGATACTTTCATCATCGTACAAGGTCCGAGAGGGAGCGGCAAGCGAGAGCTGGTCGTCGACCATGCGTTGGCGCATAAGCGTGCAGCTCACCGGGTATTGGTGGTGGACTGCAAGCCCATACAAGAAGCTCGTGGTGACGCATCTACCATTGCTGCGGCTGCTGCACAAGTTGGCTACCGTCCCGTCTTCAGCTGGATGAACAACATTAGCGGATTGATGGATCTGGCTGCCCAAGGCATGACTGGTGTGAAGGCCGGCTTTTCAGAGACTCTGGAGAATCAGCTATCAAAGATATGGAACAACACAGCTACCGCGCTCAAGAGCATCGCCCTGGAGAACCGCAAGAAGGACGACAAAGATGCCAATCTCAGCGACGACGAGTATCTAGAGGCTCACCCAGAGTGTCGCCCAGTCGTCGTCATCGACAACTTCCTCCACAAGAACAGCGAGGATGGAGCATCGCTTGTATATGACAAGCTAGCAGACGCCGCGGCTAGATGGACGACCACCAATATCGCGCACGTCATATTCCTTACCAACGATGTCTCCTTCAGCAAGTCCTTGAGCAAGGCGCTGCCGGATCGAGTCTTCCGTCAGATCGCATTACGTGACTCTTCGCTCGATACTGCAAAGCGATACGTGATACAGCATCTCGACTTCAGCACTACGGAGGAGAAAGTGTCTGGTCAAGATGGCGAAGAAGAGAGGAAGCTCACGCCAAGCCAGAAGCGCAAGGACCTCAAGGAGCTGGACGATGTGATACCATTACTTGGAGGCCGCCTCACAGATCTCGAGTTCTTGGCGCGGCGCATCAAGGCCGGTGAAACTCCATCCAAAGCCGTACACGAGATTATCGACCAGTCATCATCTGAAATCCTCAAGATGTTCCTGCTCCTCGGCAGCGATTCACGGGAGTGGACACCACAGCAAGCATGGTCACTTGTACGCAGCTTGGCCTCATCCGAGACATTACGCTATAACGAAGTGCTAATGCAAGACTCCTATGGCTCTGGAGGTGACAAAGCACTAGCCGCGCTCGAGCAAGCCGAGCTTATTACTGTGAATTCGCTTAATGGGCGACCATACAGTATTAAGCCTGGTAAGCCAGTGTATCAGCCGGCGTTTAAGCGTTTAGTGGACGATAAGGTCCTCTCGGCGAAGATGGATCTGGCTTTGCTAAGTGAGTCCATTGGGGCGGAGAATAAAAGTATCGATAAGTATGAGCAGGAGTTGCATTTGCTTGGGAAGCTACCGAAGCAGCCTGGTGAGTTGGAGACTAGGATACGATGGCTTTTGGGTAAGATCTTGACCAGTCAGACGAAGATCGAGACGTATGAGAAGGATGCAGCTGGCTTGAAGAAGATTCTGGCTAGCGAGTACTGATTGTGCGCTGAGTTTAGCGAGCCTGTTCTTCTGGATACCACTCAATTTTGTACATCGAGAGCTATCTTCTTATCCTTTATACCACTCAGTAATCCACTTGCCACTGGTCGGTTGTAAGACAGTCCCAGCTATCTTTTAGCGTAGTATTACCACGACAGTTCCACTTGCTGACAGCAGGGTATACACAATGTCTGCGCTCAGCTTGCACGATCCCAGTAGTCCCTACCTTGTCGCCGGAGTACTTTGTGCCGATCATGAAATCAGGCGCACGCTCGTTCTCAACCCATTCGACCAGACTCAACAGCACGTTGTGCTCGGTGTCATTGCGTCTTGTATCGAGCGGATACACCTGACCTATGTCCCAGGCCCCTGGCCCTGTCGAGCAGTGGTGCATGCCTGGGATGCAGAAAAGCCTGTAGAAGTCGTGCATGTCCTCGATCGAGGCATTCAGGCTCTGCTGGACACGAGTGAAATAACGAGCTGACAATGCCGACGTCACAGTCTCGTCGTTCCGACCATGATACGCAATCACTTTCCCACCTTTGACTCTGTAAGCGCTGAGATCGGTCTCGCCTGTGTTGACTTTGCCTGGGTTTAGTTTGATGGCATAGTCCATGTCCGTCTCATTAAAGTTGAGCCGCGTCCAGCTTGAGTCGTTGTAGATTGCTCCTCGCCAGAAGTCCTGTAGAATAGTATAGCCGAGTTGTGGTTGACCGGAGGTGGCATTGATGTTGGCCCTGTAGACCCCAGTATTGCTTCCAAGCTCAAAGGACAGGTAGACAATCTGTCCAGCTGTGTCGGCGATGGGCTCGTACGCGCTATGGACAGCGTTGACTTGATCTGGGTTCAAGCATACGGAGGCGTTTAGTATGCCTGCGCCACATGCAAGAATTTCTGGATCGAAGCGGAACATTGTCGGATCGTCGATGATGCCGTCAGTCACGCCATCGAGAGAATCGAAGAGTTGTATCTGCTGCTCTGTTATAGCTGCCCACTGCGCCGCATGAACATAGCGGGACGAGTTGATGTACGGCCAGCCGATTCGGTGGGTCAGGATACCCTTCGAGCTGACAATATGCAGCCAGTCGATACCAGGGCTGCCAGCAAGCATGCCATCGAAGTCGTTGGGATACAGCATCGCTTTCGAGAATGCTTGTCTACCGCCTGTAGAGCATCCCATGTAGTAGTTCGTGCTAGTATTGGCTCCATAGTACTGCCGCACTATTGCTTTGCCGACTTCTGCTCGACATGTATAGCACGGTAGCCAAAGTCGTTCAAAACCTAAGGCTGGTTAAGAAAGAAGTCGAAGCCGACACTTCCATTGTGTCCAGCATTTGTGCCGAATGAAGCAAAGCCGGAAGAGGCACCGTATTGTACTGTAGGGTAGTCTACGCAGCCACCCTCACCTCCATTGCCAGTCGCAAGCATACGGTGGTTCCATTGATCCGGGAGCCCGGCCTCTAGCTGGACAGCACTGCTTGCTGATGTTGAGATATTCGCCACGATACGGCAGAGGTTGGCTGTGACAGTAGAGTTTTGGGTCGGTCCTCCGCAGGACGGCACTTGATCGACGACTGTGAAGTTTGTCCCGAGCTTGTGGTACTCAGTAAGGATGACGGTCGTGTTCGCAACGTTCAAAGATGTTCTGATAGCCTCGCAAGCGGACTCCCCAGGGCTTGGTAGATAGCCTGGGGGTGAAGCAGCAAAGACAGTACGCAAGACTACTGCAAAGGCAGGCCCAAGGACAGTGCACTTCATGGTCGTATTGTTGGAAAGCTCGACAACGGATGGTGTACTAGACATGGGCTATGAGAGCCTTTTCTACTTTTCCATGCCTACCTTCGCGGGTCACAGGCATGATTACGATATGCATAAGCTTCGGCGTGTCGATAGCCTTACGAAAGGGGTTGGTGGGGGACTGCCGGTATGTGGATGCATATGCTCCTACCTGTAGAGCAAGGAGCGATGTATTGCTCTTGTTCGAAACCGAGCATGCAGATCGATCCTGATGACGCGGGGCTCAAGAAAGTGTCTCCTATGCAGCAAGAAATGCCGTGCCAAGACGATATCCATAATAACTAGTCACAGACTATTCACGCTCTTTAGGCTCGGCTTTGTAATCGTATCAGCTACCAGTGTACATTCTTTGTCCCTGGGATACCGAATGCGTTCGTCCCGAAGTTCAGTCATGATTGACAACTTCATAGCCACAACACATGCGCCGTCCTCTGGACACGACCCAGTAGCGCTGAACGCTTGTCAAAGGTTAACCAAGCTCAAGTCGCAGATCTTGCTACAAGCGCACACCAGCCTATCTTGCCAGCTCCATGGCTCTCTGCGGCGGTTCCGGCACATACTCATACTCGATATTCGTCTTCGGACCCTTCGAAGGCTTCTTCCGTGGCTTCGGTGGCGGCGCATCGTTCCTTTTCCTCTTCAGGCCTTCCAGCTTCTGCTTCAGTGCCGCAGCCGTACCACTGTCTCCTCCCTCCTCTCCATCGTCGCTCGCGTCATCATCGTCCTCGCCATCCTGCTCGTACGCACTGTCACCTCCCAGCCAATCGTCAAATTCCTCCATGTCTCCAGCTTCGTCATCCGACTCCTCGAGATCACTGACATATTCCACATCTGCCTCTGTCTCTCTTTCTCCAGGCTCGCGCTCATATTCGTACTCCACACCTTCTTCCTCCTCAAGTATGCCATCATCCAGATCCGCGTCCCTTTCACCTTCCTGACTCCTCTCCAGCCCACGCATGACCTTCTTCCAGACATTCTCCTCCACGTTCAAAGGCCGATCACCATAGGCACCACTTCGTAATCGTTCCACCAGCTCTCTCTCGATCGCACGCTCGATCTTGGCAGCAGCTTCTGCTTTTCTCTCACGCGTCTCTTCTCGCCGCCTGATCTTAGGTGCCATGCGTGTGACCATGCGCTCACCCAGTCGCTCTTCCTCCTTAGCTAGCTTCTGGGCTCGAACTCGGACTTGGGTCAGTCTTGTCAGACGCTGTTTGCACTTATGTAGCAAGAACTTCGGCCAGTATATCAGCCTCTCGTCGACCTGCTGAAGGGCTTTTGTGTAGTTGCTGCTCAACCGAATCTTCTCCCACCACCGATTTGGCAGATGCGATCGTTCGACAGTCTTGATGTATAGGTACAGTCTTCCAGTCGCGGGATCCGAGCGTATCGTGGCATATCGTGAGTTGGCCAGTGGACAGGATTGTCGGTTGCAGAGGCCTGTGACATTGTGTTCGTTACGGCAGAAGGTGTTTACTTGCTTTGAGTTGTGGTGAGGTAGTTTCAGCTTGAACGAGCAGTGATTGTGCCCGATATACTGCCACACTATCTCGTCGGATGCCATAATGAAAAGATGGTCAGTTGTGTGATTCCGGAGGTGTATAGCATTTGCTTCACAAAAAAGTTCAAGGACTTGGAGATCGACGAACTCTTGGCAAAATTTCACATGCCTTTGTCAAGGGTTAGGGTTTGGGTAAGAATAATTTACTTCGACATTACTTTCTAAATCGTACATTGCAGAGCCTGGGCCCGTTGAGAAGGGGCGCGAGGCGATAGGTGTCACTGATGGGCAATGTCTTGAAAGCAGGGAAGCAGTACGAGGAAACGCATGTTCATGAAGTGTACGAGCAGATCGCCTCACACTTCTCGTCAACTCGCTACAAGGTATGGTACACATGTTACTTCGACTCTTCAAAGAGTCAGAAATACTAATATTGACAGCCTTGGCCCATCATCGAGCGATTCCTTCAAGAGCTACCGGCCGGTTCGATAGGACTAGATATTGGATGTGGCAATGGCAAATATTTAGCCGTCAATCCAAACGTCTTCATCGTTGGCTCAGACAGGTGAGCACCACAGTACCGTCTATTCCATCCTCATTTCTTGTCATTGACCATGTCAGATCGTCGAATCTGGCTAGCATTGCATTACAGCATCAGCCACATTCGGTCGTGGTAGCAGACATACTTGACCTGCCTCATCGGAACGGGCACTTCGACTTCGCCATCTCTATAGCGGTGGTACATCACCTATCAACGACAGAGCGACGGCGGGAAGCCATTGATTCGATACTTACGACACTCCAACCAGATGGCAGAGCTCTCATCTACGTATGGGCGCTGGAGCAAGGAAGCAGCCGGCGCGGCTGGTCTGAAGGCGACGAGCAGGATGTGATGGTGCCGTGGGTCATGAAGGGATCGAAGAAGTCGAAGGTAACCAGCGGGCAAGCTCCAAGTGATCAGGTTGTCATTCACGGCGTCGAAGACAAGACATTCCATCGCTACTACCATTTGTACCGCAAGGGCGAGCTAGAAGCTGATGTTAAGGCCGTCGGTGGCGAAATAGTCGAGGCTGGTTATGAGAAAGATAATTGGTGGGCAATAGCAAGGCCGAAAGATGTCAAGTGAGTGAGATTTTGGTAGTCTTGCCATTGCACTCGGCTCGCTTTCATGCTGAGCGTACGCAAATTGGTATTCAGTCTGATTACGACTCTTCTTTCTTCTCGTCTGTTGGCACGCTCTTCTTCCCATCGCTAGGCTTGCTCGAAGTGAGATCGATGTCTTCCAGACTAGACACAATTTGCAGCCTAGCCTTATCATCGTCCGATACCACGGCATTCCCAGGTCGATCGAGCAATAGCACTTTCAGTTTAGCCGAGTCCGCAGCATCGTACTCCTTTACGTTGTCAGTCAGGAACAATGTCTCGGCTGGCTTCCACCTTAAAGCCTGCACGATCTTCTCATAGCTAGTCGCCTCAGCCTTCAGGCCGGCGTTGGTGGTGTCGAACCATCCGTCCTCGGTCATTAGGCCTCGAAGATCCTCTGTGCCTGTAGGTTGTGTGGCGGACGTTATGCCAGCATCGGGCTTGTCCTGATCCGTAGAGATAGCATCGTTCGTAGTCGGCTTGTTGCGACTACTGCGACGTGCCGCCTTCTTTGCTGGTTCAGCATTACCATCGTCAGTATTGCTCGCCGTTGCTGGCGAGCGTTTCTGGCCAGCTACAGCTGCAGTGTAATCGCCCACACTAACATGCTGGAACAGCAGCTTCTGCGCAAAGACGCTGCCGGACGAGTAGATGGCAAGACGGACACCATCATCCTTCCAGGCCTTCAGCCGTGGTGCCACATCCGGGAACAAGGGAGTAGAGTAGGCGCCAGACTTGTAACCGTCTTCCCATAGGTAGCCTTGGAGGTTCTTGAGGTATGCGACTTTGACATCGCGCTTTGTGAGACCTTCTACGTGGGCCTGCAGGGCCGCTGGCGAAGAGCGGTATTCTTCTGGGAAGGCATCACGGTATGGCTTGAAGCTCGCATCGTCCCACTCGGTGGCTAGTACGTCTGGGAGGGCGTTGAGTGCATATGGGAACTGCTGTTGTCAGTCGCCGCCCGCCTCTCAATTGGGTACCATATAGAAAACATGGAGAACTGCCGTGGCGTACCTACCAGCGTGTCCTTCACGAACGAGATAGGACAGATCGTGCCTTCTACTCACTTTCGTCAGTCCTACTCCCCAGAACCCATCTACACTCACTGCCGCATCAACCTACCGATATCAAGCAGCACATACTTCACACCCTCCACTTTGGGCATCTTCGCACTGTTGTCCAATGCCTGAAGCGGTAGGTCGGAAGATTAAACTCGATCGTGCCGTAGCGAATCTAGCAACGCCACATCTGCGCAACCTCCTGAAAGCGGAGCAGCTCGAGTAGCGGTGGCGGATACACTACTGCGAGGTAGAATTGTGTTGTGGAGTCTCATGTGCGTTGTTTCCGAGACGGGAAGTGGGCTTTCCGGTAAATACCCGACAACATGGCAGCGGAGCGGAGCGGGTGGGCGTTACTGGGGGTGGCGAATGTCTTTAATGTTGCGCCGAGAGCAGTAACAATGCGCGCAAATCTGGCTGAGGGTAGATAGTCGCACAAGATGCGGACTCAAAAGACTGCCTTATTCACTCCCTTCTCCATTCTCGAGCGCTATCGTCTTCAATCACGTTGTTGGCTTTCTCCCTGCTCGTTCTCGGCTATCAGAGAGGCAGTGGAGACTCCCAATAGCGTGCAGGAACTACTGCATGCAACGATATGCTTAACGCAAAAATCTCTGCGGCGGGCACGTTGTCTATAGGTGCTCAATCTGCCACGCGCATGCACGGCAGATCTGTCAAATAACTTGCATGCTTCACCGCTGTTCAGGAGAATTACATTATTTCTCGACCAAGAGGAGGTGGCGATTCTAGGCCCCTCCAGCAACGATTGCTGGTCCCGTGACTCTGAGCAACAAAGCAGTGTTTCGGCTCGGCTTCAAGCGGAACAGACAACGACGACAAGTCAAAGCGCCTTTGTTGTCCAGCTGATCTGATGATGGCGCAAGCGATAACACGTGTACCTACTCCCGTGCTCAGCGCTATCGGCTCATGATGGCAGCGCCACCAACTTGTTCGTCAGCTTTGTATAGGAGAAATTGCGACGAGAGCGTGAAAGATTGCGATGTGCTTGTGCATTATCATTTGGTCTGCATAAGCGACGCGAGTCCAGAGCTCTCACACTCGGATGAATTGTCCGACTACCGCAGCTCTATTTCACAAGCTGCATGCGGAGGTGTAGGACCACCAGCCTCTATTTGCTGAATCCGCCTGCAGCATCGTATCCGTTGTCATACAGAGATTTCCGTTGTGAGGGAGTGCCATTGGAGTGATATACACCGCTGCATATGGTTGAGAAACGATCGAGCCGTCTTTCATCTCAATTCGAGAAAGCAGACGACTTGGGCACAACAGCGCATGCTGTAGATTTACAGCGCCTATCGCACACCCCTGTCCGTCCATGAAAGAAGCCGCTGCTTTGGTAAGAGTTGCCCCAGCCTGCCAGATGTTTCGAAGCTTGTTGCTCGCTCAAGTCGACTGCACAAAGCCGCCGAGTACGTACTCGAGGCGCCCGTTTCGAATCATCAGCTATCGCGTGCTCCCGATATCGGTAATAAGCCTTCGTCATACAAAGGGCACATGCGTACAGCTGTCTTTCAGATATAGAGCCGTGATCAAGGTCAACATGACGCCTTCCACCGATAGTAAGGTCACGGTAGAATCGTAGAGAAACAACATGCATCACCTCATTGATCATGCGCTTCCAAGTTGGCAGAACGTGGCCATTCCGTTTCAAGGTTTAGTTCTAGCACGGGCCATGCTGCATATATAGCACCAAGGGCTCGCTTGACCAATAGATCAAGCCGACTAGCGTCAGCTTGCCTCCGAGCAGGTTCCCACTACTGCCCGTCAACACAACTCGACTCTCTGCATACCACACCGCTACAACCATCACCTTACCCCATAACCGCTGTATATCCTTTCCCTGAATGCCATCGACTACCTGAACTGACTCTACCGATCTCTGCCACACCAACTCGAAACACACCCTGTGTGTTGCTCCTTCCTTGTGTACTTTCTGCCCCGCGCCTACCGCATTCCTTCTCTGGCCCGGCGACAGTCTTGCAACACCAGGACTCACTACGCTACCACTTCGACCTACGACTTTAATCACCATACGACACACCACTTGAGCTCTTCGATGTAAAAGTCGGAACAGTCGGGCTTCCATACCATAACCCGCTACTCTCTCACATCATCAGCTCTCGGCATCCTCGGGAGGGGAGCGTCGTCATCTGATCGGGACCGGCTGCCAAAACACCTCCTGCCACAACACCACTCATACAACACCCACCAGCAAGCCTCTTGCACACCTAGCTCTCAGACGCCATTGATGAGGCTTTGACACCTTTGCAACTTCAGGCACATCACCTACCTACGACTCATACGACCCCACTTAATACTTGTCATCATATACTGCGACATCTACTTTCACTATCCTAACGCAATCACGACTCCCACCAGCTACGATATTACGCCCCTCGATTGTTAGGCTGAATCCTCTGCCAGCAGATCTGAGATCTCATCTACTTCAACTCCTCTCGTTGGACATACTTACACCTGTACCCATGAACATAACGACATTCTTTACATCTCTTTAAACTTATCTTTGCAAGCAAGCGAGCGTTGTTGTTACCTTGGATCGGAGTTTTGATCAACGGAGGTTGAGAGTTGAGCTGCTTGTCTTTCGGAGTTGCCTGGTTTTGTCAAGAAAGAGCATCTGCACAGTTGTTGCCTATACACTACCAAAAGTTTGCGAGCTTCCTGGTCACGCCTCTTGGACAACCCGCCTGCCTGCCTGCCTGCCTAGAATTGCCTCACGCGCCTTCTGCATCTGGAACTAAATCGAACCTTCTCTGAACGGACCTCAGTCACCCGAGTCAACACTTCGCAGCTGTACCTTGCCGCGAAGCCACACTTGGTTTGACCATCGCCTGCACCCATCGACTTTGTGCTACGTTGCTCAATGGATTGTATGCGAGATGGCTTCGAACAAGGAAAGCTTCTCGGCAATCGGTTTGTGACAACCTCACCACTCAACCATGGATCCTTCGGCTTGGTCTTCGCTGCTCGTGACACTCTCACCGGCCAAGACGTAGCCATCAAGTGCATCACCAAGCCAGGCGCCGCCGAAAAGTCGCCCTGTCCGGCCGCTATTGCTATCGACGAACGCTCCGAGGAGCTGGCCATCCACTCTCACCTCACTACCCACCCGAACATTGTCAACCTTGTGCACGACTTCGACACAGACAACCACCAGTACATGGTCTTGGAGTTGTGCAGCAATGGCGACCTCTACGAAGCCATTCGTGTCGGACGTGGCCCACTTGAGACTGGACATGTTCGTGACTTTATGCTGGAGCTCGTCAGCGCTATCGACCATCTTCACACCAATGGCGTCTACCACCGCGACATTAAGCCTGAGAACATTTTCTTGACAGCCAACGGCACGATGAAGCTTGGTGACTTCGGTCTGGCTACCACCGATACCTGGTCGACAGAGTTTGCTGTTGGCTCAGATCGCTACATGGCTCCAGAGCAGTTTGATGCTTCAGTCTATGGGTACGGCTACTCTCCAGCTGCGGCAGATGTCTGGGCTATTGGCATCGTGCTGCTCAACGTCCTTTTCCAGCGCAATCCGTTCGCGACGCCCACTCCCAAGGATCCACTCTTTGCCGACTTTGCTCGTGACCGCCAAAGCCTGTTCGACGTCTTCCCGAATATGTCGCAGGACACGTACAACGTCTTGGTGCACTCTATGGCCTTGGACCCTGCCAACCGTTCATTAGCTGGGGTTCGAGAGGCACTGAATAATGCCGTCAGCTTCACGACTGATGATGAGTCGCTCGATGACTTCTGCTCTGCCGAACCACCTCCTCTGGCACCCGTGGCCACAGCGGCTCGTGAGCCTCTGCGCACGCCATCTATCTCCAGTCCCAACAATGGTGATGAGTACCCCTGGACTTCTACAGTACTCAAGACACCTCAGCGTACTTCTCGACAACTCTCCACTATCCGTGACGAGGAGTCCGAGATGTTCCCGGCTTCTGTCAAGTCTTCCGAATGGCAGTATGTCGACACCGACGAGGCATCTCTGTCCTCCAACCTTGACTCTGGTCTCGGCATGTCCTACAAATCTGCCAAGTCGATCAAGTCGGTTGCCTCGAGGCCCTTGGCCAGCTTTGTCGGCTCGCTGCCCATCAGCTTCTCTCGCCCTGCCAACAAAACCTCATCGCCATATGGTGCTACTGGCAATGGGTTCTCCAAGAGCTGGAGTGACCTATGGGATGAAGATGAGGAGATGGAACAGCAAGAGCGGGTCTCTTTCGACGGCATGGACATTGAGCGCATGGACACCGCCAAACCCAGCACTCCTCGTCTCAAATCCATTCGCGAGGAGGACCGTGGAAGCGTCACACCTCGCCCGGGCTTGATTGAAGTGGATGCCAACCTACGTACGGCCACTGCCAGCCCACTGAGACAGCTAGTCGAAGCCGACAAGAAGAGCGACCAGTCTCAGTCACCCAAGCAGCGTTCGGCATCTATCATGGACAAGTGGGCTGTCCTTGGCAACTTTCGCCGTGCTCGTGCCGAGCAAGTCGTGCCTGTTGCTGCAGCACCGGTAGTATCTGCTCCTGTCGTCACTCCTGCTGCACCGACGCCGATCAGGTCGAAGTACACCGATAAATTCGCTGGTCTGACGTCTTTCAGCAGTGGCAAGAAACAGAAGACTCCCTCCCGCGAGCGTGCCACCTCTGGTACATGGCGCCAAACCAGCCCACAACGCTTGCGTTCCACCTCCGTCAATAACAGCCGTCTCTGGGAACGCAAGGACCCCAGCCCGACCAACGACGCCTGGGCACGAGCAGACAATTGGCGCGAGCACATGGGCTCGCCCGAGGCACGCAGGACCGGCCTACCATCACCACCAGCACCCCCAGCGCAGGCCCCACTGAACAGCGCTACGCATCACTTACGCAACTCCAACAAGACAGATAAGAATTTCCTTGATATTGAATTAGATCACGACGACGGCGATGATATGGAGTGGGTTGGAGGCTGGCGCGATTTCCATGTGTAGAACATGGCGGATCGTCCCAGTGCGCTCCACTTGTGGTTCGGCTCTCAGAATTATCTCACACCATGCTGAAGGTTATAGGAATTGGTTGGCGCTTGATTTGGATTTCTTCTCCTTTTTTGGTTTTGTCTCTGCTTCACCAGTATGTATCTATGCAAGAAAGAGAGCAAGCCGAATGGTGCTGGCTGGCAAGAGGAGGAGTTTTCCCCTTTGGTCATTGGGAATCGGATGGAATGGATGGCGCTTGCTGCACGGTGATGGTGAAGGGATGGACGATACCAATTTCAGCACATACGGGGCAGGAAACCAACAGCATGGGAGAGCAGCATGGATGAGAAACTTTGAGCCGGACTCGCTATCTGTAGTATTAGCTTTATAGCGGCGCGACTTCTCGATCTGTTCCTCCATCGGAGGACGAGATGCGTGTTTAATGCAGATCTACCCACTTCAATCATGGTTCACTCACCTTTTAAAGTGTTGCTGTGGTGACATGTGATTATAAGACCTGAATTAGCCGACGTTTCTAGGATGTTGCTGATGTCGAAAGGCTGGCCATGTCATGAGGCAGCCACAACCTCACCCCCTCGAAGCACAAGCTTCTGTGGGCTTCAATCAGCCTTGTCGAACTTCAACACCCCTCTGGCAAAAATCGAGTCCCGGTACCGTTACACACGTCGAAAACCTTGCACTGCTACAACCCGGAGAGACCACCACGACGCCTAGAACCACATGATCACCTCAGCGCTCAAACATGGCTCATCTCCTCGACCTGCCGGCCGAGCTACATGAACAGATATTACTCTACTTGCCTCTACGGAGCCTGCTGCTCGCTCGCTGCGTCTGCCTGACCTTTGATCGCGCCATCCTGGGCTCCGGGAAGATCCAGCAGGCGCTTTGGCTTCGCCCGCATTCTTCCCTGCGCATGGTCTGGTCGCCGCATCCCTCGAGGGATGGTAGGCCTGCGTGGGATACGGGGGATTGGGGGAAGGACCTGGAGGAGGGACGGCAGCAGCAGCAGCAGCGGCAGCAGAGGGAGGATCACAGTGGCGATAAGACAGGTCGCGCCTCAACATGGCTGATAGCTAACCCTTTCATTCCTGCGTAGGTCTTTCCCCCGCGAGCATTTCCAGAAGTATAGGCTAATGGACCTGGCGTTTCCATAGTTCTGCCGAGTGCAACGCAGAGCTCTTCAAGCGGCAATGGTACGGCGAATGTTTCCCGGAGGAACCTGCTCGCATCTTCGGCAACCCGGATTCATGGGCTCTGGCGCGGAGGCACTATACCATCAAGCCTGTCTCTTTCGATCATAGGAGGTATCCTTGTCGATTCTACATCGCGGGGCGGATCTACAGCTATAGTGACGCACCAACAATGAATGCTTTCCCGCGGTCGTGCGATAGGATGCTCATGACGCACCCACCTATGCGGAGCGTGAGTATCAAGACTCGGAACCAGCCTAGGCTCGTGGAGGCATCGGATGATGATGGCGATGTGGGTGGCATCACGCCAGAACATCTGGCTGTGGCGTCCTTGAGTGAGGTGAAGAGGGGTGCGGATGTGAGTATCATTGGTGGTGAGAAGTGGCGATTGCTTAGGAAGACGGTGGATGAGATTACAGGGTGGGAGATGCTTGATATTCTACTGGGCGATATGGATGAGGATGATGGGGATGTGTTTGTGCTTACGTATGCGAGGTGAGAGACGTTGGTGTAGTTATGTTGGTTGGGAAGTGGTCTGGAAGGCCCGTGGACGAAGAACGAGGGGTTGAAGAATCATCATCATCGTCATCATCATCGTGGTGGTCTGCACGTATGAGGGCGACCAGTCCCAGCTCGCTTTGCTGTTCTGTACCACATGATCGGAATTACAGCATCCAAGATCAGTGGCTCCCCAATTGGAGGAACGAGGGCCACTTCTCTAGCCCTCGGATGATATTGTAACATTAGCGCCAAGGCAATGAGGAGAGAGCAGCTGAAGGAACGGGATCGCGCTCTCGGGGACCTCAAGAGACAAGTTTCAATGGCGTACATTCTCACATTCTTCTCCACTCGCATTCGCATACTGTAGCACACCGCAAGTGAGCCTGAACGAGCGAGTGCGGATGTGCTGACTCGGCAATTGCACATCAGACGTGACCATCTCGAGCTTGACAAACCACCAGCCGTGTTTTAACTCCAATGCCCGCGACTAGCTTGAGGGAGCCATAGGTAAAGTCGTCGTGCACCTCCTGGGTTGACTAATCGTGTTTCCAGAGGAGTGTGTTTATGCATGCCAAGCTCGGTTTATGCATGGTTATGCAAGCAGATCATTGATAATGCGTGTGGATGATATATACGAAGCCTAAGAAGTGCGTAAGCGGCAGCACCAACCACCAGCGAGCAAAGAAAGCGAGCGACACGCGAGTAGTGCTTGGCATCATCGTATATAAGGCCTCTTCAGTCGGACAGTGGCATGCGCAATCCGCCTGACGTCCTTCCATTGCCACCTGCTTACCAGATACACTAAACCACCCACGTGGACAACGACACCGCAAGTCGAGTAAAAGAATGCCTTACAGCGACCCAGACAGCGATAATTTCCTCCGTAAGCAACCTAGGCCGACGAAGATATATCACACCGATACCTACGAGCGCATTTCTCCCAAGCATTTCGATGGCAATGGCAAGACCGTCCTCATTACTGGTGGTGCAACCGGGATCGGTAAAGCCACCGCCCAGGCTTTCGCAGAAGCGGGTGTAGCTCGGTTGGCATTAGTCCAGCGGACGGCAAGTGTTCTGGAGGAGGCCAAGCGAGAACTCGCCGCCTTCCCAAATACCGAGGTCTTGACGTTCCAGGCCTCGATCGTGGATTCGGCACGTATGAAGGAGATTCTGGCCGAGCTACACCAAGTTGATATCCTCGTGCTCTCCGCAACAGCCACCCATCCCCTCGTCCCTGCGACCAAACTCCCCACAGACGAAATAAGACAAATCTACACCACAAACGTCATCGCCTCCTTCGACTTCGTCAACGCCTTCCTTGCGCTGCCCACCGGCGGTACTGGTCCGCGCACAATCATCAATATCACCTCCGGCTCCGCCAAATTACGCTTCCGAATCAAGTCGGCTATGGATCTTCCAAGGCCGCTTTTGCGCAGGTGATGCAGCATTTCGCTTCCGAGCTCAAGGCGGAGGAGGTGAGGGTGTTTAATTTGCATCCGGGCGCTATTTGGACGCCTTTAGTGCAGGGGGCTGGGATCCCCGAGGCGGCGTTGGTGTGGGAGGATGTTAAGTTGCCGGCGCATTTTTGTACTGTAAGTGTTTGCTGGTCTTTGGTTTGACCGCGTGTGTGAGGTTGTGATGGGCTCTGACTTTCGGTGTTTAGTGGCTGGCGGGGGAGAAGTCGAGCTTTTTGCATGGAAGGTATGCCATTTCCTGTGCTCGAGCTGTGATGGATTATGCTGACGCTGTGATTCCAGATTCCTCTGGGCGCAGTGGGATGTGGATGAGTTGTTGTTGCTCAAGGAGAAGGTGGTGGCGGATCCAAGCCATCTTACCATTGGTCTCGTGCAGTAGTGTCTTGGAATATATTGACCAAGGTCCTGTACTCAGGAGAAGCCTTAAAGATGCATATTGCCTAGTCCAGAGCAGTGTGGCTAACCACCAATTGGAACTCAGAGAGCAGATGGCCTGGGTCTGACTACTAGACATAGCCATGGAGCAGTACAGTGGCCAGCAATGCGTCAAATGCTGATGACACTCTCACAACCCCTCAATCCTCATCCCGCCCCCTCTTCCTCCCATCATCCCTCTCCCGCTCCGCCCCTTTATCCCTCCCCTCAGATCCGTTGGCCACCTCCCTCTCCCTCTGCACCTTCCGCTCCTCCTGCCTCTTCCAATGACTCCCCTCCTCATAATCCTTACTAATCCCCAACGCCCGCCTCAATTTCTCACTCTCCTCGATCTTCGCCTTGGCCAATTCGTGAACCTGATGGCTCTTCAGCTTCCTCGCATTCGGTCCACCACCATCGCCCGGTCGTTGTTTGCTGGTCAGATCTTTGCGTAGGGCTTCACATTTGTCGTCTATTTCATCCTCGTCTACCCCTTCGTCTTCTAGTCTGTCCCGTAGCTCGAAGACTTTGACTTCGATTTCCCGTTTGCGGTCGTGTTCGAGAATTTCCTGGTCGGGTTGGCGTTGACGGTGGCGAATGCTGTCAGTGTCTTTCGAATAGGGTTGGATGTTGTCACGCGGACGGAGGTGGGAGAGGTTGCGTTGGACGTAGCCGCTGGTGCCGGAGCCGCGGGGGGTGGTGAGGCCGACGTTTTCTGTCATCGTGGCGTTATTTTCCTCGAGTTCTGTGGCTTGCTGAGGTGAGGATAACGTCTTTAGATCGGATGTGCAAAAGAGAAGAGGGGAGTTGAAGACAGCAGCGTGAAGGAAGCCTTTGCATGTGAAAAGTGTCAACGAGTCATGCACATCGAGCAACATTGGAGTCTCTATATATTGAACCCCTTCGCCTGCACTCTTCACATCTTCTACCCAGAAGAACATAGTAGACGAAGATGCCCGCAATAATGGACGACGAGGCCAATGCCTCAACCCCACCAACAACTCTGCCCTTCCCACCGATCACACGATCACATATCATGAATTGTTCCTACCACAGTTGGTGGCCGAAGTACAAAGCAATAACACCCAAATCCCGCCTCATACCCCTCAACAAATCATTCCTCGACTATCTCCGTGCCGATGGCATAATCCTGCCCGACGATGAGAACGATAACCAACAAGTAGAATGGGACAGCGACAGCGGCGTCTTCTCTTCCTCTGACGCACCTGAGGATGATGACGAAGATGAGGATGAAGACATAGATATCCTAGAAGGCTGGCACGACATCCACAGTACCATCAGACGAACAATCGCAGAATTAGGGGGCAAAGTGGTACCCAAGCTGAACTGGTCCGCTCCTAGAGATGCGACCTGGATGAACGCGAACACCATGGAATGTCGCACGCCGAACGATATCTACCTCCTCCTTAAATCCTCCGACTTCATCACCCATGACCTCGAACACGCTTTCGACGACACTGCGCCTGCTCGAGACCACGAGATGAGGCAGGAAACAATCCCCTTCCACCTCGTCCTCCGCAAATCCTTCCAGATGAACCCCTCGGTTGAGTTCCGCTGTTTTGTGCGAGCGAGACGCCTCCTCTGTATCTGCCAACGAGACCTCAATCATTTCGAGTTTCTGGAGAAGATGGAAGGGAAACTCAGAAGCGAAATCCAGTCATTCTTCGACCTACGACTGCGTGACTCGTTTCCCGATGAGAACTTCGTCTTTGATTGTTACGTCCCGGATCCGTATACCAGGGTTTGGCTGGTGGATGTGAATCCTTGGGCCCCGAGGACGGACCCATTACTCTTTTCTTGGATGGAGATTTTGGGCATGCCAGAGCCGCCTGTCGAGGAGAACGACGGTATTCCTGAAGGTGGGTTCGTGAGGCTAGCGCTCGCCGACCCAAATAATCCTGCTGTCGCGGAAGCACTTCGTAAGGCGCGAGAGGAGGCTGCTAAGGAGGATCTATCGTCCGATAGCGAGGGGAGTGCTAGCGATAGTGATGTGGATGAGGAGATTTGGCTTCCGGAGCTCAGACTTGTCAGGAGGAATGATCCAGAGGCTTTCCAATTCAATACGCCTAAGTATTCGGCGCATAAGTTGCCCAGGGATGTGGTGGAGGCTAGTCAAAGTGGGGAGGGGTTGAGGGAGTTTGCGAGGGAGTGGGAGGGGGTGCTTGAGAGGAGGCGGAAGGAGGAAGAGGAGGAGGAGAGCAGTGGTGGTGAGTGAGCTGTTTACACAATATTCTTACGATGTGTATGTCACGATCCTCAGCTACTTGCGTGGCACTACGATGATGGCTACGAACTCTACTCTCTCGCCCGGACGGATCTGGAGCGACGCTCTTTTCATTAGACTCCACAGATACTCACGCGAGGTGGACATTGCAGGGATCGACGTCGCTCACATGTTGTGCCCTCTAGCAACCTGCGTCGACGTTTCTATCAGTACTGGACATGCACTATCACTCGCTAGGCTCTCACGCCGCTCGGTCAAAAGCTAGGCGGGTCTTGATCGCGGACCGAGTGGCGAATTGCCGATCCGAAAAACGTCAAAGAAAACGGCTATGCTCTCCTGAGACGGGGATGAGGAAGGTATGGCACCAGCATATCGATATCGACTCACATCCGCGCTCATCATGGCCTGGATGAAGATCCGAAGATGTACCGAGCATACGAGAAGTCTAGGTCTTGATGCGTGGCTTTGAGCAAGTTGCCAAGGCCCCATTTACTTCATCGTATCCACTTTGCAAGACTTGGCACGATTGCATCTGGATCGAACTACATGCCTTTCTCTCTCAACATCAATCGGGAGGGTGTTTGTCGTCTTGACTGTGCTTCCAACCCAAACATTAGGAGGTCTCGCCTTTCCATCGCTATCATGGATACCACCTCGATCTCGCCGCGCCATATCCAGGACCATGGCGAAGCGAATACGACTCTGGAACTCCACTGGGGTTATCCTTCTCGGGTCTTGCCTTGTATGAAGGACCGCGGGACATGCGAGTATTTGGATGCTGTCTACTGGATGCATGATGTCTCTATGCTGTACACTTTCATTCTATGGGGTGTCTTACTTGGGATCGCTGTCATGGTGGTCTGGACGAGAGGGTGGCGGATGGGTGGGTCGAGAAACGGAGGACTAGTTGGAGGGGTCTGTGAGAAGTTGGCACGATGGAGACAGAGGTGGCTATTGCAAGATCCACCCGCCCGCTGGCTGTTCGGCAGGACTTCGAGGCTGCAAGTCTTGATTCTTGTCATCCTCCTGGCTTATCTGCTCATATTCTCGTACGTATATTCTTGTATCATGTATCTCTCCAGACACCAATTGACTCTTCTTTCTCCTCTCCAGTCTCGTAGGCATCACCTACCGCACCTGGCTCACCCCGATCAAATCCTCCACTCGGCACAACACCCGCACAGGTCTTGGCGGCCTCTCCGACCGCATCGGTGCTCTGGCCTTCGCTCTCACGCCTTTCACTGTCTTGCTCAGCATGCGCGAGAGCCTGCTCTCTGTAATGACGGGCATACCATACACGCACTTTAACTTCCTCCATCGTTGGACTGGACGTATCATCTTCGTTCAAGCTGCTCTTCATACTATCGGATGGACCATTGTGGAAGGGAAATTGTACCAGCCGCAGCCGAGTGTGTACCGAGAGTTCATTAGACAGATGTACATGGTCTTTGGATGTGTGGCTATGTTCTTGCTTACGCTTATGGTGGTGCTTAGTACCAAGACGGCGATCAGGTGGTTTGGGTACGAGTTCTTCAAGGTCACGCACTGGGTGTTGGCTATTTTCTATCTTGGCGCGTGCTGGGGGCATTGGGACAAGCTTTGGTGCTGGGTTGTAGCTAGCTTGGTGTTGGTGGTTGTGGATAAGGTGGCGAGGGTGGCGAGGACGATGTTGATTCATTATCGCGAGGGCAAGGGTCGAGGTAGGCTATTGCGATTGCTCTGTAGGACGTGGGGTTGGCTTGCTGACCATCAGGAAACAGATCTCGGCTTCCACTGCGCTCAAGCTCACGTCAGGCTACTCGGTACACCCAATGATCTCGTAGTACGTCTGGATTTCGACTACGAGCACTCGCCTTGGCTTGCCGGACAGCACTTTCATTTGACCTTTCCGAGCCTTAGTATCTGGCAGAGTCATCCCTTCACGCCTTCTTCTCAACCCGGACCGAACGCTAAAATCCAGCATCACACGTATCTTCTCAGAGTCCGCAAGGGTATCACGGCTCGTCTTGCCTCTCTTGGAGATAACGCCACGGTTCCTGTAATCCTATGTGGACCGTATGGACAAGCGTTTCCCAGCTATAAAGCTCAGAACGTTTTGGCTGTTGCTGGTGGTACGGGTGTGACCTTCACTCTACCGGTTGTCCTTGAGGCTGTTAAGCAGCAGCTGAGACCACGCTTCGCGATCGAGTTCGTGTGGATCGTCAGGCGGGCACAGGATTTACGATGGCTGGGGTCTGAGCTGGCGGAGCTCAAGTCGAGGATGAGTGAGGCCCAGAATCTGCGGGTCCGCATCTTTGTCACACGGGAAAGTGGTGAGGTAGCCGAGCTCGCCCCTGATGGGACGGGGAAAGAGCTCGAATCCGAAGACGATGGCTCTTTAAGTGATAAGAGCTTACGCACTCTGCTCACTCCTTCGACACATTTCTCCATCGGCTTCTTGGATGGCCGGCATCCCTCGATGCCAGAAATTGTGCACGATTTCGTGGAGCGGGCTAGCTCTGTTGGTGGTACGATAGAGATTCTGAGTAGTGGACCGGAGGAAATGGGCTCGGATCTTAGAAGTGCTGTTGCTAGCGTGGAGAGTAGAGACGATGTGGGCTTTTATTGGGACTCACGAGGATGAGATAGTAGATGGATAGACATATAGGAGATGTTCCGATATAAGTTCAGTGTTGGCGTTGCATGCAGACTCGTGCTAGATAACAGGATGTTTTCGTGATGATAGTGATGTTGGGCGTGGTACATTTATTATAGACGTGAGACCCTCAACCGCGGATAACACCAAGGCTTACTGATGGGCACTCGTGCCCTTGATGGACACAGCTACTTGTATGGCCTTCCGTCCCGTAGAACTCAACAATCGTCATGTGCCCACCGCAACACCGGCCGCCGGCACAAGTAAGTCCTTAGACTCCAATCCTTGCATTTATCTCTACCCATTCCTCACCTTCGACCCATGCCCCGCCAGTATACTCTCCGCCTTCCTCTTCCCCAGCGCACTCTCCGGCGTACTACTCCTCTGCCTCTGACCCACAGCTCCCGACAGCGCAGCAGCCAAGGCGCCAACTCCACTCCCACCAGCGCCACCAAACGGCCGCTTCATCTCCTCCACACAAGTCGCATGGGCTGGTTTACCATTATAGTATGTAGCATTCATGAACACCCAATCCTGCAGCTCATCAGAATACGAACTCTTCATCTCCTCTTGACAGATCGAACACGTGAATCGTGTCACACCAGCCGGTGCGCGAATGAACTGGTCTTGTGGCCCTTTCTGTCTCTTCTTTTGTGCTGCTGCGCCGTTTACGGTGTCGGTGGCGCTGGCTGTGGAGGGGTCGAACTCGGGGAGTGTGATCCACTCGAACTCATCTACGAACCATTGTCTGTGCTGGCCTCGACTGATTGCTGGGTCGGCCATGCGTTGATTGGTGCGGAAGTGCCAGTCTAGATGTCGTTGCTTCTTTGCTCGACCTTCTTCGGTGGCGAGGAAGCGGCGGCCGCATGTGCTGCACTGATTTGGTTGGTCGTCGTAGAGTGCTCGGACGAGCTCGGGGCGAAAGACCTTGAGCTCGGCCGTCGTCATCGGGATTCTTGGTCTACCATGACCAGCTGTTTGAGCGGGTGGCAAGGTTGGTGTGCCCTTCTGTGAGGGTGGGAAGATGGACGAGAGCGATTGCAAGAGCGATGCTGTCGACTGTGGTGGAGGCGCAGAGACCACTGGTGGCTGTGTTGAGGGAGTGGCTCTTGGAGGGACCAGCGAGGACAGCACGCCACTCTTGCTAAGAGCTGCGAGCAAGTCGGTAGGATTGTTTGGTGGGGCTGCCGCGATGTTGTTCTGAACGTTGCTCAATTGATTGTGAGAAGCGTTTTGCAGGATTGGCGCGGCGACACGCATTTGTAGCGTGCTCGGCTTGTTGCCACTCGCGAGTAATGCCTGTAGACCATTGAGAGCGCCGGGAGGGAAGAGAGCTGGAGGCGCCTGTTGTGCAGCAGTACTTTGCGACTGCATGAAAGGTAGTGAGACTTGCTGAGGTGGCTGATATGGCTGTGGAACAGGAAGCGGCATCTGGAACGGCTGTGGAGTCGGTTGTGCTGGTGGCCACTGCGGTGCGAGCGCATGAGGCTGTGGTGTCGGTGCAACAGATGGTGACACGGCTGCAGCCAGACCACTGACTTTGTTTCTGACGTCCTGAAGTGCTTGGCCAGTCACAGCACCAGTGTTCATAAGCTGTTGCAACTGTTGAAGAGCTTGCAATTGTGTGTACAGGCCTTGATCACCATGATTCACGGCAAGTCTAGCCTGTATTCGAGAGATTAGAGACGCGATGTCGGCATTGAGCGAATTGACATCCACATATGGCGGAGGCTGTGCTACCGGAACATGTTGTGGAGTTGGTGGTGGATATGCGGGAGGCCATGACTGCTGAGGTGTGGGCTGCTGAGCATAGTACTGCGCTGGCTGTTGGTGTTGCGGAGGCATTTGAGGCATTGCAAACTGGCCATTGAACTGTGGTGGGGTGGCGACTTGCCTCTGGCCATACTGCGCTTGCATAGGCGGTTGTCGCTTGACGTCCATTGCCTTGATTTGGTTGAGCGCGTTCTCGATTGTGCTGGTTTGCTTGTGCGTGAAGACAGGTTGTCTATCCAGTGCTCCAGGTATGGGCTCTTTCCAGGTTCGGAAAAGACTCTCCATGGCTCGTCGAGTTTGTGGATCCACGAGTCGGTAAGCGTTGAAAAAGGTAGAACTGAGATTGCTGCCGAGGTAGACTGTGTATGGCGTGCCGACATTCTTGACGATACTATCGAGTACGTATAGTGCCACAAGCTTCTTGCTTGGTGCTGCCTGTAGTATGGCGTCAGTCGAAATCTTCCTAACTTGCGCGAAACAATCAGTCACGTGACAAGCCCGCTGCTCACCGTATTGATATGATCCTCGAGCGCCTTCGAGATGGCTTGCGCATGCTCAGTACTCTCGCGAGCTATCGTGGTCAAATTCGAGATCTCCCATTTGTTGTTTTGCTGTAGATCTTTCAGAGACTCGGCAAAGTCAAGCGCGACATCTGAGCTGCCAGAAAGCGAGCTTCTCGGCGATCTAGCAGACATTGTTGGAGCACGCGACGTTCAATGAGTACTTCACGATGTACACAGCAGTCAAGACTAGATAGGCCGCTCGAGCGAGCAGGGATGCGGTGGTGCTGCCTGGGCTTGGTAGACCACCACTGGACTGCTTGCTTTGAAGACCTTGAAGATGCCAGCTCAAGCAGAGTGCAAGTGTGTGGCACACCGTCACAGTGAAGATGCAACAGCAGCAGCAAGTGAAGCCACAAATGTATGACTAGAGACTAGCTAAACATCCAACGTCCGCCGTGTCGTGCTCTCCACGCGAGTGCACCTCCTTAGGCGCGGCGCCCGTCAAAGCCTAGCTCTTCTCCTTCCTTTCAACACTCCCTGGCCACTACCGGTCTTACTGGATTGTCTAGACTACCAAGTACTTGGGATCCGTGTTGATGATGTCTTGTTCGTAAACCCGAAGGCTTAGATCAGCTGAAAGAAGATGCCGTAAGCAGTATTCCAGATAGTCAGGCTCGAGGATGCTCGAATACTGTGTCACCGTCCAGCTGGCAGGCTCGTACCGTAAGCAGATGATGATCGTGAGCGCGATCGAGGAGGGACGTCCGGATAGGTGCGAATTTCGTCGCGCTGTGGTGGTGAACAAAGAATGTTGTAGGAAGTCGAATGTGTTAGTAAGCAGCACAAGCGCGGCGGCTGCGCACGGACGATGACTTCATGGCAATTGCTTTCACGTGCTACAGTACCACCTTCATTATACTCTCTGCTCGTTTGTCCTAGAACTACTACACAAACAGACAGACAGCATCATACGACCCCTTCATAATACTAGGAGCATCTCGTAAAGTATCAACATGAAATTCAGCCTCGGATTCCTACTTCTGGCCATCTTCGCAGCCTTCTGCCTGGCGGCAGCACCTCAGAATCAGATTATAGTCAGCTACCCTAAGGAGACTCCTAGCTCAGTGATCGAAGAAGCCAAGGAAGCCATCCGCAAGGCTGTGAGCGTCAACTAGACATGCGATTACCTCTACCAGGTTACTGACACATCGACAGGGGGGGACCATAGAGCATGAGTACAGTCTGATCAAGGGCTTTGTATGTTACCAGAACGTGCGCATGAGAGCATCTGAGCAGCCTTACTGATGTTTTGTAGGTCGCGAAAACTTCTGCCAAGGTCATTGAGACGGTCCAAGCCATGGGCTCGGAGCATAACGTCCTGATTGAGGAGGATCAAATCATGCACACCGCCGGCGAGCAGTAGTGTCCTAAGGCTGCATATGATTGACGAGCACATGCCAGAGTACGATCTTTGGGAGTTACAAGGCAACACGACACGAGAACATGGCGACACGGTGAGGCATCGTGGGAAGCGTCGGCGGCGGCGAGGCCGTGTCGCGTGGCGTTACGGAGTAGGCATGATTGGTGAAATTGATCAGTACTGTAGACGCAGCAATCAAGATACGTTTCGCGCACAGAGAGCAGGGCAGAAGCTCATAGAGCTCGACGCAGCCAGCCACTGTTTTTGCAGACCCCTGTGTAGCAGCAGACCGTCCAATGATCTCGACAGCCCACCGACACCGCATGCTCTTTCGCAGATGCGCTGTCCTTGTCTATAGCATGGGTCGCCAGCAAAAGAAATTCATCTTGAAGGATCAAGCTTCCGCATCGGGAAGGGACGCAAGAAGCTTCTCCCTAGCTCGTCCCGAACAGGACCTCCATACATGATACGGGAGACGAGCGCAAGGATACTGCATACAGTGCCTCCAGTCTGGCCAGGCCGGCGACATGCTAGAGATGCTGTAGCGAAAGCGATGCAGCCACATCTTGCCCTTCACTAATCGAGGGTTTACACATGATTTATCCGAAGTAGCCGAAGTTCAGGGCTGTCTTAAGGTTAATGGTCCTCCAGTTGCAAAATCCTGCTTTCGGTCAGTGCACGTGCCTGTCTCAGCAAGCTCGATTGCAAAGGTGGCTAGCGAAACCAGATGCGGTTTTGGAAGCGAGCCCCGCACGAAGAAGAGCTTGGCGTGTTCAAGAACCGTGAAAAGTTGCCTGTACGGACGTACCATGGATACTCCCCATGGCTGCCATCTGCTCGACAGTACGATAGCGCTCTGCAGAGGGACGCAATCAGTCTTCTTTTTTTACAGAGATGATCGGGCTGCCTGGTCGCCCGCCTAGAGGTTGAAGGGGGGATTCTAAGACTCAGCTCCAGCAGAAAAACCTGGACAAAACCCCTGCATCACTTTCATTCATTCTCTAGCTGTCTCGGACCACGTGGGATACCCAGCTAAGAATGCAAGCTCGGGATGCCGAAGTGGCATTGACCAATAGCGCGGGCTCGACTCCGGCTCCCAAGCTTCTATCACGAGTTGGTCTGACAATCCCTGCGCTGCTCATCAAGACTCCGAGCACCTGGGTCTGACAACAATAACGATTGCAGTAGCTAAGAAGAGAGTGAGCATGCACGGGGAGCGGTCGATCATCAGCCACGTTTCTCCGGAGACTGTACGCATCCCTATCGGCGGGTCCTGATGTCCAAAGCCCAGTTCGCACATGGGCGAAGCTGCAGCACAAGCGACCAACGGCAAGACCCTGTGGCTTACGCCAGAGGAAAACGAACAGCCGGACCGGTGTGCATTCTGACCCATGAAAAGAGCATTCTAGGAGCTTGGCAGACCGCATTCTTGGTCTGTCGTGGTGACTGCACGTCTCAAGCCACCCTCTGCGGTCACGGTCACGGTCACTGTCACTGTACCTGTAGCTGGCCCATGCTATCTGTGTTGCGCTATGTAAAGCTGTGACTGCAGGTATGCAAGTTGACTCAAGCTCATTCTTTTCCTCCTCTCCGATCGAGTCACAACAAGGAAATTCACTGCCTGGCCCCCTTTCCATGTGCTTTGATCACGATCGCCACGCAAGGTAGACCAAGATCGAGAGATTTATTGTTCTTATCGCGGCGAAGGCCTTGCCGTACAAATGACTGCTCTGCTTTCCAGTGCTGCATTGTCAATGCCTGGCAAGCATAGTTTAATCGAAATGACGGATAATTCGGACAGAGACTGGCGATATCCTCACCATTACGCTGGACAGTTGCCGATGTTGACGAGCCAATGGAGCCAGGAGCCAACACATCATATTGGTGGCATGGAGGGAGTCGATTTGGGAATGTTTCAACATGAACCAAGTCCTTATGCGGAATCGTATAGGACTACAGTCGTTTCCGAGGTCCCACCTCCATACGAGAGCTTCTATGCTGGACATCATCCTCATACCGATACGGAGATGCTGACTCCATCCACTTCCGGCTTCCCAACCGAAATCACCGAGGGCTACTTACCAGCCCACAGTCAAGCCGGCTACTTGCAGCCACTGATCGGCCTTGGCCACGGCTCTGTTGCTACGGAGAGCCCGCGCAGTGCACATGAAGACATCAGTCCGCGACAACAACTAAAGACTATCCCGCGACATCAGCAGTCGAGAGTACAGCGACCGACATTGAGTAGGTCTATCACAGCACCAGAAGCCACGGCGTGCATTAAGCGGTCCGGGAGCGATGAGGATGAGGACGATTACGTGCCTGTCGAGGAGGTCAAAGGCAGAGGCAGGAAGCGACAACGTATCCCACATACGGCAGTGGAGCGGCGATATCGAGAGAATCTTAATGCTCATCTCGACAAGCTACGCCAGAGCGTGCCCTTGCTAGCATCACGTGGCGGCAAAGGAGCAGACGCCCAAGAAGGCATCAAGCCAAGCAAGTGCGAGATCTTGAACGGCGCTATCGAGCATATCGCGGAATTGGGCAAAGAGAAGCGGTTGCTGAAAGATCACAACCGCATGCTGAAGGAGGAGAACGGAATGCTGAAGGCGAGGTTGGAAGAGCTGCACGGCTGGAATCATGGGCATAGCAATACACTTGGTAGCGCTTTCGGCGCTTGAGGTCTGTGTTAGTCTATGCTTGTGCTGCGATTTCAGCGAGAGGATGGGATATCAGGGGATATTTTAGCTTGGGTTATTGGGCTTGTATTTGATGGGACCTGGAGTTTGGTACTTTCTGGGTGGTGGGATGAATGCAGGAGCGTGCACACGATTAATGATGCGGAATATACCCAAATAGTGATGAGCGTCTTCTTGTGCGAGGTGCAGAAATGTCGATCGTACGTAGTGATGTACAACAAACTTTAACCATATGGTTTCTTTCCATAGTTGCAAGATTCGCGAGTCGATCGTGATCCTACGCAGCTTCTCACGGCTACGTGGTGAGGTATACGGCGGTCGTGCGTCAGGATTGATCCTCCATCATTCGTCGCGGAACTTCCATCGTCCGCCGCCACGCATCGCGTCGCGCCACCTGGCTTCAACCTGCACCTTCTTCTCTGCTTCAGCCTGTGCACGATATTCGTCGGCTTCTTGTGTGCTGGGCATATCCGTGCGCCAGAAGCCTGGAGGTGTGCTCTGCCGCTCGAAAGCATTTCGATGTTTGCCATACTGGTTAGCGAACGCGCTGGCTCGAGCTTCTTGCAGAAGGGATTTGCGTCTGTCGGCTGGGTAAGCACCGACAATAGCTTGCCAGCTGGGACCGAAATACGCTTCAAGCACTTCGGCGTCGCTCTTGTCATCTTTTCGTGGCGCATTCAGCTGCACTGCTTTCATGAATACTCCACCGCAGCAGTCAGGACGAGTGCAGCCTGCCAAGCACTTCCTAGCAGCACCACGAACCGTCTCCGAGTAAGCGTACTTCTCTCCCGTGTACTGTGGGTTGATCCTGAAGTCCTCGAGTCGTAGTGCAGTGAAAGGTCGTAAGCGGAGTGGTTCGTCTTCCGGTCTCACTGGAGGAGGCGATTGTTCCAGATCATCCGGTTTGTAGGCGCTCTTCTTTGGTTGTCTCTGCACTGTAGATCTGCTCGGTGGCGTGGCATCAGCATGTCGCCGGAACGAGGGAGTAATTTGTGGCTTGGAAGATGGTTTGCTTGTTGGTGCGGTCTTAGCGGCAGGAAGAGACACCGGCGTAAGTGGACCTTTCTGTCGTGGAGCTACAGCCTTCGGGGTGTGGCTACTGATAAGCTGCTCACGGCTGGACTGGGGTCCCTTCAGAAGTGAGTCGAGGCGCTGTGCCTTGCCTAGTTCTGCCGGCCTCCTATGTGGTACTTGAGCGCTCTTCGTAGTTGCCACAACGTTCTGGCTTTCTCCATCCTCAGATAGAAGTGCTGCCTTCGTAGCTGCCTCCTGGTCGCTTCGCCTACCTTTCCGCGACCTCTGAGCAGATCTAAAGTGTGGTCTATCGGGTGATATATTGGTACTGATGGGCTGAAGAGCAGGGTCCGTGCTGTCTGCCTCGAGGTCACGATCTAGCATTGCACTCGGTTCTGCAAGTCTGTTTTCGTCTGGCGGCAAATCTGATCCGTCGTCCAGCATGTCGCCATCAGAGAGCGATGAGACACGGGCAGGCAGTGGAGGTGGCCTCCGAGCCTCCTCGGAAAGTGCACGTCGGTCTCTTCGATGCTTCTTGGGCGTTGAAGTACGCTCCGCGATGGCGTCCAGATCTGAAGTCTCATGTCGCACCAGACTGCGATGGGTCACAGCTGGACTACTGTAGTCCTCACTCTTGACTTCTATCGGCTCGTCGGGCGACCCTGGCTCCTGCTTGATTCGAATAGGAGGTGGCATGGCTAGTGACGAGGCGCTTCTTTTGCGTTTCAAAGACCTTGCTGACACTACCACAGGCTCGCCGTCGCTACTATGTTCGTGCTTGCCTGGCGGCGATGACGGCATGCCTGCTGGGTCCGACCCGGCATCTGTAGTCTGACTCGACGTCACTCGAGGAGTGCTGATACGTGAGCCAGGCTGTGTTGCGATCGTCTCAGGATTGCGTGGGTTCAACATTCCTTGACCAGTACAGTGATCAGAGGCGGCGTAATTAGCATGAGTCGCTTGTGCGGAATCTTGATCCTGCTTGGTCGAGACTGCTCGCGGTGTAGCGTTAGGATCCGCAACAGCAGGCAGCTCATCCTGAGAAGCGTCAGACAAGCTTTTTGGGGTTGTCGGCCTCCCATGACTTGGCTTAGAGTCGTGCTTAGCAAGCTTCTTGTACTGAAGGTAGTGGCTCCACTGTCGAACAATCTCCTTCGCATGCCGATACTTCTTCTCGACCATTTCGATATGACGATCACATCGCCTGTGCCGTGCTTCCAGGTCGCCGTATTGCTTGAAGAGGTCATTGTACTTCGTCGTGAGAGCTTGGTGCCTCTGCTCAGACTGGACATCCCGATCTGTCACGCCGCTAGAGCGGGAGTCGGCAAGATGAGCTCGCAGAGACGCATTCTCCGCCTCTACTTCCGCAATTCTAGCGCTCTGCTTTGCGTGTAATGACATGGCCACTTTATTGCCCTCTAGCGAGCGAGCTGAAGTCGATGTGTGTCGCATATCAGGTCGAGACAGATTCGAGTTCCACACATGATTGATACAAAGCGCCCACATGGAACGCTATTGTAGTGGCATCTCCTGAGACCTTCTCCCCGCACAGAGGCCAGAAGTTGATGAATATTGATGTCCGTCGTTCGTCGCGCCCTCAGGTAGACGCGATCTCGGCAAGCTGAGCCGAGATCTTGACGCTCGGACCAAAGCTTGTCAAATCCGGCTAAGCGGCTGTTTCAGAGGTCACTGTCCATGAATGAGATGCTATCAATTTCGTGCTTCCACCTACACACGATGGCGAAGCGCAGTCGGGATGAGGATGCGGTGCGGGAGGAGGAGCGCTCGCCTAAGCGTGCAAGGCCGAGCACGGTTGACAGGTTGTCGGAACTGAGCGATGAGCTCATTCTTCGAGTACTGTCCTATCTGCCGGTGTCGCAGCTAACTGTGTGCGAAAGGTATGTCTAGCTAATGGATGATGATGTTATTGCAACACTGTACTAAGTTGGCAGACTGTCTTGCAAGTATCGGGGCTTGGCAAGCGACAATCAGCTGTGGAAGCAGAACTATCACTCCCGTTTTGTAAGACCGAGGGCGAACAAGATACCAGGAAGTGCAGATGGTATTGTGGGGAATGGCACAGTCTCTTCCTCGGGAATGAGGAGCTGGGCGGGCGAGGAGCATCTGGTGAAGCATGGAGTGTGGACAGCATGGAAGAAGCAGTACAAGCTGAGGCAGAACTGGACGAAAGGCCAAGCGGCTGTCAGGGAGATACCTGTGTCAGAGCAAGTCAGCATCCCTCCTGTGTTGGTACAGATGCAAGCAGGCATAATCTACATGGCCGATACGGATGGCTTGCGTGCCTGGTCGACCAAAGCCGAGAAGAAGATAGTAGCGCAGATATCCTTTGACCGCACCAGTCAGGCCTCGCCACCAACAGCACTTTCGGTGGACTCGAAGTATAACGAGAATCGACCGCGCATACTTGTCAGTTTCGAGGATGGTAGCTTTGCCGTTTACGACCTGGATCAAGACCAAGCATCGTTCCGCCACCTTTACACGCATCCGTCTTCAAGCAATGGTGTCATATCTGCTACGGCTCTGGCCTGGCCCTATGCTGTAACAATGACTGCCACCCAGTCGCTATCGCTCTATCACTTCAAGCAGAAGATCAACAGAGGTGACTCTACTGTTGTCGTTGAACCACCACGACTACTGCACTCTCTCCGATCGCGAACAGTGTGGCCTCCACTTTCGACATCATTGCGTGTCTCGCCAAGCGCTATCACGATATCCGTGGCATATGCTCTACCGACATATCTATCGGGATGGACAGTAGGTCTGCAAGAAGTCCGCGTCTCTCCATCTGGTAACTTCTTAAGCTCACGTGTCGCTTCAGCCATTGAGCAGCACTATCGACCACTTGCATTCGCTGCTCCTCCACTTGTGCAACACCTCGCAGCACCAGTCATCGGCAGCCTCGCCGCGTCAACTGCCACAGAACTTAGACATATTCATTCGAAGCCGACATCGTTATCATATACCCACCCGTATCTGTTGGTATCACACCCGGACAACACCTTGGCCCTATATCTTGTTACCTCCACAGACGATGCACTATCGATCAGTGCCGGCAGCCGACTGTGGGGCCATACGTCCTCTGTCTCTGGTGCTCATGTTGGCAATCGAGGCAAGGCTATATCAGTCAGCAAACGAGGAGATGAGTTGCGAGTGTGGGAACTGGAAGGGGGCTTCGGCTCGACGGCTGCCAAGAAACGACTTGCCACCGGTGAGCTCAGCGTGCAGATAAGTTCCAACCGCAAACAGCAGTCGTCTACTGGCGCGTGTCAGGCGAGTGTGGACATTGTCCACCAAGCCATGCAGGCAAGACGATCCAGTTCTTGCGCCACAGAAAGCCGGCTGGAGGATGTTTCTGAGCTCACGCTGACGCGAGGATGGGTCGGCTTCGACGAGGAAAATGTTGTGCTCCTGAAAGAGCAGAGCCATGGCAAGCAGGCCTTGGTTGTTTATGATTTTACGTGATACGAGTACGAAGTTCTAGGTACGTAGGCGAGAGAGACCGTCTGCGTCTGAGTGTGCCTATCCGTGTGTGTGTCTGTGATGAGTCTACGGTGCTGTCCGAGCAGACCCTGCTGACATCATATTCGTTCGTACAGCGGTGATCGAAGGAAGATGTGTGAAGTATGCTGCCATATCTCTGGCGGTAGTAGTGAGGGTGGTTACAGCAGCGTACCTTAACTGAGCATGCTTGGCATGCCGCAACAGATCAGCCACTCAGAACTGACGACGACGCCACGCCACGTGCTCCACACCACCCTAGCGAACCATCACAAACGGTTTTGCTCACTTCGCAAAGACCTCACTTGAACCAACACAGCTCGACACACTCCTAGATCAGTATTCCAAGCTGCTACAACCCATACCAGAGCAAAGATATCTGTACGTTCTTCACAAACTTTCCACGAATCCACACGGTCGAGGCCGTCAAAATCGCGCTACTGTACTATGACCTCTAGCGCCGCACCCCACGTAAATTTCATTATTGATCATCGCTGACCTTCTCCATCAGAACAGATCCAAACCTCACACAAACACACCACAAACACTACAGATTTAGACCGGCGGTATCATCACACCGCTCACTTCATCTACAGGACTCCGTCTTCATCACAACAACCTCCTACATAGCCATGGATTACCAGTCTGGAAACACTGGCGGCGGTCGCGCCTGCTACAACTGTGCGTTTGACCTCACTGCTGATGCTGCTCCCACTCCTCTGCCATCTGCGGTCATAGCATCACTCTAGTGCCGAGCAGGATGCTTGAGTCTAGCGTGCGTCAAGTCTTCATCATGCTAATCATTCCATACAGGTGGCGACACCACTCACCAGGCCCGCGAGTGCCCAACCAAGGGTAGCCCAGTAAGCTTCTCTCGCATCACTTACAAGTTCCAAACTCACTAACACATTTCAGACCTGCTACAACTGTGGTCAGACTGGCCATCTCTCCCGTGAGTGCACTGAGCCTGCTAAGGACAAGGCTTGCTACAACTGCGGCGACCCCGGCCATCTTTCCCGTGACTGCCCAACTGGTTCTGCTCCTCGCACCGGTGGTGGCTTCGGTGGCTCCTCCGGCGGCGGTGGTGGCGGCCAGGAGTGCTACAAGTGTGGTCAAGTTGGCCACATCGCCCGTAACTGCTCCCAGGGTGGCGGGTATGGCGGTGGAGGGTACGGCGGCGGCCGTGGCGGCTATGGTGGTGGACGTGGCGGCTATGGCGGAGGCGGGTACGGTGGTGGTCAAGGTGGCCAAAGCGGTCAGACCTGCTACTCGTGCGGTGGTTTCGGTCACTTGAGCCGTAAGTCGAGAAGTGGCAAGTCTCATAACACGCATTTGCTAACACTTCACAGGCGACTGCACCCAAGGCCAGAAGTGCTACAACTGCGGCGAGGTCGGCCATCTGTCCCGCGACTGCCCATCCGAGGCCAGCAGCGAGCGCGTGTGCTACAAGTGCAAGCAGCCCGGCCACGTTCAGGCCATGTGCCCGAACTGATCGACTCGAATTTGAGAGCGACGGACCACACGACAAAGAGCAAAGCATTTCGGATGTTCATGCCGACAGCAAATACTTACCAACAAACACTGGATGGCGACCCTGACCGGGATGGGCAGCTGAAGTCAGAGCGGGAGTGGAAGTGGTGGTGGGCTGGAGGTGCGGGATTGTGTTTCGGGTTGCTTATGGGAAGGGTCAGGGTTCGTTCAAAGTATATTCAGCAAAGCGGTGAGCTTCGCAAAAGCAAGAAATTTTCATGAGTAGTTGGTGCCGCGGGTGCATCGTGTTTGCGCGCTCTTCGCGGGATTCTGCGAATGAAGGGTGGCAAATGGGAATTATGTGTGTGCTTTTTTATATCTAACGATCGGGTGGTTTTGTGGCGGTAGTGGTTCATGAGTAGTAGGTTGCTCAGGGCTTCTTCTGCTGAGCAAGTCATAGCGTAGTTGATGGGGTATCAGACAGCGGCTTTGACGCTTGTGCTGTGAGCTGAGTCATTACTGTATCCCGTGTCCTTGTCATCAATCACATGTACCTTGAGTTGCTGGACTTTAAGCAGATAATGAGAACAGTCTAGATGATCGACATCGCGGGTTGGTTTTCGGATGGGATCGAGGTCAGACTGAGGCTCATACGGCAGTGTCCTCTCTGTCTTGGTAACATCAAGAATAATGATAAAAACGCCGGAAACGCCTCGCTAATCGCAGGTAATGAACATTCCATCTCCCATAACCCAGTCCGAACTCATCTCCCCTGCTCTCGCTTTGCCCAAAAGGCAGCCTCAGACCCGCTTCTCATACACCTCCTTGCCCGCTCTTCGCTCCGGTTCCCATCCATTCCATCTTTCTCCCATCCTCATCGCCTACACATCCATTTCACACCCTTTCCTCCCATCGCCCACATACCCACTCCAATTCCCACTCACAACCTCGTCGGACTCAACGGCCGATTAAAGCCTCCGACGCGGTTCATATACTGTCGATACTCCGTCTTCTTCACCTTGTGCACCGCGTAATTCCTGTCATTCCCGGGGACTTTTGTGTTTTTCGTGGAGCGGAAGCCTTGGAAGCCCATTATGCGGGCTAGGAAGGCTTCGTCGTCTTCGTCCGAGAGGGGTTCGAGTTTTATGGGTGCTGCTGGTGCGGGTCGTGTGGATTGTGCTTGCGTTCTGCCACGTCCTGCACTGTGGTGGTTTGACCGATCGTTGTGGTTGCCTCGCCCTCCTCCTAATCCTCTGTTTCCGCCGCCCGGACCTCGCGCAGACGGCGGCGGCGAATCTCTGTCCCGCCCCCCTCTCCCACCACCATATTCTCTTCCTGCTCCCGCTCCCGGTCCAGCACCACTCCCTCCCCTCCCTCCTCCTCCTCCTCTAGCGCCAGGCGGTCGATAAGGCGACCTCTCCCTCCTTCGATTGTCTTCGCGCCGTTCTCGTGGCGCGGGGGATCGTGATCGTGAGGTTCGGTCTAAAATAGAGTGTTAGTCGAGGTGTCGCGTAGGTGTTTCTGGGTGGGAAAGGGAAGATACCATAGCGTGGATTGTAGTCGCGGTCGTCGCGGTGGGAGCGATCGGGTTGCCGGGGTGGTCGGTCCATTGTCATCTGTGTGGGAAGTGTTGGCACAGATCGTGATTTGGAACTTGTCGAAGTCATAGTTTGCGCGAGTCATGCAGACAAAAGTTACAGATTTGGGCATGTGACAGAGACCTATATATCTAGATACGGTCATTAAATACCGTGCCGCACTCGTACATCACAAGTAGACCACAGAGACTTGACTGTGGACAGTTATGATTGTGAATTTGCATGATGTTGTACACTTCTTCCCAGCTAATCTATACATGGTCCATAACGCTGTGCATTTGGATCCGCTAAACGATAAGCCCATCGCGAAACGCTCTTTTGCTTTTCCATCGCTAAAGCTCCAAGTATGGCGGAATAGTTGCGACACATGATCAGATCAGGCGCTCCAAGGACTCCAAGAAGTATCTCACTCCTTCCATTCTGTGTGTCTCAGCCACGAGGGGGTGCTGGGCCTCCCCTACCCCTTCCACCACGACCCCTGCCCTCGCCATCGCCACGTCCACGGTCTCCACCCCTGAATTCCCCTCGTCCACCACGTCCTCCTCTGAAGTCTCCGCGTGGTCCGCCTCGACCACGTCCACGGCCTCGGAAGTCCCCACGGCCACCGTGCCCACCACGTCCCTGATGACGATTGATTTCCTGGAAACCATCCTCGGCGGCCGCGGGAGTGCCGTCCGTGGCGCCGTTGACGTTCGCGGGGGCTGGCGTGCCCCATGCATCATCCGTGCTTTGGGTCTGACCAGCTGCCTTGGTGTTCCATGCCTCACCTGCTCGGTTGCCGGTAGCTTCGGTGTTTGTGGTCGAAGATGCGGCGTTCGCTTCATCTGCCCAGCTTGTCTTCTCTTCTTTGAGCAGTCCGTCGACCGCGGTACCGGCAGCAGGTGCAGCGGAGGGTGCGGAGGGAGCTGGGATGTCCACTTCCTCATTTGGTCGTGGCACGATCTCGTAGCTCTCATCCTCCAGGCCTTCGGCTTGCGCGCCGCCAGCACCTGTGTCCCAACGATCACCTGCCTGGTTGCCGCCTTCGTCGCCTGCCGACGTTTGGATGGCGGTGGAGTCGTGCTCGGTGGCTGTTACACCATTGACATGGGCGCTGTCGGGTGCCTCGAGCTCAGTCAGGCCGGCGTTGACGAGTGTTGGGTCGGAGCCAGCAGGCATAGCATCCGTTGCTGCCTCTTGAGCGGCTTGGGTCTCGCCAGTGGCTGCGTTTGCTTCAGCTACGGAGTCTACCCATGCCTCCTCACTCTGGAAGGGCGTGTTCTCGGTCGATGCTTGGCGAATCTGGGAGTCTGTCATGTATATTAGCCTAGCTCAGTCGCATGAATAGAAGATATACTCACACTTGACAGACGACGGAACGCCCTCAATACTAGGCACCAACTCATCACTCCCCTCAATAATTGCCACCGCAGCATCGACAGCCTTCTCATCACCCCCATACGCCAACAACAAAGCGCCCTCGAACGCATCATTCTCCGCCGGGTCAGAAGTATCCTCTACGTTCCTCTTCGCTGCAGCTGTACGCAGGAATTGAGAGAAGATGAGCAGCTTCTTCCTCAGGTCAGACGCGGAAGTGGATGTTGCGGACATTTTAGCCTCCTCACGTGCCTTCTCCAGCTCCTTCTGGTGATGCGAGGTGAGGTCGTCTTTTTGCTTGGTGAGTTGGGTTTGATAGTCGTGATCTACACTGCGGAAGACCTTGACCTGCTCCTCGTCGTGCTGGACCTGGGATTGGAGTTGTGGCTTCTTCTCGGCCGCTGCTTTCTGATCCGGGTTGATCTTGCGTTGCTTGACCAGATCATCCAGTGACACGCCGGCATTCTCGCTGATGACTGCATCCGTCTTCTGCAGACCGGCGAGGCGTTTGTTGATGGTGCGGATCTGCTTCTGCATCTCCTTGAGGTGGGGATGCTCGTAGGCGCCATTGCCATTGCCATTGCTGTCGGCTGGATCGGAGCCTTCTTGTACTGGTGTCTCGGGGATGGCTGTTTGCTGGCCTGCGTCGGCTTTGGCCTTCTTCTTGCGTGCCGACTTGGATTCCGTCGTGGCCGCGGGAGGCTGGTTTTCGATGGTTGCCGAGGACATGGTGCGGTCTGTAGGTGTATTGTGATGGGTGTGTGTTTTGTTGTAGTGAATGGATATTGATTGGGCGATGTACAATGGGAGATTATGCTGCTTGTCACGCAGTAACTGGAGCTGATCCAAAAGTCGAATGCTCCGAGCGTGACAGCTCACGCGACAGTGGAGCTGAGTCCGTATATATACGGACTAGTGTAGATCTGATCTGAAGATAAGATCCTCGTTCGTGTGCCTGACTCGTGCCTACTGTTCGACATCGACGACTATCTGATCTGCGCTCGCGGAGGATTAGAGGGTGGCAGTCGGAGCGGAGGTACTGGTCACCATGTCTCCTCTACCTTCAGCAGAGACAGTGGTGGCAAAGTGCAAGATGGACGTCGCACTCATGCCACCACCACCGCTACCAAAACGACAGAAGCGACCAGCCAAAGTCCTGGACGAGGATGTCTACTCCGACGCTCTATCTCATATCATCGCACGTGATTACTTCCCTGGTCTGCTGGAGAGCGAAGCACAGCAGGAATACCTCACAGCCCTCGACTCGAACAATAACGACTGGATCCGAGATGCTGGCCGGAAGTTGACCCAGGTCATGACGCCTGGTCCGGGAGGGAGGAGGAGAGGGACGAGCTTCACCCCAAGACGGAGCACTGCCGTTGGAGATACGCCTAGAGGATATGTGGGATCGACTCCAGTACGGACACCCATGACCGAGCGAGGAGAGGATCACTTTGCCGCCGAGCAGGAGCCAGAGGTGGATGTGAACATGAGCTTGGGTGCATTTCAAGCCAAGTACACTAGTGAGGACAACGAGAGCTTTAATGCTCTACTCGACAAGCAGAATGTCAAGCGAGCAGTCAAGTACGAGTTCTTTCACAGAGGCAACAAGATACCAACGACACGACAGATTGCGTATAGAGCGCGAGAGCAGAAGCTACTGGACAACGGCACCAGCTCTAACTCGCTTATCACCACCAATGCTGCTGGGGAAGAGCGACAGGCAATATCACATGCACGACCATCTCAAGACCTGGACACTCGCCCAGCATCTGTCGACAGCTTCCCAAACCGCCAAGGACCACGCAACCACTTCATGTTCGGCCCAGACGGAGTGGAGGACTACACAGTGACTGCAGCGGAAGACAGACAAGCCAAGTCCCTCGCCCCGCCCAAAAATGTAACCCACACCGCCACCCGCCTCCCATCCGAAGCAGATCCAGCCAACATCTCCCGCATCCCAGCCAGTCCATCGCTGAGTGCAATCGATGCCGCTATCTCCCGCCGCCCAAAACCCACGGACTCCGAACCAGGATACTCGGGAGCAGAGACCCCACGGGTCAACGGCTACGCTTTCGTGGACGCGGAACCTTCTCCTTCTGAACTTGGCGTGCCCGTCTCGGACGAAGAAGCCGATGCGGCGGAGAGGGAGGAAGTCATGAAACTGCTCCCCAGAGCTGATGGTGAAGGAGGGAGGAATCCTTTTAGTCTTTCTGAGAAAAGCGCGAGGGAGGAATTGCACCTCCGGCTTGTGGAGAAAGCTGATACGGCGAGGAGGAAAGGTGGAGTAGCTGGGGGTGGTAGTGGTGGGAGGTTGGGGCAGTTGAGAGAATTGGGGATCACGCCGGGACGGACGCCTACGCCGAGGTTCGCTAGTGCACCGAAGACTCCTGGGAGGGGTTTGGGAGCGTTGACGCCGGCGGCTAGGATGTTGGCTGCTAGTTTGGGGAAGACGCCGAGGAAGGGTGGCGAGGATGTTGGGGGTGGTGGGAAGGGATCGCGGGAGATGGGAGGTGGTACGCCCAAGTCTAAACGCGTTGTATGATATCCGCTGAGCCTGGAAGACTTTCACGATGCACGGTTTGATACTTTACGAAGTTAGACGAGCCCTACGGCATCCTCAAAGTTAATCTACGAGCAATAGCTATTACTTTCGCTTACTAGAGACTGTTAGCTTGCGTGCAAGCTATGGCTCACCTACAGAGAAGGCCCATCATGGCTCGTTGGAGATGGCCTTTGTTCCAAACTATCTGACATATTATTGACACACCTACGTCCTATGCATTTGCGCATATGACCTCGATACTCTTGGAAAGACGGCCGATTTTGTCTTGGTATGCTGACTCGTGGAACGCATAAAACTTGGAACGAAGCGTTTGGTTGTGCTTCTCGATTTCCTGGCGGTCGACCATGCTGCTCAAGGGCTGTACACTTGCGGTGATCTACTTCGGTCGAAAGGGACTATGGGCTCGGCGGATTGATCTTGGTATCATGCTTCATTTGCAAAAAGCCCACTGGTCGCTACTACGAGTGCCGCCGCTACATTTGCGAGCTGTGTGATAGCTGGGATCTCGTACCCGGATCATCGCACGTTGTATTCAGGCGAGTGAATCTGGTTTGGTCTGATCCTGCTCTTGGATTGGTAAGCTCAACCCTCGACTGGTGGTTGATGTGCTCAGCGGTCCTTGTAATTGCTGGTGGGAGCATGCTATCAGTATAGATTATTAAGCTTATGCTGAGTTCCTTAATAATGGCAGCTATGAGGCGATGAGTCTGTTCCCGGCTCCCGAGCTGGTCCTCTCGGCATTCGTATGCGAAGGCACGTATGTTTGCATTTCTGGGAACCGACCTCATGGAACTAATTTGGTGGATGTTGGTCTAGTCTACTGCCTTCAGCCCTGCTTACATGCTCCTGAACTCTGCGGTCTTGTACGGTTGCTTTCTTGACGGCGACTCTAGGCTACCTGACGGACATGATTGGACTCGATGCTTTGATCATGGCCTGCTGAAATTGCTCTGGTATGCAGTCTCATACAAGTAATAGATCTTGACGGGAAGTATCTCTTGGCTGCTGCTTCTCGCTTCCATTACGGTCGATTATCGTGCCAGGTCCCTGTACGCTGCCGTTTGCGAGCAAGAGGCGCTGGGAGATCGGATACTGGGCTGCTGAATGGATTGTGATGAACTCCTGGTCTGGCTCTTGCTCTCAACGCCGGACAACATGATTGTATATCTGGAGTTCTAAACACCAACGCTTGTAAGCTTGGTTGTAGGGGAGATGATTGATTCAATACATCTATTTCGCACTATGTCTAGCATGCTATTCATGATCCTCCACCATGCTGACACCCGCTATGCACTCTCTCCTCGGTCCCGGTATACTTTACCCCACGACAATCACGCCTTCTTCTCCTCCGTCACCCTCGTCATCCTGCTCCCAGCCATAAAGATCCGGGTCCTCGTCCGTGGGAAGCGGATTCGACTCGTCCGGCTCAAGATTCTCGACTTGAATCCAGTCCTCCACTGTCATCATCATCTGCAAGCCCTCGCCGCCCTCGTCAACAGCGAATGCGTCCAAGTCGACGGCAAGATCTTGGGGCAGATCGTGTTCGGTCACCAATTCGCGGGCAGAATCTCGAGTGGTGATGCTCTCGCCGTCGCCGAATTCAGAATCGTACTCCCACGACTGCAGATTGGAATCGTACACCTGCCCATATCCATCGACCTGATCACCGTCCTCGTCCGGCGTAGCGACGTTCACGCCGTTATTTGCCGCATCCTCTGCGGACTCGCTCAGCATCGACTGGAAATGCGGCTGGAATGCCGTCCAGATCATAACAAGATCTGGGTTTGCATTGTTGGGGTAGATGCTTTGACGGAAGATGTTGAGGAAGTAGTAGACTTCTGCGTCTCGAGCTGGATCGCCTTGTTGCAAGTGGTATCGGAGAGTAGCCGCTGGGTGTTGCCAGTCTTGGTAGTCGAGGAAGTGGGCGAGACTCGACTTTTGCTTGGCTGGGAGCAAGGCATCGCCGAAATTGATGGTGATGGTCATGTGGACGTTGACTTGTACATTCGCCAGTCGTGTACGGCCGAGTGGCGTAATGCGGCGCAGGAAGTTGAGGAGGATGTCGCAGTTGAAGTCAATGAGGACCACGTCAATTGTCGGGACTTCCATATCGAGGACTTTCTTGTTGAAGAGCGGGAGGTATTCGGAGCGGCATTGGTAATTGAGGAGCTTCATGGTGTGGCTGAAGGGTACGATGCCTATGCTTGAGCGATTTGCTGACTCGCTGCGCCGAGTGACTCTTGATTTTTGTGCTATGAGATCCACCCGGTAAGGGAGGAGAGTTGCCGTGTCGCTGTTCATGATGTAGGAGTAGATTTGGTTGCGTGTCTCGGCTAGCAAGGCTGCAAAGAATGGTGAGTTGGATATCGATCCAGCCTTCGATTGTGTGTTTGTCGCCATTTCTGCAATGGAAGGCAGAAGCTTTAAGAGCCGACAATGTTGAGTTATTTGTGTGTTGAGCTGTAAGTGATGTCGAAGGAAGGCGTACTAATTCTGAGCGCCAAGACTTTGCATGTGAGTGGGATCGTGGCACAACAGTTGTGGCAAGTGAGTGAATGGAAGGGAAACGTGCAGCATACGGCTCTATCTCCTATCCGCTCTACCTAATGATCGTTGGGGTGAAGACTCCAAAAAGGCCAAGGACAGTGCCTTGATTCGCACTATTGAACATGTGCACTGGCGCGGGGGCTGCAGGTATGAGATGCATCGGAACGGCAGTATTCTGGATGATGCCTTCGCAACCCATGCATTGGAAGATATGGGAATCTGCAAGCTTGTGAACTTCTTTTCCGCAACGACAGGCACGGTATCTCTTCTGACCATGGCGACGACCTTTACGAGTTCCGTGTGCGGTGGCGCGTCTGAGGTTGACTGGATCCCACGCTATTGTCTCCAGAAAATGCACAACTTGGTCACGCCAGGTCATGCGGTACTGGAGGTCCGGCGGCGTGTTGAATGCTGGTGCGATTGGCAGAGGATTGTACATGCTGGTTACGATATCTGCCCAATGCTCGATACACCTGACAGCTGGGAGAGTTGTGGGAGTGAACAGCGGCAAACACGTACAGGTGTTGACTGGATAGTTTGTGGCTGCGTTGGCTTGCGCGGCTGAATGCCTTGGTAGGACATAGTTTGCAGTCCTCGGCGTAACGCCCGGTGGCGGTGCTGTCCCCACAAGGGGGTTCCAGAGTCTCGCGTCGATGAGGAGTTGCTCTGAGACCTCACAATCTGTGCACAAGCGAGTCCAGAACCCAATCCAGCGGTGGTTGCCAGTTTTTTCTCTTGCTGGTGGAGTGCTGAGTCGCCTCATGGCGGTGACCATGAATGGTTGCTGTTTGATGTGAAACTGACAGAAGTGACAGACCCGCCTCGGCAGACCCCCTGGATTGCAACCTGCTGGGATTGCACAGACCGGTCGAGTCCACGGCACAATACCGCCGTCAACACCAAATTGGCCGGAAGTGTTGTTCACCGTGCCAACATTTGGATTATTGGCGACCGACGAGCATGGATTGGTGTAATCACGAGTCTGATAGTTGTTCCAGATAGCACCGCGGATCAGTCTGTCGTCACAGTCTCCTGCGGGACGAGGTAGCACCCCGGGGGAAGGACCTGGTGCCACATAATTTGCCATTTTCGCAGACGCCGCTGGTCGTGATGAGAACAGACTCGAGAAGGTGGTACTTACATAAGATTCCACGAGTCACTTGTGCTGTGCTCCACGAAGCGTGCTGAACAATGGCCAGCTACATCCGATTTAAACAAAGACGAACAACCCTTTGAGCCTACCATTCGTGCATTGGTCGGAAGCAGCGCTCATGAGCAGCCAAACAAAGAGATAGTCCGTCTTAGGACATCCGAGTTATCGTGCTAGCCTGACAGCGAATATCGAGTAGTGACTGGCCATGCGTGGAGTGGAAGACATTGTGCGTTGCAAGGTCAGATGGCATATTGAAGACATGAGTTGATATGATGTCTAGAAGTACTCTCCTGGCGACACATAGCAAGAAGAAATGCAGAGGTTGCTTCGATAGCTCGCGTCATTCCTGGCAACATGGACAGCGTCTTGCCCAGCACCGAGTCAGAAGCCATAGACGGAAGATTTCCAGCGCATATATGTATTGGATGGAGGTGAGGGTTGTGTGTGAGGTTTGACTCCAACGGATGATCCCGCATCCGCATCGGGTAACATCGCGACGTCGAGATGGCCATATGCATATACCTCCCTCAGATCTTTGTTACCCATATCATAGCATATTATGCTGACACCTATCGCTCGCCATGGCGCATTCAGCGCTATGCGAATAACACGCTCTAGCCTCTGCAAATCCTTCTCGACCTCACCAGCACTCCTTAAGAACCGCATCTACCCCAGCACCGTTCGTAGCGAGTCCGAGCTGGAGACGCTCACATTGATGTCCGCTAGTACACGCGTGCCATTGATCACGCTATGGATGACCAACTGGTGTGCCTCCTGTAAGGTCGTCTCCCCTCTGATCCGCAGTCTGATACAGGACGAGAAAATCGGGGAAAGCTCAGGAGGTGTCTCCTTCGCCGAAGTGGAGATGGACAGCCCTGATATGGGTGGGCTGGCAGGACTGCCATTGCGGTACGGTATCAATAGCATACCTACGCTGCTTGCTTTCGATCGGCAAGAGCCGCAGATTGAGACCAAGGTTGCGCGATTGGACGATTTGAAGTCCAAGGAGTTCTTGAGGAAGTGGATTGAGACTGAGGCGGCTAGACATGGCAGCGGAGGGGCGGGAGGTACATTCAGGGGTCTGTTCGGTCGGTAAACGGATGGTCTTCGTGGTAGGATCTACAGGTCACGCCTCCATGACACGACACGGCGATTGCTAAGGCCCGAGCTTAGAAACGCCGTACGTGCTTGAAAGCATTGTTGCACCCACCGAATGATCTGCAATTCGCCTGGTCCAGGCCACGAGTCGCCCTCCGACATGGCAATGACATGGACGAAGTCATTTCCCACCTCGAAGAACAGAACTTTCCGGTCGAGCTTCGCAACATGGTTTACGACCACGTCGGAGGGTAGGACAAGGTCGTGGTCGCCAGACCAAGCGGCAGGGGTCGATCATATCTATCGCGGCGGCACTGGAGAAATCTTTTGCACGACCAATCGACGCACGCCAGGTCGACGGCCGTATGGACGTCAATGCCATGTGTTTCGTGGCAGGGACTTTGTTCGACGAGGCGAATATGTAGGGCGCGGTACCGTGCGATGTCCTTGCTGCGAAAAGTGACGTTGTGGAGGATGAGGCATCGCTCGAACATGAGGATCGAAATGACTATGAAGTGGCACAGGCCATCAAGCGCGAAGACTTGGAAGTTGAGGTCGACATGGAAGAGCCGCAGGCAGATTATTTCCGGCAGGTTCCAAGACAATCCAGCAACGCCGGGGTTCTCAGTCGAAAAGAACAGGTGCAAGCACCTCCGCCACCGCAAGCTAATGGTGGTCCAAGGAGATTCAAGTCCCCTCCGCCCCCAATCTGACGTCCACCAGCATGAGAGTTTCCGCTGGCGATAGTGTAGCATGGATTAGAGACTGCGAAGTCCTTGGCTGTGTGGAATTCTCAGATGCGGGAACGTTGTGAGCAACTGGTCTCTGCTTTCATATGGTATGTATCAATTATGGCTATAAAGATCGAACAGGCTTACAATTTTGCTATTGTAGTGTCCTGTAGCGTCCGGTCTGAGCATTCAGTACAACATATGGTCTTTCCTTGGCACATATCCCGCATATTCCATCTGCCTTGTAAGGCTGGTCTGTCCACAAGATGCGGTTATCAAATGTCTCGCGTCCGGTGTCCATTGCCTGACGGGCTTGTTCGGTAGCTTCCGAGATCTCGCAGATACGTAGGAGCGTACCAGCCACACCGTGCTCGTCGAGGCCGTCAGGCAGTAGTTGCCCGCAAAGCCCGCGACCAGTGTCTGTGTCGATGTATTTGTTGAACCAGTCCACTTTAGTACAATTGCACTTCGTGGAGAGGCAACTTCGTGGGAGCCTTTCCCATAGTCCTGCTCGGCCGTGAGCAACGGGACCAACGTGAGTACCGTACAGGTCGACATGATTCAGATCCTTCAATAGTACAGCCTTGTTATGGATCCACTCAGCGCAGAGACGTTTATCGACGAAGTTTCTCAAGTGGAATTTGAAGGAGTTGAGGCGGTAGTACGCTGTCAGGACTTCCTCCTTCAGGAGTGGCGAGGCAAATGCCATCGCTGGAAGTTGTTCTTTCCACCTCATCCAACGCACTAGCAGGACATCATCAGGAGATGTGCTCGCTTGGTAGATGCCTTGGTGTGGCGATTTAGTCCTCGCTTTGATCCTTGCTTTCCGCTGTTCTTCTTGACGCTGGGCATATGCTTCGGTATATAAGCAGTCGTACTTGAACCCGATTCTGACTGCTCTATCCTTCTTCAGAGCCTGAGCATATGTAAGGTCTCGCAGTTCACGAGGCAAGTCCAGGAAGCACATTTCATGCCTTGATTGCTGCCGTCGGGTGGCACGTTCAGACGTCGGTGTAGTAGTCGGGTCAGCGACACCGGTGCCTGGATACACTAGCTCTAAGCCATCGCCAAAGTCGTCCATCTTGACAGGATGTAGGCCTAGATGAGACTGTGTCAATAGTGACGCTCGCCTTCATCTTTGCAAGTCTGTTGTGCCGAGCCCGAGGTCGCTTGTGAGTCATACTGAATCCTTAGACACTCCATCCTTGAGTCTATGGATTCCACGACGAGTCATTTCCATGCAGCATCAATATGTTGATCGGATAGGGCAGCTCATTGCCCCGACACGAGGTAGCGTGTCGGGACTGAGTGGCGACATGGCGATTTGGCAAGAAATCCTAGTTTTCACGTTGGCACACGCAGAAGGATTATCACGGTGAGCGAACGACAGCGATTGTTGGCTGACAACCTATGGATACGTTGCAACGTGTGCGTGTGGTTTTGTAGATAGTCGCCGAAAACGATCGGCAGGCTGCCAAGCTGGCCACTTACAGCATGGCAGGATCATGACTTGTGACGCTCGCGTATCACAGAACGGTCTTGTCTGGACTTATCTCTCCGAATGGGGGGACAGAGTTCTGAAAGGAGCATACTGTATCAAACCAGGTTAACAACATGTAGATCGGCTTTCTCAAACCATCCAGCTGCAGCCACCAGAACCTCACCTTGCTTCGGTGACTGTGAGCGGACTGCAACTCCAACCCGTTGGTATGTGTTTTCTTCATCGATGAGCGGCACTAGTACCAGCGCGATCCAGCAATCCCTTCGCTCGCTTTCGGCACTACTATCATACTCGTACACACCGACCTGTAAGCACACGACTGCTCTTGGCTTACTGTAGTCAACGACTGCCTCTGGCTCTGAGAAGTCGGGGAAGAACATGGCCACCTTGGCGTTGCGCTCTAATGGGTCACAAACGTCCAGTATTGGACCTCTGCCTTGCCAAGGGGAATCTTCTCCAGTCATGATCACAGCTTGCTCTAGGTGTCCCTCAAGAGTGAGTCGTCCATGAGTTACGACACCAAAAGCATCTTTACCTCGAGGAGCTACGTCATAAGCCTTGAGTCGAAGGGTCGCTCGCAGAATCTTCTCGTATTGCCACCAGACTACTAGACCTTTGATGTGTGCCCAAGACCAGGTAGGAACCGTATCAAATCTCACGGTCTTTGGCTCATCCCTCCAGGACTGCGTTGCTTTCATCCGAAAGTATTTGATCCACGCCAGACACTTCGGAAAGTCTTCTATCCAGACACCGGCGGCATACGTACTTTGGTGCAAAGCCTGGAACTTACTGGCAAGCCCGGACAGTGCCGGGAGCTTGTCATGTGAGACGGTAAGTCCACATTCGTTGTAATGGTAACCAACAAGGGAATACCAGTTGTTTGCGTCCTCTTCGATCGCTCTGCTTGAACTGAACTCGGTCTTGCCGCGTGGAAAGGGTGCAACAACGCACTGTGTCCAGGACCCTTCAGCCCAACTTGCTTTCTGACATTCGAAGTATGTCTGACGACGGCCGAAGTAGAGGTTGCGATGAGAAAGTAGTCGTTCCTGGAGTACCCATGCTCGAGAGCGCAGTGGAGCATCGCCCTCTGACCCCACACCTGTGGTATCCCCACCTACGTCTTCCGGCGACATAGCAACGAGACGAATTGTATCGGCTTCTCCCTCATTCGAAAGCTCTAGTGGAAAGTCGATGGGCTCGAACGCAGGAGTAGGCCTTGGAAAGAGAAAACCGGCGTCAGAATTCTCAGCTTCTGGTCCGGCAATCGTCACAGCAGCATTTGCGAAAATCCTTGCCATCTGCGAGCATTCTCGCTCCCAGTCCTGCTTGCTATCCTGAACAATGCAAAAGCAGTCAACCCAGAGGTAGCGGAAGCCCAATTTTCGCGTCGCGGTCACGGCGTCGTAAAAGGTTGGCGGCAGTGTCGTCATCGGTATGTCTTTGAGATATGCCTCATAGTTGATAGATGTTGTCACAGGCTTTTTTGTCTTGCCCCAGCAATGACTGAGTGCGACGTAGATACCTTGCATATTTGTACTTTCCACCAGTCTCATACCAAGCTCGCCGCCACTATCGTGTGATTCAAGGTCTAGGACTCGTGAAGGAAGCGCAAGTGATGCTATAGTCCCACAAGCCTCATGATCCTTCGAGCAGTCCCAGATCCACTTCTTATATAGATCAAAGTCATGATCGACCGGTATCACGCGCCCTGGAAGACTCTCTGTCTGTCCAGTCATCGAGCACCATCTTGTCCTGACATATGTGTTATCCCATATATCTAGAGGGTCTTCGTCGTCATCGTGGGAATCCAGGTGCTGACCAGCACGTTGGTAATGGACACCCCACTGATTGTAAGCGACTAGAAAGCCTCCGCTGTTGTCTCTATCGTCCTGAGCGAGCTTCATACTGGCGGCGTGGGGGTCAAGACCCAGTTTTACTGCCGTCTCGCCCACGATGGAGGCTAGAAGGACTTCGCATAGCTTGCAACCTGCCGCAACCGCAGTGGTCAGAGCAACATGGTCAGCGTGATGAAGAAGAGGGGGGAACGAGCCGCAGCCATCTAGATCTTGGACTAGACCAGAGATATCCAGCGCTCGACACTCCTGGCAAAGTATCCCGTCAGCCATGTTGGAACAAATGGAAAGCTGCTGTTGCTTGGGATGGACGAGTAGCTGATGCGGGGCAGCTCCACGCTACTCACGGACATCCGCGATGCATGAGGGAGTCCAAGTGACGAGTAGATCTGAGAGTGATCGCATTGTCGTGAGCATTGGCATGAGTCTCTGCATTTCCAACCGGCGACGCCCGCTTCATAACCTGGCCTTGACAAGCCCAAACCTCACTGCATCAACTTTCTCTCTGTCCTTCGCGGCAAAAACAGGTAGCCCAGTCCTCCAGCCCGTTCCGAACTCTCGAATCAACTTCTGAGCCTGCTCACCACCAAGCCACTCAGCAAACTCCCACGCCAGCTCGTTCCTCGGTGCCTTTAGATTGACCAATGCCGAACACGGGTTTAATAGATGCTTTCCTTCATCCACGAAAGCTCTCGTCTCAGGGACGACTCCATCACGCTTGGCACAGAGATAAGTAGCTCGATCAGTAAGAATGTAGACTCCTACTTTACTTGCGTGGACAAGCGTTGGGTATGGTGCTAGTGGGACCCGTTCGCGCCACGATGCTGAGGTGCTTAGGTCGATGCCGCTCAGACCCCAAAGTTGGAGTTCTTTGTAGGATGTTGCTGAGCCGTCGCCGCGGTGGTGTGTCGTGATTAATTTGGCCTGGCGGCCATGTTGCGCGATAGCGCGGAGAGCAAAATAGATAGCCAGATTACCACAATTTTCGCTTTTCGAGACATCCAAGACTCCAGCAGGATCGGAAGTTGGTCCTACAAGTATGAATCTGTCATTGAACACCCGCGTGACACGTTTCGCCCAGCCCTCGCGAATTCCTTGGTCTTCCCAGTCGGGCTCGTAGGTGAGTGCGACTTGCACAATACCAGCTAGCAAAGCGACCTCAGTATGTCTGCTATGATTAGCGACCCATTCGATGTGGAAAGGTGGTGTTGCGGTGGCGTGGCATTTGTGGGCAATGAATGCTTCAGAGAGGATTTTGAGTATGCCGGTATAGCCTGCGCCTCCGTTTCCGAGCCGGAAGCCCAGTGGAGCGGATGGGTCGCCGAAGGGCTCTGTAGTGGTCGTGTTGATGTAATTACTAATGGCCGGATCCAGCTCTGGTCTAAGGAGGGCTGAAGGTGAATACCGAGCTAGGATTGGATCTTGAACTTATGGCGACATCAGCATGATACACGGTAGAATGTGAATTGTGATTTGTTCGTACTATGCACTGCACCCGCAAAAGCGGGATCCGTACTGCCAGGTGCCATATCAGGATGCAGAAGTACAAGTAGGTGCATGGATTGTCTGTACGCTGAAGCAGCAGGGACGATTCAAGAGGTGACATCTGAGACGTGGGGAAGTCGCGGCCGTGTCGGAAGTCAGTCACAGTAGTGCCTGGACGGATTGTAACGAGAAGCCAACAACATCTGATGCCAATATGCACAGCTATCAAAGCTGTAGACTCGACGATGCTCAGTTGTAGTAGATGATATAAACAAACCCATTACTGCTACGACCTCTCTTAGCCAACTATCTCCCTCGCCGCTCCCTCTCCAGCCCTCAGCGCTCCGTCCATATACACCACCCAGTCATCAGCACTCTCAGTGCCCGCCCAGTAAATCCCCCCTAAAGGCCTCCTCAACGCCTCACCATACCTCGTCAGCGTTCCGGGCCCTGCAACAGCCACTGGGCCACCACGAGAGAAGACCTCGTTAGCCCATCGCTTGAAGACCCACTCCGTCGCGCTCGCCGCCTGAGGACCGAAGTACCGTACAAGGTCTTTCGTGATGAGCTCTTACGTTTCCCCCCGGTCGCGGAATCAAGTGCACGCATCTGATCTGCTTCGATGAAGCCTAGGATTGGACCGTAGCTGGCATCTTCGGGGGAGACGTCGAAGGTTGTGCGGACGTAGCCTGTGGAGGAGACGGCTTGGCCTGTGAGGCTTTCGAAGGTGGAGGTGTCAGATGAGATGAGATAGTCGTCTGTTGAGCGCTGGGTGATTGAGAGCACAGGAGTGTTGAGTTTGACATGCTGCAGTCCGATGCGCTTCGCCAGTCCTTCAGCAAGCAGTCCAGTCCCACCGAGGATTCTTGACTCCTGGCTATCACTGGCCGTACTAATCAAGCACTCAAACGCACCTGGAGTGGTGGCGTTCCCAGCAGCTGCTATGTAGGCCAAAGTATACAAGAACGATAGCTCGCCAGCCTCTGCGGAGAAGATGGCAGGGATAGAAAGGTTGAGAACTGTGTTGACCGTATCAGAGGCAAATGTCTCGTTCGCCCAGAATTGCAAAGTCATCGCATCCAAGACACTGGCGTACGGATGGTTCCAGGGTGTCGTGACATTGATCGATGCTACATAAGCGTCGCGCAGGATAAGAGCATCGACGATCTCTGTGCCGGCTTGTGGCCCGAGTGCATCCGCGAGCCCGGCAGCCGAGTAGGAGCTACTTATTTAATTGACGAAGAGCAAGTTCGAGCCGTTGTGGTATCCCGAAAACACCTGGAGGTCGAGGTGTGGGCCAAGGCAAGCATATAGTCCTGCGTTGGTCCGACGAAAGCTGCGCCAAGCTCTTTAACGCCGCCGTTCTTGAGATGAAAATTCTCCACGCGACGGCCTACTCGACCGCGGGCTTCGAGGACGACGAAGGACTTGTTGGCTTCTCGTTAGTGTGCGAGCGGCAGCGAGGCCTGATAGGCCGGCTCCTATGATGGCGACGTCGTGAACATCAGTGGAAGTGGGTGCAGAGGGAAGGCAAAGCGTTCTTTGGCCGAGAGCGACTGGAATAAAATATATAATTGAAGCGACGACTTCATGACTGATGACTGACGCGGTGGTCTATGTTGGTGGACGCAGGGCGACGGATTCGATGGGTAAGGGCTGTGTGACTGGCTAAAGACTCGTCGAGGAACATCCGCGCATTAGATATATGCTATCATGGCTTGAATTATCGCACTCGTATCGTGTGTGCTTCGCCGATCAAGGTCCTGTGTCATGAAGGTGCGCCAGATTGTCATATGAGGAGTTGCGGCCCTGTCTAGGGGCGCTTGTCGAAAGTGCATCCTGTCCTGGGTCTCGTTGTTGCATGTCGCAGGACAGTCAAATATACTTTTGTCCATTGTCTCGAGCCGAGCTCGGACTCCTAACAACCTTCGCCCTGGAGTCGAGCCGAGGCATGCTGTAGAGCCTTGGCACATCTCGCTGCGATGGTGACAATGTTCTGCTAACCAGAGGAGTGATATACTGCATGCACGAGTCGGATAACTTGTCTGTTGCATCGTAGACAAAGACATGAAGCACGTCTAAGTCTTGATTCTGGTGCTTATCTTCACTCCCGCAGCCCACATCTCCACTGCCCTACGGCAACACTGAGTCCCAGACGAATGTCCGACATGCCGTCGTAGGTCAGGGCATGATAGGGTGAAAGCAGAGTAGAAAAAAAGCAGCCGGAAGAATAACTTCACCTCATCCAACTCAACTTCTCTCCACCACCACCAGGGCCCACACTGACACTTCCCGCATTTGCACCACTGTCCTTCTCCCACGGCTTCTTCCTTCTCTGAGCAGAAGCATCCGAAGCCTGGCCTTCCAGTATCCTGTCCGGAATGTCCTTGATTCCGGGAATGGGTTTGCCTTCGGCGATCATATCACAAATGTCCGCGAAAGTCGCAGGTTTGGGCGCGCTACCCATTCCTCCGTCCGCAACAACGGCGGCAGATGCAGGAGCTGTACCGTTGGCTGCTGTATATCCGGCTAGTCCATTGGCATTGAGGGGTGGATCCTGGGTTGTATTGTTCTGCTCGGATAGTCGCCACTGCCTGTAACCTTCGAAGTCCACGGTAGTACCAGTCTTGCGGGCATAGTAGTAACATTTCGCTCGTGTCGTGATTCGTTCTACCTGGTCTGGGTCTTGCACTGAGCCGAGTATTGCTCGAAGACCACCTTGGAACTCCTCGTCTTCATCCCACGGGTAGGCATTCAGCTGGTGGAAGAGGAAGGTGTGATCTGATAAGACGCTATCTGCATCCTGCATAGCTTGTGTGGCCATCCTTGATATCAGGTATCACCCGGCCTCCATGGACCTGTTATGTGTTAGTTACGCCTGATTCGAAGTCCGAGTGAAGGAGCCATTGCGGCAGATCTTCGGCTGACTCAAGCTTGCCAGCCGCACTCAATTGACCTCCAGCTGTTGCTTCACACAACCACAACATTCGCATCTCACAAGATCACCCTTCTCTCTCCCCCTCTCGCCCTCTTCTCCCCTTGCGTATTCCCCGCCCACGATGTCGGAATACATCGGGTCTCGTATCTCGCTCATCTCGAAATCCGACATCAAATACATCGGCACATTGCATGAAATCAACAGCGAAAACCACACCGTCGCCCTCGAAAGCGTCACCTCCCATGGCACCGAAGGTCGTAAAGGAAATCCTGCGGAAGAGATCTCCGGCAGTGATCACGTGTACGAGTACATTGTCTTCCGGGGAAGCGATGTGAAGGAGCTGAATATCGTTGCGCCGCCGGCGGAGACGACGAGGGAGAATGAGAAGCCGATGCCTGATGATCCCGCCATTCTCGGGGTGAGTAATATCAGGAGCTTGATTTAATCATACACGTCACATGATGAAATATTCTTTGGATGTAAAACTATTATCAGTTTTGACCGAGAGCGCAAAAATTATGCGGATAACTCCATGTTGCCTTCCTTCTGAATTCGACGAGAAATACCCTAATCCACCTAGCAAAGATCTGGATGATCGGACATATGCTAATCCAGTCTTACACAGTCTGCCCGCCCAGGTCCACCTCCTCAGCAACAACAACAACTTCCTCCACAGCACAACCAATTCCGCGGCCCTCCTCCACCACAACAATTCCAACAACCACAGCAGTTCGCCTACCCTCCTCCTCCCAATCAATTCCAAGGTCAACCACGGTTCCAAGGCCCAGGTGGACCACACGGCTTCCCAGGCAGTCCTGGTGCAGTCCCGGGCTACGGGTATGGGCCACCACCTCCAGGTTACGGCATGGGATATGGTCCACCGCCTGGCCAAGGCTTTCAAGGACCTCCACCGCCTGGCCACTTCCAACAAAACCATCAGATGCCCATAGGTCCTCCAGGGCAGCAAAGACCTCCGCCTCACATGCAACAAGGCCCACCGCACGCACCAATCGGCAGTAAGCAGAATACCCCACAGCCTGCGCCTCAACAAGCACCCAAGCCACCAGGTCTGGATGCACAACAGCCGCAAAAGCCGATCGAGATGTCTGGTACGCCAGCACCATCGTCTGCACTGAGTGCTTCGCCGGCTGGTCCTCCTCCTCCCACAGACTCGAAACCCTCAACTTCTGCTGCGCTAGCACCTCCTTTTCCTTCGCAGCCTCCGCCAAAGCAGACCCAGCGTCCTCACAACAACCGTGTCGCTGTACCGTTACCTTCCCCCAACGTCCTAGCTGCACAGCCTCCACAAAGACCGGCACAGAACGCAGCACCACAACAGCCACCACCAGCTTCAGCGGCTCCTCAACAATCAGTGCAAGATGCGACACAAGCAGCGACAGCAGCAGTGGCCGCAGCAATGGCGAAGCTAGGTGCGACGAACAACCAAGGCCCGCAGCCTGCAGTAGGAGTAGACAACTTGACCCAACAAGTCGGTCAGATGCGCATGCATGATCCGGCGCAGCAACAGCGTGGTCGTGGACGTGGAAGAGGCGCACCAAGAGGTGGGAGGAGAGGAAGTGCACACAACCAGCCTATTGAAGTGCCGAAAGAAGACTACGATTTTGAGGGCGCGAACGCAAAGTTCAGGAAGGAAGAGGGAATTGCAAGTAGTAGTCCCATCACCAGCCCGGTCAATGGCGAGTCGACAGCAGAAGGTCACGTGAGAAATGGCGATGCTGCAGCTCACGGTGGCGAGACCGAAGCAGTCATCCCACCTCCTGCGTCTGGAAATGCGAAAGGTGGCGCCGAGTACGACAAGAAGAAATCCTTCTTCGACGACATCTCCTCTGATCTCAAGGACCGCACGGACAGGATGGAGGGGCACGGTGGGATGGTCGATGGGAGGGCTATGAGGAGGGAGGAGAGGAGTCGGAATATGGAGACGTTTGGGCAGGGGAGTGTTGATGGGTTTAGGGGTGGTTATCGGGGGCGTGGTGGGCCTAGAGGTGGTGGGAGAGGTTTTGGTGGCGGGAGGAGCAGAGGTTATGCTGGCGGACGAGGTGGATTTGAGCCAAGGGGCGGGAGAGGCGGGAGGAGAGGTGATTTCGAGGTGGAGCAGGCTGCTGTTTAAATTGAGGAAGAGAGAAAGCAGAGCGGCTCTGGATAGCTGGATCGAAGTATGGGCTGTGGTACTAGGCTGCTCGTCTGCGGCTGGGAGGATCAAAGGCCGTGATAGGACTCTCGTAAAGCTTGTACGATGTGGCGGGAGCAGCATTCCCACAAAGAGCAAGCGAGGACGAAACGGCTCGCCTGCGCATGCGTATCACTACGTATAGCTTTCCTGCTAGCCTTCTACCCACATCAGCCCCAATGGCTTCGGGCTCCTGTACCGCATATAGAGCAGGATGCGAGGACACACTCGGCTTCCTAGTCACCAAAACATATCTCAGCAGCCAATTACTCCAAGTAGGTCACTGATCAGCTTGTCAATGATGTCCTCGTACACAGTATGATTTTCGTACGCCGCAGGCTGACGAGAAGGACGCCATCTCGATACAAGTCACGTCGAAGGACTCCCAAGCTTCATCCTGCTCTACTCTCGCTCCATTCTGGCTTGATCCGCCTATGCTTCGGATACTCTTTCTTGCTCTGGTGCTGCAGCTGTTAACGGCCGAACGAAACTCGTCACTGGTCATTCCAACGGCTACAGCTTATGATCAGCTGATCGATTGCGTTCGAAATGTGACGAGCGAGTGAAGCGTAGCCATCGACAATGGCTAAGTCGTTGTGTTTCCACCACCCGGCGAGGTAATCGAAGACGACCCTAACGTTGAGACTGCGTTGCTCGACTGCTTGGTTCATGTCTCTGGATCTCTTCATGCTGCGCTCGACGGTGGCAGGACTTTTGCAGATAGAGGAGCACCCACGCAGGCGGTGGACGACGGACACGCGGTCTGGACAGAGTCGGATGTTGCTCGCGGACTGGAGGACTCGACCGACGCAAATGCGACCAATGCCACGACGCTCCAATCTCGCCAAGTGGTCTAAGGTATCTATTACGCGGATGTCTTTGAAAACTAGGACTGCAGCTGCTCCAATTCCATGAATAATGTATACGACGAATGTATCAGCTACGGCCAAGCTTGCTACAGCCGTCCTTTTCGCAGTACAGAGCTGTACAACAGTATCAGGGTCCGCATCTATCCACATCACTCACGGATGAACAATGTCAGAGTCCTTGCGGTGCCGGTCGCGTCCGACTCGGCGCGTCAATCTTGTACAACATAATCTTATCGCGCACTGAGTCCCAGGAGCTGCGCCGGAACCTGTGTATAGTCATACCTTGCAGAGCTATCAGCCAGATCGGGTCAAGTCTGCGCTATCACAGATCATGATACTAGTCGGAGCAATTGAGCAAGTCCGCAGGCCATCACCATGACCGCCCGTATCGACAGCGGTTGCTGTCGACGTAGGACGGGGCAGAACGAAACCCACCCCAAGACAGGAGCTTGGAAAGCTTCTAGGAAAGCCATTACCAAAACCCCGTCGTTCGATTACACACACGTGCTTGTCCGAAGTGCATTCTTAGCACATGCACTGGAACAATACACTGCAAATCAAGGCCGTGAAGTATGCACCGAATAGAATTCGACCTAGAGGATAGGCCACGAGCATTAACGAACCATGTCGTACATGTGAAACCATTGTAATCAGTCCAGTAAGCGGTAGGATCTTTTGGTGATTCTTTGGGTAGGGCTAATAAAACAAGGCTACGTTCGCACATGGTACAAGGTATAGACAACCAGACCGCAGAGTAAGATGCCATTTCTTAGTCTTGCGAAACAAAGTCGAAGGTTCGTTACACCTGCTGCTCCAAGTGACGAGGGCTTGGTACGAGGAACAAAGTTGCTGTACTAGTCATAGTCGGCTATGGACCTAGCTTCGACCTTTGAATACCAGCTCGACTGTTATGAACCCGCCGTAGGCTATGAGCATACCGCACCCAAGATAGCGCAACAGGCTTCTGCGTAAGAGGACTGCAAGACTCATAGTAGCTGCCGAAGCCACCATAATACCGAGCTCCAGGCCTGTTATGCTGCCGCTGCCGTGACTGCTGTTGGTATCGTCTTCAGATAGCCAGATGACGCCAAGGCAGAGAGTAAGGAGGAAGATGTTGCTGCCAACGGTATTGGCCACCATGATCCCGGCATGACCTCGTATGCCACTGACCGTTGCCACAAGCTTCTCTGGCAGTGTGGTAGCGAGGGAGAGCACAACTATGCCAAAGGCAGCATCAGAAATGCCAAGTGAGTCAGTCAAGGTTGTTGCAGCGTGCGAGAGGACATAGGCACTGATGGTAAGGGCCAGAAAGCCAAGAACGAGGCAGGAGAGATGATACAGGAGACCGTGCCTTGTTGTAGAGGATTGCCGTGGTTGCACATTTCCACAATCGAGCGGACTGCTATGCTGGGATGTGATATCATCTCCCGCAATGGTACGAGGATCACGTGCGTTTGTCGTTCCGTAGCTGCGTGAACCCAAGATGGGCCTATCCACGTACTCCTCCTCTCCGACACTACCACCGTCGCTGTCTCTTTCGCTATCGCTTTCGCTGTCTGATCCCTCGGGCGCTGCAAGCGAGCCTCGTGTGATAGCCCAGAAGATCGTGCCCACATAGACAATAAAGGCTGCCACGAGCACACCGCCAAGCACGCGCAGCTGCAAATAGCCGCGGAAGTAGAGCAATACAGCTGCGAGCAACACTACAACCATTTGCGCGATTGTATAACGCACGGCACTCTTGTCAAAGATCGTGCCCTCATCATGACTCCTGTAGAACATCAGCCCAAGCGAGAATGCGCCTAGAATGTTTGAGATGGCCGAGCCCACCACATTGCCCAATGCGAGCGATGGCCGGCCGCGCACCACGCAGAAGATCACGACTGCAAGCTCTTCCCATTCCGCTCCGGCGGTCAATAACGCAATGAGAGCTTGCGGAATACCAGTTCGCTTGGCGATGATGGCTGTGTGGTCGATGAACTTGTCCGCGCCATACTCGAGGACAAACAGGGCGCAGATGAAAGCCGCGATGCTGTATAGGATCGTATCGATATCTGGCATAGTCTCCAACTCCGCGACTTGGAGCCTTGGAAGCTTACGACTAGTAATGTTTAGGCAATAACGCTGCGCCTAGGGTTAGGCGTCTTGTAGGTAGTAGAGAAATTAGACTCGGTTATAATTAGCTTAGTACTATAGGCTATATACTTTATCTTTATATTACTACTACTAGTATCTAAATTATCTTTATTATAGGAATTATATAATCTTCTATCTCTCTATATTAATATTATATACCTATAGTATAAGAGGGTTAGAGCTTGTTAGACGAGTAAGTTCTAAGCGATAGGTTAGGTAAGTAACTACTCTAGAGTTTAACCTTTTAGTAGCTTAGTAACTTAGGTTAAATACGAACTACCTATATAAGAAACGTCTATTCTATATATATAGAAGATTTAGATATAGTTATAATTACTTAGTAGTAATTATAAGTACTTTTCCTTATAGTTACTTAAGAGTAAGAGTAAGTAGGTTACTTACTTAAGAGTCTAGGTAAGTAGCGTTACGTAACTCTCTTATAGCTACCTTATAGGCCTAGGTTTATTAGCTCCCTAAGCTTAATCGGCTAGTCTACTTATTATAGACCTAATATCTATAATATTATCCTACTCTATAGCTATTATATCCTTATAACTAAGCGTTCGTTATTACCCTAGTATAGGCGTCTAATATTAGTCTAGCGTATATTAGAACCTTTTAGTATTTAGTATCGCGGGGTCCCGCTTATAGGTATATTTCGTTATTTAATAGCTTCCTCTAGTAAATAATCTTAACTCGTCTATTTTATAAGAATAACCTAGAATCCTTTTATATTAGAAATACGCTATAATTACTATACTAAATACGATTATTCTAAGTATATCTATTATAGATATTAGGTCCGTAATAAGTAGACTAGCTAATTAAGCTTAGGGAGCTAATAAACCTAGGCCTATAGAGGTAGCTATAAAAGGGTTACGTAACGCCGCTTACCTAGACCCTTAAGTAATATTACGGACACTATAATACGATTAGTAGGATAAGCGAGTAGATAGGAAGTTAGGAGCGGAGGCTTCCGCTCCTATAACTAATACGACTAATACTCCTTCGATTAGTCGGATTAGATACTACTAACTAAACTAACTGCGCTACGATTAGTCGGATTAGTAGAGATACGAATCTCCTATATATATAGAATAAGCGTTTCTTATATAGGTAGTTCGTATTTAACCTAAGTTACTAACCCGCCGAAAGGTTAAACCTTAGAGTAGTTACTTACCCGACCTATCGCTTAGAACTTACTCGTCTAACGAGCTCTAACCCTCTTATACCGTAGGTACATAATATTTTAAATACCCTTATAGTAGGTAAGTACCCTAAATAAATAAATAGCTCCTAATAACGAAAGAGACGTTAGTATAGCTTTAACTACTCGAGCTAGTACCTCTACTAATAAAGATAGGACGAAGTATTCCGCTAAACCGGACTTCTTCTATAGGGATCGTAATAAGCTCGATAACTAGTTAAACTAGATTATACTATACTTCTCCTTTAAAGGTATTATAAGCGAATAACGACGCTACCGTATCGTAGTATCCTACCTTCGAGGCGAAGCTTAAAGCTAGATATAAGGTGTCGTACCACATCTATAGTATCCTACACGTGACCGCAGGGGGACCGCAGGCTGTCTGTAGTTAACCTAGGTTACGTAATATATTCCGGCCCCGTAGGGGTTCCGTAGGGTGTCCAATCCGGACACCTAATAGAATATATTAGCTCCCGCATTAAGCGAGGGGGCTAAGGAGAGGGGATAGAGGAAAAGGAAGTAGGGACTTCCTTCTCTTCTACTCCTTAAGTTTACTATCGTTACTATCGTACGAGATATCGCGTACGTACCGCTAGCGTAGCTAGAGTACGTACGGCGAGTACGCTCTTCGACTTATCCCTACCCTCTTCCTTGCTATAACCCCTTCGCCGTAGCCGTATCCCCTACGTAACTACGCCGGAAACTTTATACTAGATACGTCCTAAGTTAACTATAGTCCTACTCGAGAACAGAGACCTAGACAGGATCTTTGCCGACTTCTTGGAGTTCGCTAAATAGGTTAAGGGAATCTATAGACTTAGTAATAACTAGTAAGTCGCTATCCGGAATATCTAATACGTTACGTAGAAGGCCTCTATATCCTAGTATACCGCTAAGTTTAAGAAGGTTTCTACTCGTACTAGATAGGATAGTAATACGTTAAGATCTATATACTATCGAGGACTTAAGGACAACGTTAAGGACGAGCTTATAAGATACGGAGGACGCTAAGATACCTTAGAATACTTATAGGAGGCTATAATTAAGGTAGATAATATACTCTACGAACGATATATAGAAAAACGTAATACTAATTAGGACCGCGGACGA